TTATTATATAATACACCGAGCATTCGACCGTTAACATTTGAATAAATTTCAGTGTAATTTTATCCGCGAGGCACGTACAAACAAATAATATAATACCTTTTAGGTAAAATATAACAGTACATGAATTGCGTTCATACGATAATGACCGTATATTATTTAATATTTATAAAAGTTATTTATAACTGAAGACACGGGTAATAATTTACGATTATATTAAATTTCCATGCACAATTTAAATTTTTCTAACTATACGATTTGGCCGTTTGGGACGTAAATTATATAGCATTTAAAACCAACAAAAAGGCATTTTAAAAACCTAATTATAAGCCCGAAAATAAGCACTCCCAAAAAAATCAGTAAAATTCATTTTTTTTTTTAAACTATCGAAATAAGTCAAAAGAAAAACTTCTAAATTTCTTATTTGAGCTCATGAATCTTTTAGAATTACACTCACGGATTTTTCACGCGTTGCAGTGACGACTAGATGAAATAACAAAAACAGACAAATACTCGTTTGATAATAGAATATATAGTACACAAAGACGAAATTGTTTAAATATCATAGCCCATAGGCCAATAAAAATCTAGGTTTTCGTTAGAGGGTGACGTAATCGCAAATTAAAAGTATGCAAAAAAGAGCAGACAAAAACTAGGTGGTTAAAAGCATTTTTTTTTTTCACAATCGAAATAAGCAGAAAAAGGACTTTCAAATGTCGCATTCATTTCATTCACTGATTTTTGTGACGCAAATTATTTATTGATATATACTTTTTTTCCCACAAAAAAAATTATATTTATCGTATGTATACTATATTATTTGTTTTTGTTACAGTTCATCTTATTTGTACTGGTTTTTATTCATTTCTGCGATGAAAAAATTTGAAATAAGTTATGTACGTGATTGTGTATGTGATGTGAATATTTAAAATACCTATGCAAATTTAAAAAATTGTCTCGATAAACTCTCGGAGGCAATTGGTCAATATCTCTTTCGGTGGAAAAGGATAAGTTGGGTGAAAAACGGTGACGCTAGTGTATGTTGGAGTGTACGCATCTACAAAAAATATTTACCGGAATACCTATATGCATTATCGACATTTTTAAAAGTGTCCAATTTTCCCAATATTTTAATCGCGTTTTGATTAGCATATTGTACAATTTTTTTATTTTTTATCTACGCGATGTAACAAATTTAATAATAAATAAACAATAAATATTACACCTAGCTGTACAGTAGTATAGAAGATCTTGCAGCGAATTCGGTTTATTATTCAAACGCTATGTTTTTTTAAGAAGGCTAGTTTGGGCTGGACATGCCTAGAGGAAACATGACTCATTAATAAGAAGAGTAATAGAGGAAAACCCAGTAGGGAGGAGACCTCTTGGAAGACCGCGTTTAAGATGGGAGGATTGCGTAAGGAGAGACACTGAAACAGTGGAGCCGGAGTGTCATTGGCAGGAAGTAGCAGAGGATAGGGATAGGTGGCAGTATGTTTATCTAGAGGTATGGTCTTGAAATGGCCGAAACCAAAAATGAAGAAGATGTTTTTTTAAGTTTAAAATCAATAAGAATTCGTATTTTGTTCTTTATTCAAAGGATTGCTATGAGTTTATATCTAAATAATTAGTACAAGTATAATATATGTATGACTATATTTGTATTACTGTATTATATCTGTATACACCACTCGTACATACAGAAATATGAATAGATATTTTTCAAAAAACCAACCGCTATTTGAATGTAACATGGTACATTATTATACCGTCCGTCGTATAGTATTGCATATATAGTAGTGTGTATATAGTTTACGTTCATGTTTCATGAATATATCGATACAAAATTTATGTACCGTAATAATGTTGTGTAAATATTGTAAATTTATGTAAGACGAAAAATTGTACCGTTTGATATATTCTTTCGTACATAGGTACCTATGTTAATATGACTACGGAAATGAATTCTTTTTAGGTTAAACAATTCTTAATATAATAATATTTGTGTATAAGTAAGTATAGGTGTATACAATATTTATATGAGAATGTTAATTTTTTTTTTTTTTCTATGAAAATAATAATATTGTAATAGATACAATTATTTGTCAAACGTTCTGTTGAAAATTTAAATTAAAGTATAATGAAAATATTTGTTTTCTAACTATTTCTGTGTCGATATAGTGCGTATGGCGGTATTGCGAAAGCTTTCTCAATGCGCCTAGTCGTCGTAGTTAAAATTGGGTCGGTGAATCGTTAATGGTTATCACTATCACTGACAATAGGAACGTGTTCATTTCCTAAGAACAAAGCTTGAACCGCGTTTCTTTTTGAATATAGGAACGAGGAACGAGAAAGAGTTTTTTTTTGTAGTAGAAACGAGGGACGAGAACGAATTTCTTATTAAAAATAATTTTCCGCACACTGATCATTGTTCATAAATGTTTGCCAAGTCACTACAGCATTGCTGCTGAACATTTTATGATTTAAAACTACGCACAGCAGTAGTCATCATAAATCTGTTTTATTTTTCTTCTCGTCATAGCAGTTATAGTAAATCTAATTTTTTTTCTGTTCTCGTCATTTTTGTTTTGCATTTTAGAGACGTACACAATATAATATATACGAAAAGAAATATAATTTATAATATTATAAATTTGAAAAATGTACAAGTCTAATTAAAAAAAAAAAAAATGTCAAAAACAGTCCCAAATTAATCTATACAAATTATATACTTTTTTGGAGCTGGGCCTATTTTCCGGGTTTAATAATAACTATGCATACCGTTTAAAACACTGATTATCATTTTTGGAGAAAACAACAACCATCAACATATAAAATGCAATGATGCAGTAATACTTACATACGATTATTGTTTGCCATTGATGGAAAACTGCTAGAAAACGCCACTGCATATCAGCCTACAAAATAAAACAATATCGACGACTACCATAACCCGTCTAAACATACATAAGTATATTATATATTGCAATTTATTACCTACGTCATTACATAGATCGATATGACGATATAAATGCACAATAATAATTGCAACAGAATGTTTATTTATTTTATACAAATCGTATTAATTATTATCTACTTTTTTTAGTACCGCTAAGTGATTTTTAACAAAATAGGCACTGCCCTCAAAAATATTTTCCTCTTTAAATTTTTGTTATTAATGAAAGAAAAATTTATCAATCTAGATGTCACAATTTGTGTCTATGAAACGTAATTTTTCTATATCGCTGTGACATTAAGTGCGTCGTCTTTTAACGTTTGTAACATATCTTGATGTCCAATGGTCATTGCCCATGATTGAAATTCGTTAGCAGCCGTCAAGTTATCTATATTGTTCCCAATATAACAACCATATTAGCTAACAAAATAATAATAATAACATAATTAATCATTTAACTATTATAATTATTGTCAGTGATAGTAATTTTTTTTTTATAGAAGGGTTCTGAAAAATCATATGGACTTAAAAAAATATTATTGGATGCTTGTTATTTAGAAAACATTTTATTGAAATTATATTGTTGTCTGGGGAATCTAAATCCCCTGGACCATCAATGGTGAATCCACCACCGATAATTATAATACGAATTAATAAAATGCACTTGACCATTTTTATACAGTCAATTTTATTACTCATTTATTTGTTTTCTAATTTGAATTTGTTTGTTGAATTGACGGTAAATCATATTTTATATTATTGTATACCACTAATATATAAAAACAAGCAAAGATGAGCTAGTGAATTAATTTTTTTTAGTAGTTTAAGTTCCGTTATCCTTAAAAAAAAAAAAAATAATAATAACTAAGTTAAAGTTATTTTTAAAATATAAATGAATTTAAGTAACTAATAGTTGAGTTACAGATTTTCAGAAAAATTATGAATTAGTGGTGTTAAAAATTACCCTTAACTATACACTCATAAACTTACTCATATTTTGTACACTAATATATTCAGACTTTTATAGGCTCACTATATAATATTTATGTGGGTGTACTATAACTCTGCATGGGCCGCATGTCCATTTAGTTATTTGATTATGATAGTGGAAATACGTAATTTTCATCGAAAAATAAATAAAAAAAACACGGGTACGATTTTTTTTTTTTAACAAAAATTCGTAAATAAATTAAATTTTATCAAAATATTTATGTTCAAAAAAATTATTTATTAATAGAAATAATTAAGTTATTTTCTAATATTCAATTTGTTTTTTTTTTTTTTTTAACTATTTAAATCAATGTTAAAATTCGTCAAAAAAAAGTAACTCTTTATTTGACTTTTAACATTTTAACCAGCATTGCAAGCAAAATGTTATAATAATTTTATAGCATGCTCACGAAAATAATATATTCTGTATTCAACGATGTAAGTACCTACACGCAAATGCACAAATTCTGACTTGAACAATAACCTATATAAGGCGTAATGTATATTCCAACTATAAAGTCCATATAAACATTTTAAACTTTAAATACACGACGCTACATCTACGTGTACCTATATTGTATTACATATAAGTATGTGTGACGGTTTTTAACTATCCCATAAAAAATAATGTTGAATTCCGGCACACAAAATAATTATCTTCGTTAGTATTATAGGCGGATTTGAGTATATATAGGTACACCTACCGGAGTAATTCGGATCGCACACAACGAAATGTCAGTTGGGTGTACCCTCGCATTTCAAAACTTTAAAATTTAAACGTGCTTCCGTTGACAATTATTATAGATACGAGTATACATACATATATACATTGCATATTACATATTCAACTTGATTGCGACGCGTTCGTTTGTACACGGGAGATGTAAAGTTATCCGAATGATAATATAACTTAACGTGTTAATCTTATTATTCGTGTACACCGGGCGAGCGAAATGTAATGCGCAGAACTTATAAATTATTATAATATATATTAGGTACTGAGGTGTCATCTAAAATTGAAAATCGAAAAAAATATAAATAAGTATAATATATTATAGGTACCATTACATATTAAAATTTTAAATATTTACATGAGAAAGTGTATTTTACAAAGAAAACTTTAACGGAAAAAAAAAATGAATTAAACATAGGTAGACACAATATTTGTTCATGACGCGTGACGTAAACGAGTTCGAGTTTCATCAGGTTATACGACGAAGCTTTTACAGTCGATATTAAAGTTGTTTCGGGTACTGGATACTTGGCCTATTTTTTTAGTACCCGGTACCTAGACCATAAAACATTTTTTTAGAGGATTCCGGGTAATACATAGTACATACTGAAGTGAATTAAATGGATTAATCCACATTGGTAAATACATAATAATAATCGATTGTTATTAATATTTAAGCTCCATATCCCCCCCCCATTTGGAATTTTGAAACAGAATTAACAAAATTCGAAATTCCAAAGTGGGGGGGCTGGGGAAATGGAGCTTAATATTTATCTACGGTGTCATTTTTTTGCATTCTTAAAGATAAAAAAGAGAAAGATATGTTGGAAGCTCTGAAGATGTTGTGTTAGAGAAAGATGCAGAGAATAAGCTGGATTGAGAGAAGATCGAATAAAGAAGTCTTGAGGACGATAGATGAAAAACGAACATTGATAGACACTATAAGGAGAAAGAGATGGCAGTTGATAGGACACACGTTGAGGTACGGGGATGAACTGCATAGTTTAATAATTGAAGGAATGATAGAAGGAACAGGATCAAGAAGAAGACTCAGGACAAAATACATTAGTCATGCATTGAAGGATGCAGGAGTCACTTCCTACAGGGATCTCAAGAATATGGTGTATGACAGGAAAAAATGGAAAAGTCATTAATTGTAAAAATTTATTAATATCCATTACCAGGTACTCGGTCAAACTTAATACCCGTAACAACTCTAATCGATGTACATATTATATGATATATATATATAGATTTTTAAATACTCTAATTAATTTGCAAAATGGACTACAAAACGTCCATTTCCATATTTCTGGTGGCTATATATAAGAATCCATTTATCAGCATCAAAGCGTTGCTCGCGAGAGAAATTTAAGTGAAATTAATTTCGTAAATAATTATCCGCGAATTCTAACGTGTATAATGAATATAACAAGAAATATATTATTATACGTAATATAATCGGTACTAGAAAATTCGTTCATAGCGGAAATGAAAAACAGATATTAATTTGAATAAAACAAAATGATTGAATTATTATGGAATAATTGTAATTTATGCCGAGTTCGAGTTTATGGAAAAATACAGTACCGTCGTTATAAAAATAAGTATTATTTCTGTGGAAGTTTTCGTATTTTTATACTCGTAGTTAACATATTATTACTCATTAAGATTTTTGTTTCACATATTATTATATTTTATTAATAAACTTTGTCCGTACAATAAAAAAGTTTCTAAATAAAATTAATAAATACATGCATTATCGTTGTATGATATTACCATAGATACCCGCAAATCACAGGGATCACATTACAAAAAATGAATAACAATGTTATTTTTTGCATTCGTGTTACCAAAAGTAACCCATAAATCAACAAAAATAATTAGATTTGTATACTAAAAAAGTTACAGACTTGGGTGGGCCACTATTATAGAGAGAAGTTAGGAAGGTAAGCTATAAAAGGGAATTTATTGTATATCTGTGTGCAACAATTAATCTTTGCTAACCAAAAACGATTCTGAGTGGAGTTCGGTTATATATGTTTTGAAAGGTTACGGTCTATTTACGATTTTAAAATCACACATTTCGTAAATGTGAAATGCTTGGAAAATCAAAAATAATCTTTCAGAAAAAGTACTACACTTGAAAATCGAAGCAATATATCTGGTAAAAATTGTGTACACAAAAAAAAAATAATAATAATAAATATTATTGGGTACACATTTCGTGATTATAATATGAACTTAAAAAAAATGAAACTAACTTTCTACGGTTTTCACTAAAAGTTCCGTTTTCAGACTAAACAAATTGTCTATACTTAACTCTTGAATTGTCCGATGTATGGACTGAGTTAGATTAATTAGAAAATTTAAATCAAATGCGTTATATACATATTAGCGCAAATAACTCAAATAAATATTATTATTTTTTTTTTTTTTGAAGGGGTTTTATACCTTATTATTGTAATATTATATACGATTAGTATTTACTTGTTAGGGGCTTTGCCAATTTTTCTGTGTGTTAGGGTTAAGCCCCTACGGAAAATTGATTGCAAAAATATTTGTTCGTAGCGAAAACATAAAATACTTGGTCAGGTTTTTTTCATCTAAATATACTAAAATTGAATTATTTTCTGGCAATTTATAATAATGTTATGGTTGTTTTAATGTTTTTCAGGGACATTTATATACTGCGTAAAACTGTGTGCACACACACGTTTTAGTAAAGTCTACGTCTACGTGCCGTCTTGATAAATTCGGTGAATTTTAAAACTTTATTATTTCCGAACGTGTTCTTTTCATAGGTAGAAAACAATTTTAAAGCAAAAAGTTTTTATTATAATTTTCATCACACGATTTTGCCCATTTAAAATAACTTCACAGTTGCACATCTATAAAATCTGCAATCATAAAACCAAAAGTTTTTTCGATTAATACTCAATAAAATATAAGATATATAAATATGAATATATACCTATAAATATAAGAAATATATATATATATATATATATATATATATAGGTATAAAAATTACAAAACAAATTAATAATTATAGATACATAGAAAAATGACAAAACTGAGACTGGAGTTTGTTGCAAATAACATCCAACAATAATATATAACAAATGACAATAAATAAATTTAATTAATTTCTATGTTTGTATGATATATTGAACAAATTTGAAATATTTCACCCCATCATCGTTTGTCGCGAACAAAATATCACCAAACGCAATATTATTCTCATTTTTTGATACCAAAAATACTACATTATAATATGTATTATCGCTATTAATTTGACTATTTAAATATATGTAATCGCTCTGTATACTCTCGGCTTCAGATAAATACGTCGAGATTAGACGTTTTTCGCGTTGAACACCAGCTGATTAAAAATATATTAATATGTCGTATACTATTAACAGAATGCATAGATTAATCATTGTTAACGAAAAACGATTCTGAGCGGAGTTCGGTTATATATGTTTTGAAAGGCCATAATACATACGATTTGAAAATAATACATTTCGCAAATTCTTTCCGTTTTTTCCACGTTATGTTTTCCATTTATTAGAAAAATCCCTGAGGAAAAAATAATGACCTCCTCTAAGTACCACCCCAGTCAGATTTCATTTCAGAAAAAGTGTTACACTTGAAAATCGGAGCAAAATGTATCGACATTATCAAAATTGTAAACGTCTTACCGATAAAATAATCTTTGAGCATTTACGCAGCCAACTAGTGATTGGTGCTTCCGAATAGTTAATTGTGTCGAACATTATTTTTCGATAGTTCGGATAAGCTATGGTTTCATCCCTCCTCTCCCTATTAGAAAATCATGGGTATGCCACTGTATACAGATATGGTTGGTCGGTCTATATGGGTGAACCGAATAATAAACGTAGAATTACCGGCCGAAACGACGAGCGCTTCATACGTTATAAAATCACCCTGTATATAATACATATATACACAGGTTTATTTTTTATTTTCCCGAAATCTATAGAGAAACGAAATATTATATGCTCAACCGCGGCGTCGTCGCCGTAGTACTTCATTTCCCGCCGAAATCGCATCGTATACAAAATGCGTTGTATAATGTAAAAACGGTTTTCAAGACCGCGCGTCATATTATATAAAACGACTTATCCCCCATACAACCGTAATAGCGTAATTTTCCGCGTACGACACGTAAGTACGATAATATATACGGGAGATTCGTATGTATTATGGACCTCGTACGATTGCGGCACATTATAGTTTATTACATAATATAATATACAGTGTACGTCATATTATTAATTTCGGGACAGTATTATTACCGCGAACCAAAACGCATTATTATCAACGCGACATCGTGTTTCTCGGGAAATTCTTTTAAAGTCCGGACAAATACACGTTATCACGTTGTTATTTGTCGGCGAATTGGTTCGCAGTAAACGCAAACATTAAAGTTCGAATAAAAAAATTATAACTAGATAGTATAAAAACTAATATAATCAATATATTAGTTTTACCGACCAAAAGAGTGGTTTCCCGAAAAAAAATGAACACATATTATTAGTAGATTACGTTACACATTTTATAACTATACCATAATCACTCTTCGTGCCAATCAAAATCTAAAATAGCTACAAATCTCACAAGTCTTACGAACAGCCCTGCTATAATGTCTAATAGGAAAATAAATTGTTTAGATAATTTAAACACGAAATTTGACATTATACGCAGTGATCAACATAACGTAAGACACTCATTATGTCGGAAAGTATTAACTTTTTCGGAATTCATTTTTTTTAGAACATTCAAGAAATAAGAACCTCTACGATTTTACATTACACTTTTTTTTTCGTCGCTCTTATTTTAGAGGATGAAATCACTATCTACTTTTGATTTTAAAATGGCGACCCATATTGAATATCTCATAAATAAATGGAGCATTAGTTTAAATGCATTGTTGTTGTTGAATTTTCGATTTCCACCAACTCGTTGACGAGGTATTTCACTTTCAAATTTCGGCGGGGAAGAGTGTTGGAACACTATTAAATCGCCACGTGTTGTGTCGCCACACAAACGATGCACCACTACTCTGTCTCCGCCGAATCTTAAACATTTTAAATCAAAAGTAGATAATGGTTTCACCTCCTAAAATAAGTAGAACAAAAAAATAATGTCACATTTTAGAGCTACTTATTTCTTAAATGTTCTAAAAACAAATTTTGAAAAAAAGTTAACAGTTTTCAAGATAATGAGCGTCCTATTACGTTATGATGATCACCTTTTATTTGTTGCATTGTTGCTTATATTAAGCCATCTGAGAGATCAGACAATTCTTTTATCTGACAAATCATAAAGGATACGGTAGTCGGAGGTTACGGAAAACTAAAATGTAGAGCGAGTGGCCGTTTAGAATGAAGGAAAGGATCTGAAAACGAACCTACGGGTCGTTAAGAAAAAAACGTATATATTGCCTAGGCCGTCTGGGGAAAAGTTAAAATTATTTATAATGCCTAAATTTTTATTTTTTTTTGGCAATGAATGAACGAGTGGGGAAAATTCTCTCACAATACGCTCGACATTTACACAACGTTGTTACTTTAAACGTTTCAATAAGAATACCGATAGCAATTTAAGGTCGTCCGAGATCCATTCCAAACAAGGTCAACGTCTTTTAATTATCAACCTAACAATGTACATTGTACTCAAATACGTAAAATAGTAACTGATGAAGACTTATTTTTTTAAAAATAATATTTGAATTTCGTGTCCATGATCTGGTATTCTAGACTCGTATAAAAATCAATGATTCGACTTTACCGCAAATGTAATTTATATTCCCAAATGGGGTACGAACTTTTCGTGGTCACGCATCCCCTATAACGTCACTATGATTTTTGACGACTCTTTTGCTATACACGGTTACTTTAAAAAATGTGTTTAAAATTATTACTGTTATTACTATTACTTATTACAAATTTAAAATGCTATTACAAAAATAATAGGTACTCGATTTAAATTTTTAATTCATTTTAAGACATTTTTTGGGTATAAATGACCTTTAAAAACAAATTTAAAATAAAGTTTTTATAGATACGATCCACCACACTCCTGCTCTCTAAACTTAATAAATAATTTGGTCTCTTAAAAAAAAAACCTTGCTGTTTTCTTTTTTATACATGCGAATTAACGTAATACACTAGTACAAACTTGCTAGTACCTATATACTATTTTGAATATTGAAAAATCGGTACATATTCTGCATCTTAATTAACTGGTATACGTATACCAAGGTACTTAAAGTATTATATTTATTAATTATACTTTGGTACATTATTTGTATTACCCGTCTTTAACTTGCAATGAGAAATATGATTTTCTCCAATAAATCTTCATCAGTAATTATTATTACGCATCTTTTATCTAATATAAAATCGATAAAATATTGATCATGCATCCTATCATTGTTTTCAGCTCTAAATAATAATTTCGCGATCCCCCCCCCCTTCGCTTTAAGGATCATTGCTAATCTATCTGAAAACTTGAATGCATAGTTAAAGGTATATAATATGCATTATATATTTATATGCATAAATGAAATCCCTATAAGAAACATTTAAATGCATAAAGTATAAAATAAAAATATAATAGAACACGATATATAAATTAAATTTCACGTGTACACGCTTTCACGTATTCCCGTGGAATTAACATTCGTTTTTACAAAACCGTGCATTTGATAAATCCATGTACACTCTACACGTGTAATTATTTACATGTACACGTGTATTGGCGTATTGACGTATTCGTGTATTAGAGTATAAACAACCTGTATATTGAATTTCTAACATGTAATAATAATTAGTTTATCTACTCGACATTGGAAGTACTTAAAGGCCAGTATCCCCTATTTATATTCGCACTTTAACATATATAGGTACTACATAATGATCACTTAATATCCTTGAATACGTGATTTACCCAAAAACACGTGAACACTGATATAAAATTCACGAATATTAATTATACGTGAATAAAAAATGTTCATTTGTCTGTACACGGACTCCGTATTCACGTAAGTTTAATTCACGTTTTAAATCAATACCTCTAATATAAATAAAAAATATACATACATATATATATTTACACAAATTATACTTAAACGTTAAAAAAAAACATGTGAAATAATTATATTCTTACATAATATTATACATACAATGATGCGTTATAACGTTTTATTTTTTTATGTTTTCAGTGTAACCAACTACTTTTTGGTGAACTTGTCTATAGCCGATCTTCTAGTAACGTTCATATGCATGCCAATGGCAGTAGGTCAGACCGTTACCGGTTTATGGCTATACGGCGAAACAATGTGCAAATTAACATCATATTTACAAGGTAAAAAAAGTCCATTAATATTATTATAATATATTTAACAACACGTCCCACGTCGAAAATAAAACGAGCGAAATACCCAGTTATATCATGATCATCGTCATATTACATTTTTCGAACGCAACGATTCTATATATTCTGTACTGTACCCTAGAGAAGTCAGTACTTCGTCCGTGTGCTGACCCAGCAACGGAGGTTCTCTCAGAATTTCGTTACCGCTGTTTTTAAATGTAACAGCGGGACCGACCATTTTCAATTTCTTATTATACGAGCAATCGAAATCTTGCACGATGCCTATTTCCTTGACGTGTTCGTTGCTAAACGCCTAAAAGAACAAATACAAATTATAATATACAATTATTATGTTCATATAACTTGAGTGCAGAAAGCTAGGGATCAATCGAAATGCGTAATTTATCAGATGTGGATGTATCACAGAAATAACAATAGAACTGTAGATTTAATGCATTTAAAAACCTTTAAAAAAAAAAAAAAACATTTAATTCCCATAAAAGCAATTACAATTAAAAAAAAAAAAAATATTCATAGGCTGTTACCAGCATATGTATAATGTATATAATATATTAGATTATTGTCAAAGATATTCCTTTTGAGGTTTCGACTTTCAACCCACACTCACACCATTTTAATTCTAAATTTCGTATTTTATTTGGAAGTAATATAGTTTATAGTATTATGCATTTTATAATATAGTATACAATTTTAATATTTATTATAGTATTCAATTATTTATTATTTTACAAATAATATTTTTAAAACACAAAAAAGATGGAAAAAAATTCAGCTCTAATTAAGGAGCTTTGCTATTTACTCATTATTCTTTTACGAATTTAAACACTTTGAAAAAGGTTTTTTAGTGCATTAAATTCACAGCGCTAATAGTTATTATTTTACATGCAACTCTTCTTTTTATGGTGACTAGTTACGGTATCATTATTTATTAATATACACAGAAAATATTAAAATCTACGAGAATATGGACTGTTTTGAGAAAAAACGCTTGAAAACCGTGTCGGCGTAATAAGAAACCTGCAAAAGTTGTCATTTGATATCTTCGAATATGACTGGCTCTGCAATGCTTTTGAAAGCAGATGCATATTTGGTGATTTAATTTAATTTTTTTTTTACGAATATACAAATCCACAGTGGAAACAAGAATTCCGAAATGTTTTTCTCTCACGCATATTTGTTTATAAAAATGTTATGCTAATAGGATTTAAAAATAAATTTCAACCTCCAAAAAAAATATATATATATATTATCCTACACATATCTACTCAGTGGAAATAAACTAAAATAAAGTTTGATTATAATATAATTAATATATAGTTATATTAATATATAATATAACCTAATAGGTATTACATAATTTATTTTTAAGAGAATCTATTCGACTTTTAATATTGCATTGATAAAATTATAAAGGACACAGATAATTTCACGTAAATAAAAATTGTGACTGCCCACTTTAACCCCAAGTAAACACGTACAATACCTTAACAAGCACATCTATACAATCTACATTAGAGTACACTAGAATCACAATTTACAGACAGCTAAACGGTGGAATCTTAAAATAATTAATAATGTGAGGCGAACCTCACACAGGTAATTAAGGTACTAGTATAATGCAGTATTCCATTCGTGTTTTAAGCAAAACTTGCTTCACAAGTTCATTTCAGTGCCCAGCCAAAAATACTCAGGGTCTCGTTAGAAGTTTAATGAAATTAACCGTACTTACTCAACTAACATTGGGATTTTCAAAATTTGTAAGATATTCTATACATTTTAGTCGTATTTTAATCAGTGCAAACAATGGCACATGTATGCATCTTTATTCGTTTAATATTTCCGAGTTATAGTTTCAATTATTATAGTTCTAATTATTTTTTTATTAGTTTAATCTATATTATATCTCCAGGAAAATAGCACGTTTTGAACGATTTTTTTGGGTTCCGAAATTAAAGCCCCTAAATTCAAACACTGTTTGTGATAATAAAAGAGAAAAATAATTATTATGAAAATGCATTTACTACATAATATAGATATATATAATAATCGGAGTGCGTATACCAAAACATTATCTTTTGGGTTTAGATTAAATCCCAACTTTATAATTATAAGCTAAAATATTAAACGCACGTGAACGAAAATTTTCAAACATATATCCAAGTAGTATAGCATAACTTTACTATACCTATACGAAAGTTTTAGTTTTTTTTTTCTGATGAAAATATTATTATATCGCCAAGAACGTCAAGTGAAAGAAAAAATAAAACCGAAACGAGTAACACGTAATTTAGATAAAGTGCATTCAGAGCCAAACACTTGAAATAACTTACAAAATATTATAATAGTTATATACGAGCAAAGATGGAATCGCTGAAAATTGTAAAGTAATCAAAAATATTAATGAACACGTAGAATATCTTTGTTCGTATTTTCCCATACATATTCGAAAAAAAAAACAATGTTTTGTAGTAGTTTTAGCAAGAGTTTTTAAACAACAGTGTTTTTTTTATTATTTTTTTTTTTTTTTGTAGTTTTAGCTGTGTAAAACAGATTTTACAGTCAAATTACGAGTGGTAGCAAGTTCTTTTAAGTATATAAAAAAAAAAAAAAACGTATCGTACTTGCGCCATATCGTTGACTGGACCGCAAGGAAACGGCACTCCCTCAAAAATCGTCATCCACTCTTCGTTGGTTTTCGTTTTTAAAATCGGTTCGATAACTTTGTACAACAGTTCTCGGTTCTTAACGCGACACGCGTTGGTCGCATACTTCTCGTCCGCAGCCAATTCCGGAATCGATATACGGTCGCAAAAAGATCGAAATTGTACGTCGTTGCCCGTGCCCAAAGTGAGAAAACCGTTCGACGTTTTGAACGCTTTATAAGGCACCAAGCTTTCGTGTTCGGTCCCCCATCGTTTAGTATGCATACCTATATAAAATAATCACTATAGAGTAATCAAAGTTGGAATGGATTTATTTATTGGAAGTAGTGGTGATCAAATGGGGAGGGGGGGGAGAGTGAATAAGAGAATATATCACCCGAATCTCGTTTTTCATCAATATTTATAAACAAAAGTTATATGTAAATAATAATAATTGTTAAAAGATGATCCTTACCCCTCCCCTTCCCATGACCAAATGGTTTTACCGCCGCTGATAGGAATACGCTCATTGAATTTAGTTCCTTTTTAGAAGAACGCATTCATGGTGCGATTACCTTTCTTTTTAAAGAACGGTGATTTCGAATTCATTCATTTCATATGAATGCAAATGATAGAATTCCGAAAATAAAGTACAATGATATACGCCACACCCTCTACATATTAGTAATAGTTATATTCGATTTATATATAATTTATAGGAAACATACACTTATAAAATCTTTTTGTTTTATTTACAATATTTTGACAAACTAATTTTGTTTTTAGAATGTATTCCAAATTTTATTAATATGAATATGATACGCATATTCAATTCATTACGAAGACAATAAATAATAAATTAGAATGCATTGCATTTGTCAGCTTAGGAACGTGAATGGGAATGCACGACCACAATAATATGTGCTGTTTATGTCTTACAATAAATTATGGGCGGATAGGTCGTTTTTTTTATTTTTATTTATTGACCTCGTACATGAACTAACATGCCTCCTGGATCCATTATAGATAAACCAATAGTTTCCATTCAGTCCATTGTGCCGTCTTTACCAAGGGTAATTCTAGGGCCCCATTGGGGGGCCCACCGTGAATTTCCCGGCTTACCGATAGGCTAAACCATAGTAAAACTTAAAGATAAAAACATTACTACGACGAATTAATTAATTATTTATTATAGCATTTGTAAATTGTGGTATTTCAAATGTTCATATGTTCAAATCTTGTTGATAATAATTATCAACAATTAAACAATTATTGTCTTATTTTTAAGTTAGATAATAGGTCAATTCACTATAATATTAAATCTAACACCACAAAGTTTTCCTTATCCCTGATGAACCCAAATTTGCTGTCATACGTTTCTAATACGGAAATAGCACACACGGGTATGGCATCATCTTAATAAAATAATCAAATTAATTTTACGATTCCAGATCATAATACTATTTAGCAATGTAATTTTAAAGCACCGGAAACGATAAACCGCGAATAAACGAAAATTATATATCTATTAACCTGCAGCTGTATGATGAACTCTGACCAGGTCAGAGGTTTAACCGAAAATATGACTATATTATATAATAAACGATTCAACCTCAATAACAAGTATTTTGATTAGGTTTATGAAGTTATATGAATAGTGTAAAGTTCGAATCAATAATTATTTAATATGTGATGTAATAGCCCGTGGAGGAAATGAGAATATCTTCGATTAAATTAAATTAGAAAAAAAATACGAAATTATAATGTTTTTGATATCTATTATTTTAATTTTTTTTATAAACATAATTCATTAGCAGTGCTTGGATTTTATAGCGTTTTCTAATTATTATAGGACACAGATAAAAATAGCAGAGTGAGATTTAAGTTTGCTATATGCGCCTAGCTGAAACTCCAAGTATGAACTTTTAGCGGACATTTTGTCTAGTAAATGAATTGAGGAAGTTATTTTTTGATTTTCAAGAGATTTTCAAAATAATTAGAAAAACTGGAAAGGAAATTATAGGTAATATAGCAAATATTTACGGCGTACCGCGGTGATACCGTTTTCAACGCTATTAATATTTATTTACACGGTGATTTCTACCCGAAATATTGCTTTAATCGAAAAATGATAAGAAATCAATTTCAAAGAACATCATTTTTGAAATCCCTAAAGTATTTTTTCATAATAATAGGGAAAAACCAAAAAATACAAAAAGTACGATTTTTTTCAAATTGCGGCGCAACGATTTCATTAAGTTAAATATTTAACTTATGTTACCAAAAATATTGCTGTGATATAAAAACAACAAGTGATCTTATTTGTTGAACTTTTAATCGAGTTGGTGAGTAAGAAAGTCATTTTTTAATTTCCTTTATAGTTTTTTTTAAAAATTCAGCAAAACCGAAAATAAATAAACTACAGGAACATTTACAAAAATAATCTTTTTGTTATTTTTAAACAATAAATTATTCAGTTAAAAATATTTGTCGAGACTTGAACAGAAAACTTATAATCTTTTTTCTCTAAACCTGTGTTTTTCAAAACATTTGAGCCATTTGTAAGCTATTTATAAACATTTTAATTTTGTAAGTTTTTACTAATTTTTTTTTGATAGGTAGTTTGTGGATAAAATTGTTAGACTAAACAAAAATGCTTGAAAATTTCACAGAAGGTACATCATAAGTCATACTTAGTAAAAAAAAATTAAGTTTATGGAAATATATTTTTTTTTATTAGTGTTTTTACGAAAATCGTAAATATTATGACCTTTCATAACATTTTTTTTTTTATATACTGTGTAAACAATTTCTTCAAAAGTTATACTCTGATTTATCAAGTGTATATTATCTGAAAAGAAATTTTATCTACACGGTATTTTTTTCAATTCTTTTTTTCCGAGGTGGTTTTTAATAATTGATAAGAACTGAGAAAAAACGTAATAAAATCGGAAAAATGTACAAAATGTATTATTTTCAGTTTTGTTTTTTTTTTTATTTTTATTCAATTAAAAATCCACTGACGTCCCAACTTCGCACCTAACACAGTGGCACACACATCAGCAGTATACGCTCTTTTTTTATATTCGTTAAAATGATTTAAACATGCATATCATATAATATTTGATTTATACATTTATTTATAAGTATATTATGATTTATTAAATAAGCCTATTAGTTTTCTGTCAATTATAATGAAACTAAATATCCCTTTTTGAAAATATTATATTACTAACCCTCCCGCCCGACGATGCTGGAGCCAATTTTTTAGTTTGACATTTAACCATTTCGCTGAAATTCTATTTAGACATGGGAATTCCACATGATTCAAGATTTGCTTTCATAGTAGTTCACGTAATGCTTTAATAACACTATTTTTAAAATCCATTTTCCCATAGCCTTCTCGTCGTTAAAAAGTGTACGAGTGTAGAGTTTACTCGGATTGAAAGTTAATGCTTTTTCATTTGGATTGTATTTGTTTTTGCTCCAACAATGTTTTTTTCTACTCCGATATTTTCTTTGGTGTCTATCTGGTGCTACAAAGTCAACGTATTACATCTCGACCATAAAAATACTACATTGACGATAATATTTGCTAACTGGACTTTATAGACATTTTAAAGTAGATATATTTGTATCACCTCAATGCCAAAAAAAAGTTATATATTAATGTAATCGCCTGCAAACAACTAAGTCATTATTCAATGTATACAAATCGATTATATTTGAACCCGAGTGATTATACCCACATATACCCACCTACATACGAGTTTTTCATTAGTATTTTTTTTTTTTTTCTAATAATAGTATCTAAATATTATATATTATAATTATTTTGCTTTTTTAGATTCTGAGCGTAATGATATTATTATTAAGTATGTTTTGTTTGTTTTTTTTTTTTTTAATAAGTATTATGCAGTGTTTTAAAGTATTGAAATAAATACACTTAAATGCTTTTTTTGTATTCGTATACTATTTTTAACACTATTTTACGAGAAAAGATATTCAAATAAGAATTCTGAATTTTTTTTGTTTACTAAAAAGTACTTTTCTTCCGAAACCAATAATACTCATAGTTTTTTAATCTCAAATCATAGATTTTTACAGCAACTTAATGTTTTATGAACATACTAAAATACTAAAAAAGTTTTTATTTTTAATCGAAATTTAAGAACTGGCCTATAGGTACTACCTAATGGCATAATATTTAATTGCTTTGTTATACTAATTAGTAATCAGTTTATTTAATAAAATATTGAGCCATAAAACGTTAATTTCAAAACTGTTCTTCTGAAACTGATATAAATTAAATTAATTCTATGAAAAAAGAAAATTCGAAAAGTATTCAAATACTTTATAAAATATTCGAATATATTATGTATATTATGCTGAATACATTTTTTTAAACTTATTCAGAAAACTTTTTTACTCATTTATTCGAATACGTATTCCGACCTCAAAATTCAATTATTCTTTACAATTTTACAAGATTGGTATTTTATTTTATTTAAAACGGGCTTGGCCCAAATTACAGTATAAGTAAGTAAATTATACATACAAGCAGCAAGTCAGAGGAAGTGAAACGGAACTAAGTATCTAGATTAGTGGTTTTCAACCTAGGAGTCACGAGTGATAGTTAGGGGGTCGACAAAACCATAATAGTATTAAATACATACTGTACAGTGCACATTGTGTTTTCAAATTCTGTTAAACGATTTTTGAGGGGGTCGTCATAAATGAAAAAAAAAATTAGAGAATCGCGATTCATAAAAGGTTGAAAACCGCTGATCTAAATTAGTATAAAAACGAAGGGTGGACGTTAGCAAGGCGCATCATGCGGCGAATTAGATTGTTTGAACCACAATTAGTGTTGTACATGAGAATAGGAAATGTGGTGCAGGAAGAGCGGGCCAGACGCAGAGAGACTTTTGAAGGGATGTCATAATAGATATAGAATACTACATAGTTAACTGACGTTTTCATTTGATACCAACCACCAAATGCGTGGTACTCAATGTTTATAAATTACTTATCAATATTCAATACACATTGACAATAAATGATGTTATACTATGTTGTGCTTGATGTTTAATTTGACTTTAATAAGTATATAGTAATAAATTACTATAGTTAAACAGGATGCGTATTCTATATTCATAGTTTTCTGGTCGATTCCATTAACGGTATCAAAATGTAATTAATTTATAGCATTGACTTTTTGGAGGCTGTAAAGGAAATATTGAATGGAAGATAAATATTTATTATGTATAAAATAATTAAAATACATCACAACACGATCTTAAAACAGAAAATAAATAGAAGAACAAAACGGACTATAAAACACAATTTATAATATAAAAAGATAAAACACGTGTGATAAAATGATAACGAACGATAACAATCGCCATTGAAAATTGTAAACATTGAACACCACGCGTATATTAAGGCGGCTGGCGTCAACGTTTAGTATCGTTTAGTATCTCGGTGTATAACGAGTTAGCTATAAATAAAAACTTTACCAATCACAATGGCATCAAAAAAAAGGTTTTTTTCATCGCTTAAAAATGTAGAATCATATTTCCGCATTTCCATGGGCGGTGATTAAAGGCTAAATGATCTTGTGGTGGTAAATGTTGAAATAGAAAAAGAAAATAATATCGATTTAGAAAAACCTGTAGATGTATTTGCCGGACTTAAAAATAGCCGATATTCTCTTATATACAATTTTTTTTTTACTAGAGCGGTTTGCTTCTTTTTTTTTTTTTTGTCACATTTATCATCTTCAATATTTGTATTCATTACTTATTGGCTTTCACAGGTAAAACGTATCAATTATTTATTGTTTTTCAAATTTTAAATATCTTTTAATATTTATGATTAATAAAATAATAAAGCAAAATAAAATTTTTAAAATGGTTACTAATCGTAAATAAATATATAAATAAAAATTAAAAATTATTTAATTAATGATGCGTCGCCTAGAGAATTACGATAAGTGTATTATACGACCGGTTTCGAATTAAAAATTCATCATCCGGTATATCAACGTCAAAACGTAAAACGCGACTGAATATAAAAAAATGAAATGAAGAAATACATAGAAAAAAAATTGTACAAATTGCTCGTTTTACATAGAAATAATTTATTTTAATACAGGAGAGATTATTTAAAATGGGTTAGACATAGATAATTTTATGAAATAAAGAAAAATAATTTTAATAATACTTTAAATATTCAAACCGATTTTAAAAATTATGTCTTATATCAATACATTTTAGATAATAAATAATAACCAAATAATTTATACTTCTTAGCATATCTATGTCTAATAATAACCCATTTTAAATAATCTCTCCTATTAAAATAAATTATTTCTATGTAAAACGACCAAATTCTTATAATTTTTTTTTCCATGTACCAATTTAATTTTTTATATTCAGTCGCGTTTTACATTTTGACTGTGATATACCTGCTGATGAATTTTTAATTCGAAACCGGTCGTATAACACACTTAATATAATAATACTCCAGGCGACGCATTCATTAATTATTTTATTTTTTATTTATATATTTATTTATGATTCGTGATCTACAATATCGAAACGATCAAAAACAGGATAACAGTAAACATATTGGTATTCGTGTATATCTTTGTACGGCATCGGTAAACTATTCGCAACGACCGGCTTAAAAACCTCGCACACCCAAAAAGAAAACCCGAAACGACGCCCCTGGTTTAGAATACGCCGCGTATATTGCATAGAACGGAAAACAATGGGCGAGGCGGATATTCGTGTCGGTCGTCGTCATCACCACACGAACACGCCGCCAGAAAAACAAAAACCGTGAGTGCGCCACCGCGCATTATAATGGGTAGGTACCTGCGTTCAAATAGTTCGATCCCAAATTGATCATCATGGAGAGCTGCGTGGACAACAGATCGCAATCGATTTTCTCGCCGATCCCGCGGTACAGCGCGGCCAAAATGGCGCCGTGAGCGTACATTCCGGTCATCAGGTCGGTGACGGGCACGGCCACTTTTGACGGTGTCTCGTCACCGGTGGCGTTCATCAAACCGCCGATCGAGGCTGCGATGACGTCGTAACCCGGTTTCTGTTTCCACGGGCCCTTGGACCCGTAACCGGTTATCGAACAGTACACCAATTTCTCGTTGATTTCGCGTAAATCGTCGTATCCGATTCCGTGCCTATATATTATTATAATGATATCATGATTAAATTCAAAAAAAGAAAAAAGAAAACCCCGTTAAAAAAATGGCGTATTTTGGCGATTGGTACCTGCGGTTAAAATAATTCATTACGCACGCACAATGTCATTATGATGTTTGAAAGATTGCAGTGACTATTATAACGGCAGTTCAAAAAGAGCGGTTTCGAAATCACCGTTTATAAATACTATTTATCACCAAAATCGCCAAAAAGTGCGCTATGATGGCGTATTCAAATGATTTGATTTATAAAACAATGACGTTTTAAAGAGAAAAAAAAAATTATATAATTATTATTTTTGTTTTTTTTCTTAATATAATTATTGTTATTGTTCACGATTTGATTAAACGCCAAATCTTAAGCGAAAATGATACAATATAAAAATTCTCGGTCTTAAAGTCTAATCATATATTTTATTTAATGTGCATTTATAAAAAAGTCGGGTGCAGTCACTGTTATAGGTAAGTTAATGTAAACCTGTAAGCAACGATACCATTGCTAACCATTAACCGTTGCTAACGAAAATTCGATTCTGAGCAGAGTTTAGTTGCATTGTCATTAATATGTGTGTCATAATATGATAAAATAATTAAATAGGCATTATATATTATCTTTAATAATATTTGTTTAATATAATTTTCCCGTTTTTCTCATGTTTTTTCCTGGTTTTTCACATTTGCTGGGAAAACTCTTGAAAAATCGAAAAATGACTTCCTTAAATTACCCTCCCAGTCAGATTTCCTTGCAGAGAAAATGATATTATTGTGAATCGGAGCAAAGTTTCTAGTAGAAAAGTTGTCCATAGAAAAAAAATCGTAATATTTTACTAAATTACTTGTACAAATGCTATTTTTTCGACCATGATAAAAAAAATAGTTATTGTTCGATATTAACGTAAAATCTACACTTTTAAGTCAGCACGGGATGACCTTATCTAATTGACCGACAATTTCTCGTACTTCATATTTATAGGAGACGAGACTAAAAATATGTCGATACATTTTTTTTTTCATATACTATATAGTTAAGGAACACCCTATTGTAGATAATATTATAGACTAGAATACCGAATTTTAAACGAGAAAAAATATCATCTCGGCTAATTTATTTGTTTCGCTCGAATGCATTGTGTTGGGTCATAATTTATGTTTTGAATTATGCTTGAAAAAACAATATTTACAGAATTTATGCTTATATAAATGTGTTAAAAAATAAATAACCTTTGAAGTAAGCTTTTAATATCTACGCCTAATTGAAAAAAAAAAATAAATGTATACCTATAACTAATTATGTTCCCTTAATAATAAACTCTGCGACAGAAACACATAATACTACCGAATGAAAACTTTTCTATACGGTTTATTAATTTTTTATTTTTTATTTTATAACCCTGCACTAATCAACTATAATAACGTTGAAGTACAATGAAGTACGTTCAAAATATTTTCCCTGAACAATTATTTGAACTATATTTGTTATTTGTTATTTGTATACTTTCATGTTATAATATAATGTACAGGGTGTCTCTACCGTGAACGATGGATTTATATATCTCTGTTAATATTAAAATTTTTAGTTACCCTGTAGAGTCGCAATAACTATAATATTATCACATTTTTATACATACACGCTGTAGAGCGCATAGGTATAATATTATATTTTGTTGAATCACAAATTAAAAATGTTTTCAATATATTATATGCGGTTGACGATGTTTACATTGATCTCTTCTCTATATAATAATATGGTCGCGGGTACCATTAATTATTGTAATCATCGGTGACCCAGAATTTTAAAACATATCGCATGCATATGCAAATTTACCAAAAAAATATATTGAAATATTTGGATATTGTGTAATATTATTATTATAGACTTGTGAATATTTTAAATAAAATGTGTCACTGACCACCACCACTTAACAAGAATAGATATTGCGGCCGCGATACCTCCACATTTATAAATCGGCACCACTGATTTACCAAACAAGCTGATTAAAACTGATTTACAAAATAAAACAATATTGTACAAAATGTATTATTTCAAATTCTAAGGCCTAGCTAAGATTCATCCTTAGAGAGCTAGAAATCAGAGAAGAAGAAAAGTAAGAATGTGCCAAGACGGAGACATAGTTTCAAATAAATATTTTGAAATTACACAATTAACCTATAGGTAATAGGATGTATAGATGTGTCTCTTTCAAACCACCGACGTTGAGAATTTCGAAAGTTTAAATAAAAATCTATATCAAAAACATCGTTGTATTTGGGAAAGCATCTTTGATTTTAGAAAACATCGTCATTTTGAAATATAGAGGAAATACTAGCTCTTTTCCATGGGTACATTAATGAGGTATTCAGAACCTAATACCTATTACTCAACATTCAAACCTCAAGTATCAATAAGTGGCCAATCAGCCTCCAAAAATCATAATTCGTCCATTTGTGTGTAAGAATACTCGTGAACACCAAATATAAGCAAACATCGAAGTTAAAAAATCGTTAAAGCCATTAACATCGATGTCAAACATTTCAGCTTCAAGCATCGATGTATCAAATAAGTATCGATAGTTTATTACCATCCCTACCTTCAGTACGATAATTTTTAAATTGACAGTGTAGAAAGAAATTTATTGGTTTGTTTGATACGATGTGTGTTTTTCTTACTTTATTTTTTTTGTCTGTAAACAACTTTTCTACTAGAAATTTGAATTCGATCATCAAGTAGTGTAGCATCTTTTCTAAACGCAATTTTCATCTAGTTGCAAATACATTTAGAGGAAAATGTTTTGATTTTATTGATAGTTCTCATAATAATCCGAAAAATAAAACGTCGGAAAAACGGGAAATTTGTTGTTTCGATTTTTGTTGATTTCCGGGTTACCTTATAGCAACAAAGGAAAAAGTACTACTCCGCTCGAAATATTCGTCTACTACTTTCTAATTTAACTTTTAGAGTTTTCCATTCAGGTATGCGGTTTACCGCATTTTCTTAAAATATAATTAATTAGTTTTAACGAAACAAAATAAAACGCTCGACGTTTATCGATCCCGACGATTTATTACAACACCGCCTCAAACAACACCGTATGTGTAGAAAACAGTAAACACGTTAATTACTCTAAACTCCATAGAAATTGGATAGAATGTAATATTATCAAAAAGTATATGCATTCGTTCGTTTGCGCGCAAAACCAATATAATTCACCGATATTGTGTATTCGAATTCCGAATCGGTAAATATACATAATAATACTTGCTCCACCTAACCTTGTTAATCTCGTTTATATACATAATGATATAATAATGAGACGTGAAAACATAATGAAAGTGGGGGAACTGGATTAGACCAAGTTACCCGAAACTCAGTCAAGTCTTATAGTCTCTATACGGAGTCGTTATTATCGAGTTATTACTAAGTATGTACAATAAGTATTATAGGGGCGTTAAGCCCCGCCACAAAACAAAACAAAATCGTCTATAAATGCCTTTGACCGAAAATATAATGTGGTCATGCTACCCAGTAAAAACAATTTAACCTCCCCCCCCCTCATAAAAAAAATAAACTGTAACAAAAAAACTACAACGAAAATTAAAAAATGACCTCTGCAACGCACCAACAAGACTAAAAATGCCCGCACAATGAAGTCTCTGAAAATTGTTGAGCAAGATGTCTGGTGGAAAAGTCGTTTACAGAAACATAACAAAATACGACTTACAAGTAGATGCTTAAACAATACAACGGTATTACGTTTATTTATTATTAGAAAACAATTTGTATAAAAGGACAGACGTAAATCGCATCACAGTCCGCTATACCATCGGTAGTATACCATAAATGTATAGAATATAAAGTGATTTGGTTCATATTCGTTGAAAACAGCGATAAATCGTTGCAATCAAAAATTGATTCTGAATGGGACTCGGCAAACTTGTGTTCCCCTTGGGAGTTTCGCCCCTAGTAGCCAATAAATAAGGTAAAATGGGGAAATCAACAATGGTAATTTTTTAGAAAAACTATAAGGCGTCTGAAAAATGTTTTCGAATAAAATACTGCCGGGTGAAAAATTCTTAACTTTTTAGGAACGTCGTGGAAAACCCGGAGCATTTTTAAAATGTCAAATGTAAAATGTTTTACTGAAAATTTCATTTCGATTGTATCAGCGTTTATACGCCGAAACATTATTCTATGCGCCAAAAAAAAAAATCCACGCGCAATAATCAGCCCGCTGCCGAGTCAATTCGCTAACCTATCCAACGTGCCGGGTACGTAGTTTTCGACGAGTACGTGAGACCGGCCGGCCAACTCCCGGACGATCCGTCTGCCTTCGGGCCGCCGAAAGTCCACGCAAACGCTCCTCTTGTTCCGGTTCAACGCCACGAAGTACAAGCTCAAACGGTCGTCGTTTGACGGGCCGCGAACGTCCACGAACGGCGGTCCGAAACTGCGGCTGTCGTCCCCGGTGCCGGGCCTCTCGATTTTGATCACGTCCGCCCCCATGTCGGCCAGGATCATCGAGCAGTACGGTCCCGCGGCCACCCTGGTCATGTCCACCACCCGGACGCCGTTCAGCGGTCTCGAACGACCGCCGACGCCGACGTTCGACGACGAGGCGCTGCGGTACGCGGCGATGGCCGCAGCGGAGTTCGACCGCGGACGCGACGGCCGCAACGCAAACATCGCAATCGTTTTAATACCTATACAAATGCGAGCAGTGTGCCGACCGACTGTGGTAATGCGCCGGCGCGGTATGAACGGGTATTCGGTTCAGACGATTGCGATAATCGCGGTCGTAATGACAACAACGTTGTTATTGTCCCAGTAACGCCGTGAGCGTGCGTACAATGTGTGTTATGTCGGCGGTTGGGCAATAGTCGATACCACTCGAACACGCGCACAATAACGACCGGCCGACTGAACGACCACCGCGTGATACCGTGGCCCGTAACGTAGACTTAGTGGTAATATTATGATGATGAACCGACGTACATTATCGAATCAGTCTCCCCCCCCCCCTCGCCAATATCGCTGCCCGTTATCAGCTTACATTTTTTTTTTTTTTTTTTTCTATGACGCACTAATAATCGGCACGCGAAACACAAACGCACGACACGCTACGGTTTTGTTATTATTTATTTTTTTATTGCACGCGCTCGTATTAGTATAGTCGGTAATTAAAGTGGAGGAGAGGAATATAATATCAGCCGAAAACCTAGGAGCGGTCCCGAACACTATAAATCAAACCGGACTTCCAGCAAACCCTCGGAGTCGGGACTTTCGAAAAGTTTTTCCCTCGCAGACATTGATTTAATCGTAAAAATAGTGCGCGAATATAGTTTTAAAATAAACTCACAAAACATACGCGTAAATCGCACATCTCGCCGTGTGTATGCATGTATGCTTGTTCAGTAAAAATAAAGTAGCCGGTGTTAACGGATTTTGATAAAACTGTAGTGGTGAATTTTTAATAGTTCATTAAAAATACAAAATAAAACTATCATGTCTTGAACATCACAAGTTGAATCTAATTATTATACCTATACAAAACTACAGACTAGTTAAACTTTAATCTTATTACAGAAACAAAATTAAAAAATAAAAATCGCCATCATATTTTGAAATTTTTGTTACGTCTAAAAAAGGCTAATATACTTATATTCTATGAAAATGTTCTATTATTTTTAACAGAATTAAAACAAAAAAAAAAAAATTCTCAATACTTAATGAAATCGTTATTACCGTAAACTTTTCTGTTTTTCCAACGGTTTTTTCCCAATTATTAAGAACACTGCAAGAAAAATCAAAAAGTAAACTCTAAAATCCACCAACAAAATAAAATTTGCTTTCAGAAAAGATGCTATACACTTGAAAAAAAACACAACCACTATTACCTTGCTGGTTGTCAGTTTAATGCAAGGCTATAATTTCATGTTCTTTTTACTCAAATATAATTTTATTTTTTTTAAAGTTGATATTTAGTTAACTCGGTATTATTTTAAATAATATGTTTGTACTTCATTGCACTTCAACAACAATAATTAAAACACACCAACCCTCCAATCTGAACATTAAAGACTTAAAACTAAAGTGGACCTATCATTTTACTTTAGACAAGAAGGGGACCCCATTTAATGAATGTGTAAATGTAATATTAATATCTTCAGAGTTTTTCCATACGAATAAAAACAATAGTTATCGATAATAATTTTAGTTAACACTATAAAGTTTTATATTTAAATCCCATCGGTTTACGCTGACTTTACTTGAGGCTCATAATTAAATGGTGCTAAATATTTTTAGTTTGTAGAAATTAGTATTTAAACGCATACAAACTTATATCTATAATTACATATAAAACTTCTCGTATAAGGATAATATAAGGGCAAGATAAAATATACAGATCATTAATTAAATTAGCAATAATTGAAGTTTTTAACATACAATATCGCAAGCACTAAACCACACTTTCTCCTCGCGAAAATGTAATTATTTTTAAACAGATTTTATCAAATTTAAGTATTCTTCATTATTATATGAATCTTCCTTCAATTTGAAATTAAATCCATCGAAATAAAAACTGAAAACATTGTTTTATATAACTTTTATTTGTGCGAGTACCAAAGACTAGAGGACATTATAGACTATTGTATAAATTTAGTATAACTATTGCAAGTTGAAATAGATTAGCACACTTGAAGGGAGATAAACAAACCAATATCATCAAACAACACAAAGAAATTCACTTCTAAGAGTTCTTGAAAACCTTTACAAATCATTATTGTCTACGTTCTTCAGTTAAAAATAAATATTATAACATATAAATATTTCAATTATTATTTTTAAAATAAGCATAAAAACTTAATACTGTTTATACTGTTTACGGATACGCAACTAATGTATATGGTTAGCTGAAAAAGTACAGAGTAGTTTAATTTACATATAATATGTAACCATAAATCATAAAACAAAAAAAACAATTTTGAGTAGAGTAGTACTAGTAGACTAAATAGACTTCTTTTTTTTTTTTTGACCTATAACCAAGGTAACCCGGAAATTAGCAATTATAAAACCAAATGAGACTTTGTTTATTTTTAAACTTTATAGACAAACTACTGAGAACCTAAACTCTTTTCAAATAAAGTACTAACGGATAAAAAATCGCGATTTTTTAAGGTATGGTGTGACTAATCTATATAAAAATAAAAATTCAAACTGCATAATTCAAATGGGTCATTTTTTTTATTGAAGCAAGATTTCTAGGAGAAAACGTAAGTTACAAAAATTTAAAATCATGAAATCGTTATGACGTAAATATTTCTCCATTTATACCTACGTTTACCAATTATTATGAAAACCACTTGGAAAATCAAAATAGTACCCCCCTAAAGTACCAAGTAGATAAAATATTCTTTCAGAAAAATGCTACACATAATACATCGGAATAAGATTTTTAATAGAAAAGTAATGTTGTTCACAGTTTAAAAAAAATAAAAAATAATAATAAACATCATTATAAAACCAATACATTCCTCGCTGAACTCCGAATCTAAAAGTGTTTTCCAGAAAAAAGAACACACATAGAAAAACTCATAACTTCTTTGTTATACATAAAATCTAATAAAATAAATATAATTAAAGTTACATAAAATATTAACCTAATTTTAGAACTGAATAGGGTAAACCAAATAAATAATAAAAATATCTGATACTTCTGATGAACGTTATACTATTGTATAAGAAAGTAGAGAAGGTATAGAATACATAGTTACTTACATAAAGTTACTTAAATTATATCTGTATGCAACGATAAATCAAGGCTAACAATGCTTTTTTATTCAATAAATACTTTATGGAACAGTAAAAGTAGTAAAATATTATCCAACGTTATTATAAATATACGTGCCAACTCATATAATGTATACATTAATATATTTTAGAATTTCTGAATTCTACTGGTTTGCGTCCTGAAAATCACGTAATCCCGAATACCCATTTAAAGGAGTTCACGATTTTACTTTTCGGCTTGTTTTTTGATTAAAAATTTTTTTTTCAAATTAAATTTATTTATAGATAATTCTATAAAACTGATAATCTGCAAAACATATATTTGTTTTGTTCTCGTACACATAATAGTTGCCAATAAGAGGGTAAAATATTTAAATGTTAAATCAATTATTTGTTGTAACATTAAAGTAAAATTCAAACAAAACATGGGCGCTAGCATTTAGTAGGTATAATGTATAGGTATATAATGTCTGTGACACACCCCTGAAAATACCATAGTAAAAAACGATTAATTAATTTGTCATAAATAAATCGAAAGGATTATAAAATCACTATAGTAAAAAATATAACAGTAGAAACGTACAATAATTGAAATTATATACATTTACCGACTTCGTCATAACGGAATATATCAATAATCCTCACAAAAACTATATATATATAACTATATACTAAACAAATGTTGAAAAATTAAATTGGAATACTTAACATAGAATTATGATGAGCCAGAATTTAAGTATTGTGTGAATTATTGTACTGTTAACAATTTCCCCGACAAATGTATCCCAATGAAAATTTGGGGAAAAATTAATTTTAAGCTCATTAAATTAGTAACGTATAAGTGATATCATACGGCGTATCCCACAATAAGGATAATACAAATAATATTTAATAATATTCTCATAAAACTTGTGTATCGCACGAGTCCTTAAAGCCTTGGTCCTTAGTCTTGATGTAATATTAATTTTCAATAATTTCAGTGTTCAAATTAGTGTGTTATTTGTATTATTAAAAAATAAAACATGCATTTGTGTTGTAATAATAATCGTAGCGTAAACTTTATCCACCAAAAAGACCCTTTTATCACTTCGCTCGCAAAATCTAATAGGTTTCCAATCACCTATTGATTTTAAAATAGCAGGATATTAGCGTTGTCTGTTAGTTAAGTGGGCAGTTATTGGTAACATAGTCCACCGTTTTTCACCTCATATTATTCATTATGAATAATATGATAGGACACCTCTATATACTCTAGGATTTTGAAATTAAATAATTATAATAAAATAGTATTTACAAAAATATAAAAACATGTTTTAAACAAAACAAAAACGATTAAAATAACATTTTTTTCTAAACTTTAATTATTATAAAACTAAAATCTCATTTTGTTTACAGGTGTCTCAGTCGGAGCAAGTGTTTTTACTATAGCTGCAATGAGTATAGATCGATATTTAGCCATAGAACATTCAATGTCGTTCAGAAAAGTGCTCAATAGAAAATCAACTATTTATGTAAGTGAAAAATATTTAAACTCTATGTAGGTACCCATCTACAATTATTACCGTAGTTATTGAGCGTAACATTTTATTTTAATACTATTATCTTACAACTTCAATTTTAATCAATTTAATCGTGATTTTTTTTTAACGCGACTAATTGGTGTTGGTAATAATAGAAAAATTAAAAAAAAAAATACACGAAAGATATTTGCTTACAATAACTAGGTATTTACACTCAAGTCTGTGTTGTTGGTATAAAAACCTACAACTTTTTAACTTTTAAAGCAATATTCATGGCACGCATTATCATTTAAAATAATTTGAATAGATTTCGATGCATTGTTTTATTATTATGTTTGTAAATTGTAATAGACATTTTTAAATATTAAAAACTCACAAAAACAAGTATCCGTTGACCAAACTATTTAGGTACAATATAATATATTCATATGTCCCTCGTTGTTATCGAAATTTCGTATAAAAATAATATTTTAATATCAGAATATAATATTTCAGTATACACATATTTTAAGCCACATTTAAATTTAATCTAATTGTTATATTTGCGCGGAAAATATTAACTTTCTATAACTGATTTTGTATGATGAAATTTTAAAATTAATTTATCGTAAAATATCGTTAAATGATCTACTTTTAAAGTTTAAAAGTAGATACAATTATTATTATAATTATTAGTTTAAAATTTAAACTAACTACTCATTCAACATTTATTAAACAACTCGCTCCACTCAGAATATGCAAAAACAAATTGATTACCAATAAATCCAACAAAAAATTACATTATAAAAAGTCTATGAGGGATAAAAAATGATCAAGTATTTCGTTTTGATGTTGTATAAGTACTAGTTAATACTATACGATTATGTTTATATTATTGTCTATATAATCAATATTATCAACCAGTAATTCAAACTTTTAAGATATTTTCTTCGAGGATAATTTGGAAAATAACTTAGCTCACAATTGTCTGTATCATTTCGATTTTCGATAGTATTTCAAAATTTACTTAATTTTAAAGTAACTATACCACCATCTGTATTCAATTTTTACTTTTTCTGTGTATACAAATATAGTATTTAACTTTTAGAACTGTCATTATATTTACCCAATAAAGTGCTTATGTACAATAAAGAAATACGTCATTGTAAGGTTTCTTTACTTAACTCAAAATATTAAAGTGGTTACATTGAAAAAATTATGAAAAAGAAAATATTTAACTTTGATTAAAAAATAAAAATGTATTATAATTTATAAGCGTTTTCACGTAAGTTGTCTACGTCAGACGTTAGGGCAGCCAGAACAACGAGAGGCAGTTGAAGTGATAAAATCCATGTATACATGTTATGTTTATTACGTTACTTAAAGAACTTCGGATAAAAAAAACAAAATTAATATAATGTTTTAAAGTATTTTATTATGTTTATAAATTATATAAATATAAGCTGTGGAGATTAAGATAAAACTTCAAAAATAATGCCTGAATATATAATAATATTATAATCTACCATTTTGTTGTGTTTATTTTATTGGAACTTAAAATAAATAATCCATTACAAATGGAGTAAATGGATGGATTGTATTGAATATTTGCACTTAAATAATTTTACCTATGAATAAAAGAGAATACAAGTTTATTCACTGATTTCCTATACATTTGTTTATGATTATTTTAAAGTACCTAATATTACACTATTAAAACTTTATACGACCTAGATAAATATGATGACTAGGCACTTTTTACCGAGTAGTTATGCATTCGCCATTCATTAATGAGTATATATAGTTAAAATTTTATTGTAAATGGGAAAAAATATCATAATCTATTATACTTAAAACTTGTATAATATACATATATAATATAACTATTTATCTTATATGTATATACCCTGTAAATAATTTTCTACATTGACAGGTTATCCTAGCTTTGTGGCTGGTGTCCATGGTTATTTTTGGTCCTGTTTTATGGGTCCGCCAAACTGAATCAGTAGAATTGGGTGATGATCCAATATTAATCGATGCAGTCCATAGATACGGACTGGCGTGGTGTATAGAAGACTGGGGCATTACTCATCCAAAGTCAACACTATCTAAACACCTATATGGTACATTTTAGTTTATAATATTTAAAAAGTGAAATGTTTAATAATAAAACTAGGTATATAAATTAAAATTGCAGGTGTTTTATGTTTTGTCCTCGTATATGCAACACCAGGACTTCTAGTAACTGGAGCCTACACATTAATGGGTAGGAGACTGTGGGCAGTACGTCCGCCATTCGATGATCAGCAGGGCATGATAAGTGTCCAACAGGTTAAATAATAATTAAAATATGTATACAATGAGCGCCGCTTATAAGACTCACTTTGGGACCAGCACAAAGTGAGTCTTATAACCGAATGAATCTTATAGGTGAAATGGGAAAAGATACTTTATTTTGTTCTAATTATACTGTTTTACTACAATTATAACCATAAAAATTACGAAAATTTAAAATGCAATAACTTGACCAGTTAATCGGCTTTGTATTATTTATTGTATTTTATGGTATACACTACAATATCTATAATTGCAATAAACGTGAAGTGCAACAAAATTTTAATTGAAACCACTTCAACACAAATAACTTTTTAAAAACCAATTTATTTCAAAATTTTAATAAAAATATTTAAGTCTTATAACCGACTTTCTTAAACGTATTTAGATACGTCTGCACCGTTCCAAGCAATTTTGAGTCTTAAAAGCGTCTTATACATATCATACCTCAGTATATACACATATATACATACTGTATTATTTTTTATACATGATACTTACCTTTCCCAGAAATCTCTTTCGTTTAAATAGCAAATTCATTATCTATAAAAAAAATCATCTGACCCGTCATGACCTACAGTATACAATTCTGAGGATCGAAAAAACTGTACAACCTAAACAAATTCCAAACTATTTAATCCATTTATCTCGAACTTCAAACTAACTCACCCTAATATGCCAATAATTACACATTTTACAATAATTTAAGTATTCCAACACTCCTCACTCTTGCATCCAGCCTCTACAACAATTTTACAAAAATACCTTAACCAATAATCATCCAAATCTTTTTATCTCTAATCTCTCCTCTCTTAATCTTCTTAGCAACCCACACTGTCATCTTAAACGCAATTGATCATGAAATTTGTTACTTCTAAAATATTAAAACAAATACAATTATCTATCCTCTTTGAAGTAGTATTACGCGATATCTCTTTTTATCACATCATTTCAACTTGTACATAATATAATTATATTATAATTATCAAAATGACCGATTAAAAATATAAATTAGTGATTGTATAATTTTAAAATAAAGACAAAAATAATGATATGTACCAAAGTATAAAAAAATTACCATCAGATCACTTTATCATAGTGTTAAAAAATAATAATTTTGAATAAATAATAGACTAGCTAATTATAAAATATAAAAATATTTTTTTTAAATATATGCACTTCACAGTTATTGACAATAATATAGAATTATAAGCATGTTCAAATTCAACGAAATTGTTTATTTGTAAAGTTGTGTGCTTAATAAAAACCTATAAACCAATTACAATAATTGCATGATTAAATGTGAACAGTTTATTAGTTTTTTTCATTTATAACAGAAATGAATACCAGCTAATTATAGCAATTTAAAAATATCTATTAAAACCTTTTTCCAAGAACGTCCAAATACTTTTTGACTAATTTTTAATCGTGGAAAAATTAAGAAACTATATATCAATTTTTAAAAATAATCAATAAAAATATGTTTGTGAAGACTTAACATCCAATTAAAATAGTCCAATTGTATGTTATTATTTTCCTATACTCAACTGTTCAATAACATTCATTACAAAATATCTAAACAAAAAAAACCTTAATTTAACTTATTTTTTTCATTAGTTATACATAATATAGGTACTGATTGTAGCTTTTTCAGTTATCATTCTTCAGGGTGATCCATGAAGATCTGACAAATGCAATGACATTTATTATATTCAATTATTTTAAGTTTTTGTTTTTTGTAGTAATTACTAGAGCAGTAGAGCCCAACACTATGATTCTTATATTTTATATTTTTTTAAACTTAAAATAAAAATCAATTGCTCACAAAATACAGAATAGCTATTTCTAAATGTACTGTCATTAAAATGTTGGTGTTATGTACAAATGTTTAATAATAATAAGTCGCTAATTTTCTACAATTTTTTTCAAATTTATGGAAATTTAAATTTTTTTTAATGGTACTACTAAATACTAGCAATCAATTGACCTATTTTTCAATAAAAATAAATTTGTTCAATTTACAAAATGTTTAAAAAATTAATGGCTTGACATAAGTATACATTTTTACTTATGGTAAGTACAAATAGACTTTGTAAAATTCTATTTATCTACTTTCTTTACTTATAGTAAAATGGCCATCTTAGAATTTGAAAAAAAATCAAAAAATATTTAAATTTACTTTTTTTTTTTAATTAAAAAAAAGTATAAATAGAATTATCTTAACTTAAGGGTCCAATAACAATTTAAAAAAAAGCTCATAAAACAAGAAAAAATATTGAACACAACAAAAGTTATTACATTTAACAGATCTTCATGGGAAACCCAGTATTTCTACAATTTTATCATAATTATTGCTCTCTTTATTGGTGTACCTACAATAACATTACACATTTTTGATATTTTTATTTAATATTTTAGGTGAGAATGGTTCGGGAAAGGCGAAGAGTAGCAAGAATACTATTTTTTTTAGCAGTAATATTTGCAATGTGCTGGCTACCATATAACTTGCTGACACTTTTCTTGGATTTAGACCTCGAACTTGACAGTTTTGGTTTAGATCAGGTAGCTATAATTTTACAATATTTATTTTATTTTATTTAATATTAATTATAAGTTAAATGCAAAATGATCATAATGTTTTACAAAATACTCGAATAAAAAATTACGTATATGTACAATATTATTTAAAACTAACTCGTATAAAATGCTATCTTATAATATTATGATTGATAAATCGGAGAATTATATTTTACATATATTATATTTATATCTATAAGATATTATTTATTACATTAGGACGTTAATACATTTTCTTCATTTTAGGAATGCTTAATGAAGTGGTATCCTTTTACACTACTATTGGGGCATGCAAATTCAGCAATCAACCCTTTGTTATATTGCTTTATGACCAGAAACTTTCGCAGAACTATTAAAGGGTTTGTATGTAATACTGGAATTGCTAAACCCAGAAGAAGAAATCGATGCAAAGTAAGTTGATAGTCTGAGTTAGTAGATTTAATTTATATAATATGTATAAAAAAATATCTATACTTATTTAATAATCTACACATATTATTTATAATTTAATAATAATCTAACCTCTTCTAAATCTCATATTTTATCTATGCCTTCGTAATATTTAATGTTATCAAAATCATAGTTTTGACGAAGTATTATGTATTAAAACTCAATAAACATAATACGTGTGTAAATATATTTAAATTAAAAGCATATTATGTTACATATAATCTAGTATTTTAATAAAACCACACGTTTGCAGTTTTTGAAATACAAAGTATAGAAAATCAATTAAATTTCAATCGGTTTTTCTTCCAGACACCGACGATCACAACTCAATCATTTCGATTCATGATTTAATAAAATATATAGATATAAAAAGTAATAAAATAAGTAGATACTTAACTCTATAAAAGTAATATAAAGTATAGAGAATGTATAGATGTATAAAAGTAGGTAATGAAATTAGAAAGAAAAAAAGCCTAATACTATTAATAAATATGCCACTGTTGAAGGATGGAACTTAGAAAAGTGGACACATAAAGTAATTGAATTTATATATGTACTCAACGATAAACAATTACTAACGAAAAGCGATTCTGAGTAGATTAGTATTAGTCATGTTTTTACCCTTATTGCCGAGTTAATTCAAAAATCGACAAAAATTATACCAAAAATAGTTTTTTTTCAATTTATTAAGAACACAACAAAGAAAATCTAAAAATTCATCCAATTACACCCAATTCACCAACTAGGATAACAATTTTACAAGAAAATTCCTAAAAAATTTTTAATTGGAATTAGATATCTGATACAGAAAAATTGTTTATAGACACGAAAAAAAACACATATCAAAACTATACTAAGTTTCACTTAGAATCTAAAACCATTTCGCTTAAAAATAAAACGTTAATATATAAAAGTAATAAGGTATAATTAATACGTTGTTAAACATTGTTTATTAACCCGTATAAATGGGTACTAATTTTTACAATTTTATTATCTCGTTTAGCCATTGAACAACATTAATATAAATTGGTATACCTGGCGCCACCATACGTCTTCCGACCATTATCATCGTGTACTTCCACTCATTTATTTTAATCACTCCTACAAATAAAAATTACTTGAAAAATTATTATCTGCTCAAATTTGAAATTGTATCCATTGTACATTTTTTTTTTTTTAATATTCTATATATTATAAAATATAATTATATCTATGGAAGCGAAATACGCTCGTTAAGCTCGTTATAATGGCTGTACAAGTGAGTTACTTCTCTTTGCACGAGCTCATTTCTGAATTTAACATCTTTTTCATTTTTGAAACCTTCGATTTACTATGAAACACCACGTATAATTATGCATCCGTCAGTATAATAAACCGAAAAGCGTTTTATTTTTTGATTTTTTTTGATTAAATAAATAGTTCTTAAAACATATTTTTGTTACCTACCAAAACGAACTATATAAACGTGCTCAAGAGTAAGATTATATAGGTAGTGTCCAAACGACCCTACAATATACATATATTATAAAAAAGGTAGGATACATAAAGTTGTTTAATTTATATCTGTAAGCAACGGTAAACCATTACTAACGAAAAACGATTCAGAGCGAAGTTTTGAAAGGCCGTAATATTTACGATTTACGATTTGATACTAAAACTCTTATAAAAAAAAAAACCACATCAAACTCAACTATTTCTTATTGATCATAAAGTACGAATTATAATGAACCTTCTATTAAATTTTCAAGCAATTCTACTTGTTATCCATAAAGTACCTACGAAATAAAATTTACGTAAAAACTCGGAAAATTAAAATGTCTATAAATAGCTCAAAAATGGTATAAATGTTTTCAATATATAAAAATAGCAAATATAAGTTTTCTGTCAAATGTTCAAGTCTCTTCGAATATTTTCAACGGAATCACAACAAAAAAACAAAATTGAAAATAATTAAAACATTATTTTTGTAAATTTCCCCCTTTCTTTCAACTTTTTTTTTGATTTTGCACAATTATTAAAAAAAAACTTCAAGGAAAATCAAAAAAAGACTTTCTTATCCACCAATTATATTAAAAATTTGACAAAAAATGTATCTTAGCATTTTTTGATTAAAGCAATATTTCTGGTAGGAACACAATTTTCAAAAATTAAAAACAATGAAATCGGTAACCCCCCGGCTCGCGACGCTTTGTTAATTGTCACCGTTTTATCTATAATTTTCTTTCCGGGTTTCTCAATTATATCGAAAACCCGTTGTCTTGAAAAATCAAAAAAAAAATGTCTGTAATACATCAACTAGAGAAAATTTCCTTTCGGAAAAGATGCTATACTCTATACATCGAAACAAAATTTCTTTTCGAAAAGTTATTTACAGATGGAAAAAAAATTACAAAAACTACACAAATAACATTTTAACATTAACATGTAGATATACATTATAGATTTATATCAGATAACATTATTTCAGTAAAAATATAACAGAGGCTGATTATCTCACTTTCATTTTCGGGCTATAGTTTAAATACAAAATTGTACGTATTGTGGTTGGTAAAAAATAACATTTCTCTCAATATACTTAATGCGTCCCTTACGAACAAAGACCTAAACCGACAAGTAATTATTAGATAGTAGACATAGAATAACAAAATCCGATCAATATTTTTCACAATTGATGAAAATTCATTATTTTTATAAAACCATACTGGAAAAAAACTTATAATAATGAAAACGAATTAATTTCATTGTAAATCGGATTTTTCGTTTAATCCCAAATCTCTTTTGTCCGAGAATTGTAAGCAACATAGATGTAGGTTTCCTATCGACTTCTGTCGTAATTCTACAGATTCATCGTATTGGCTTACCGCTCTAATTTATTGTAATATAATATATCAACTACATACTATAAAATACACTGTTATTATACTCCTGTAAACCATAAACAAAAAAAAAAAACCCAAATTTAATGGAATAATCGTAAAATGTGCATATTATAATAAATAAATGATCAGTCTGGATTTGCATTAATCGGTTTCAGAAGGGGCTGACAGAGAAAAGCACAACAAGTGGATACGGCTCGTTCCGCAACCCACGTCGGCCGTGTTTCACCCTGACCCAACTACGCCAAAACAACACTATCCAAACGCGAACGACTGCGACCATATCAAACCTTGCTGTCCTGTGAACGCGGACGCCGAGTTTATTTTGTAATAATTCCGCTCGTTTGACTCAATTTACTTGTATTGTTCGATGTATGTGTATTATGTGTATATAGTGTACAACATATATTATATTTTACGCATTTTCGTTAATTTTAATTTTTTTTTTTTTTTTTTTTTTATTACTATTATTATTATTACTATTTTATTTATTATATGTATGAATTCGTTTTTCTCAATCTATATATATATATAATAACTACTATAATATAATTTATTTATAATAATTATTATAATGTTATTATAATGCAATCAATATTGCTGTACCTATACCTAATTCAACGAAGAAAAGTGTCAAAATATAAATTGTATAAAAACCCCGAAGTTTACCAACTCAATTACCTAATGTGTATAACTCCACTGATTCCATTAATAAACATGTATACAATATTGTAATGTGTAAAAAAGAATATTGCACACGTCGTGTAAACCATTAATTAACACAAGACAAAATAACCGTATTGTACTTATACAAAATTGGTAACTATTCGAAATTAATATTAATAATTACTGCCATCGCGTATTTGTTAATGTTTAATTTTCTAAATTTCTATTAGGTACCAAAACGTCATAATTGACGTTTATAAATCTACATGAAAACATGGCTTAAATTTAACAATTGAATTCAAAAAGTCGAAAATAACAGCAACCCTTGTTGCGTGAATGTTACCTTTCATATTAGAAGCGTAACGAGGAAAGTTTGATTTTACAATGATTTTTTTTAACTGTGAACAATAAATTTTATTCCGATTTTCTAATGTAGTACCTTTTCTGAAAGGAAATTTTGTCTACTTGGTACTTTAATTTTCATAATAATTGTAAAAAACCTGGGTATAGAACATAAGAAAAACGGGAAAATGTATGTACTTGTGTACATACATTATCAGTTATTTCGCAAAAACGTATGTCATCATGAGTAAACTTCGTTTTATTCTCGTTTATGTTTACCTATTATTTTACTACATCCAATTTATTTCTTTGCGCTTTTTTTCATATATTCTACTTCATTAATCTCCAAAAATTACTGCATCTTCAGCACATGATAGTAACGTCTCGTTACCAATCACCTCAATTTGTCGGGTTTCATTCGTATTATTTCTCATTAATTTTTCAAATAAAATATTTAAAATTCATTAACAATTCATCCTCTTGTCTTAAACTGGACTTAAATCAATAATTGGTTTTTGTTTCTTAGATCGTAATCTTCCAACGGTCCTTGTTAGAGATTTATTTTATTTTTGACCACGTTTTTAAATCCTGTCCAGTTCATGTTGTGTACCTAATAAGATTATATTTTCAGCAATTGTCCAATATTTCTTTTTGGTATGTATCTATCTTCTTTGGATTCCTAATTTTTCATGTGTCCAATTTGTTAGTCTTTCTTGGCTGTTACTCCTCAACTTTAATGAAACCGTTGCAACTACTAAATAATGATTTGTGTCTCCATCCCTGCAACTTTTAATGTTAGGAATCGAAGTTTTATATCGTTTATCTATGACAATGTTCTTAACTTATTTGAACATTTAAATTACAAACAGTTACTCTTATATAGTTTATCGGTGTAGCTTCAAAAGTTCTTTCTAAAGTATCATAGAAAATACTCTGTCCATTTCAAAAAAAAAAAAGGAATTAACCCAGAAATTCGTACAAAAGAACAAAATCAATTATTGTAAAACTTTTATTTTATTAATTTCACTTCAATATTATTAAATATAGAAGCAATTAAATTATCTACTTTTGATGACTTAAAGATCCATGATTTTAGGTACATGCATAAAAAAATTCTTATCAAACCCGTATTATCAAATAGACCTTATGGCTTATAGTAAATAGATATTATAATAATTTATTTAACATTTAATTATTTTAAACGAACGATATTATAATATACACAATATTATGTACTATTATATACATCATTATTGTGGTATTAAAATATACTTTTCAACTAAAACATAAAAAAATATGATAAAAATAAATAAAACTAGGTCATAATGTGAGGTGTCCAATATCTATGAGCTTATAGAAAGTGGACTACTATCCACCCTTGAGCCGGACTTATCTATACCTACAAAATATAATATATATAACATAATATATTAAGTATAAATAAGTATTTTTCGGAATAAGATAGTTTAAAAAAAAAAAAAATGGATATAATAATATACGTATACCCATCATGTGTTTCAATTCTTAGTATCGTATTTCACAACATAATATTATATATAATTATTCAAATTACTTTAATTGCATAAACAAGTTTCAACTATATAAAATATATACAACATTTTTACATTTTAACTCTTTAGTAATATTGTTATTCATTTTTTTTTTTTTTTGATCATGACTATGATAATATTGAATACTTTATTCTTTAAATTTTGTAGGTAGATACGTTATGGTAGTCAATATACAATATTAACAATATTATTATACTTGTATTAGGCCAATGATGAAGTGAAAGGAAAAAAATTGTCAATGTTTTACGAGTAGGAGGTACGTCAAATTAAAAAAAGAAAAAGCCAAATCTAACGATACATTGGTTTATTTGTGATGTCCAACACTAATACTACAACTCGTAATGAGATGAGTCCAGACCATAAATAATAAAGAATAATATATTATTGAGTAGGCGAATCAGAATATGAAGTTTAAATTTAGCTATTTTCGTTGACGATATGATAAGTTATTATGTAGTCAGTTCTTTATACTTTTGTTTTTTTTTTTTTTTTTAAATATATATTTACTTACCTAATTCTATGGATTTAAAAATTCTTCCATTTGCATTAAATGTGTACTTCAAATAGGTTAAAATAGCATAAATGCAATTCAAATATATTATAACAATCACATATGGTTTGGCTTTAGACTATACCGTTGAACAAGACCGAATGACCACGAGATCTCGATTTTAAGATTTGAAGAAAAATTAAAAATTATAAATCAAAGACAACCGGATGATACCTATTCAAAAAAATAACCTCATTATAGGTCCGCCATGTTTTGTTGATAGTTAATACTATCAATATAATTATTTTGAGTAGCTGTTGTTACACAATAATAATAACCATATGGACAGAGTGCTAGAAACTTATAATACAAATATTATGAGAAAAAAAATGTGTGTTGTAATTATTTATCATTTGACACAAAACAAGCATTAGTATAATACAATATCATAATTTCTATGAAACCATACTGTATTACTACGCATAATGCATAAACCTATATTATTATATCAGGTAAAAATATACATAAATCGAATGATTAAACAATTTTGTCATGTATTATAGGAGTTTTCGATATTAGTTTATATCGAATATTCGTACCATTTGATAGAACGCTGGTTGGACAATTTAATAGATACAGTATACAGATACGTACTATAATATTTATATTTTTATATAAAAATATTAAACAAAGATTTTAAACTGTGTTTTAACTGTATGAACTGCCCATTTTTACATATACCTAAATGGTCGTTATCGTTATCGCGTCTTTCCGTAATGTGATCGTAAACTAGTTTTTGATAGTTTCTAAAATTATACACATGAAACGAAATCATAGATTCCCAGAAGAGTGAGCAAGATAGGGCGTCACCCCATCTGGCTTTTTGGAAATACATTAAGTGATGTGAATATGAAAGTGATTTCATAAAATATAAACCAGTTCACCACTATATAATCTTGCCCCCCCCCTAGAATATTGAAATTCAGTGTATAGGAAATATGAAAAAAAAAACAAATATATACTAATAATTTGAATTTTACTACGAAAATTAATTAACTATAATTTTGGGTGAAATTATTTTATTATCGCAACGAAAATCTAACTAGCTTTTAACAGAATAAATACTACATTGTTTAACTAATATTTCCCAACCTAACCTGTAATAGTAGATACACTAATTAAAATTGTTTTTTTTTCTTTTGCATATTAAAATTAATGAAGTATATTTCATAAAAATTATCATAAATTATCGGATATGTTTAAGAGGGGCCCGGTACTGGATTTCTAAATGTTTTTCTTTGTAAAATTTAAAAATAATTTTGATCATTTTAATGACCACTTAAAAATAATAATTTTTTCATTAATTTATACCACCTGATACCCATTAAAGGGAAAGAGGTACGGCTGTTTTTACGAACGATCACCCCGAACTTCACGGTTTTGACACCGTTTCGCTTTTAATTGATAAAAGACATTCTACAACGCCGACTGTTTATCTGATTTCAATTACCAGTTTAAAAAAGCCGGTAAAAACCGCTTAAAATTAACCCTTTTAAACACGTAATAATATTTTAAAGTTTGATATTATAATGTTGAACAACTGAGTTCGATTCGGTCGGCAGGAAATTGTATCCTCTTTCCAACAAAAAATGAATCGCAAATTCTACGAGTTATTAGAGTTTAAGAGCCAAAAACCGCACTGACAAGCGGGCCCCTTAACTTAATATAATCATAATTGCATTAGAATAATCAATACGGTCCTATTTTAAAACATCGAATAAGTAGAATGCTGTGTAAATTTTTAAAATGTCCGTAAATAAAATTAATTAGGTATGCAACAGGTATTCAATGGTTAAATAACATGGACTCTCTGTCTATGTGTATAGGGAGAGAGTATAATAGTATAATTAGAGCGCGGATTTCTATGTAAAAAAATGTTGTTAATGAATGTATGCACGACCGTGGGAGTAAGATATGTCAACGGTTCAAAGTGCAAAGAATTTGAGTACAAAATTCTACGTAGATACGCGTCCCGTTGGTCGAATTTTCGATATCTAAATATCGTTTTACAGACAACAGACTACTCACGGCCCGAATAATTAATAATAATTTGTTTCCGCGTAAATTATCGCGAGTTTTCCTCCAGTGATTACGCGTAATCGTTTTTGTATTCAAAGTCTAATAAAATTGAAAAATATTTTTATTTTTTATATTTTATGACCGTCGTGCTTTGATTAACGAGTTTTAATTTAATGAAATCACGATCTAAAAAAAAAATAACCGTTTGTTATTATTATTTTAATAGTGTTACTGATTTTGTTAATTATTATTTATTAAATCTGTTTTGCACATAAGTACATATTCTGATGTTAAGAGAATATAAGCATCGTAATTTGGCTATTTTAAGAGGATATAAATCCGCGCTCCAACTGTAGTATATCGTCATATCGCGAAGAGTTTCGCCATTAGAGTTTGTTTGTACAATGCATAGTTCAAAAAGCTGCGGATGCTATTAGCGAACTGCAATATTTTTGAAAACGCGATGCGTTTATAATTAGACGTTCGGGATAATCTCCGCTGCGCAATGATACGCCGCATGGGTATGCCCTTTACTGCACGTACGTGCGCTCGGCGAAGAGCGACTGCCTGCCTAATGCTACCAACCAAGGCAAACGGGAAATCTAATAATCCGACCAACTTTACGCTGTTTGTGTGTACACATTTTACAGAACACTACTATATTATTATTATTATACCAGTTCTGCAGCCGTCTGTTGAATATCGTTGACCGGCTTTTATCTAATCTCGTGTCATTTGGTCGCGTTGTGTTGGCTGTGCCCGAACGCAAGCTCATCGTTTTTGCGTGCATTGTGCTATACAACAAACGAATCATTTTAAAACGCTAGCTGCGCGGTCCGTAATTCGTAAAATGTTACTAAAACCCAAACGACAGTGAACCATCATCATTCAATACGGTTAATCGTTTTTGTTTTATTTTCAACCCGCGGACAATGCAATTTGCTGTGAGTTCGTTGCAGTGGTTGTTTATATTATATTCGATTGTCGTCGACGCTAACGCTAAATGTAAGTTCGATTTGTAGTTTTTTAGCAATACATTTCATATATTATGCGAATCCGACATCTAGTTTTTCTTTTTTTCCATACTACAACGCAAAACAATTGAATAATATTATCGATGAAATCATATTGTTCCAGTCAAACTATGCGTAGTGAAAAATAACGGTATCAGTGAAAAAACTAAAGATTATTGCCCGCCTTTAAACAAGGAAAAATCCAGTCAAGTGGAATGCGAGTTTGCAAACGATAGGTAAGTGCCCAACACTTTGATAATTCATTTCAAGCCAGACAAAAATAACTATTTTAAAATCATAATCGTTTCCCGAATATAATGTTTACTGATAGTAATACCTATATTAACTGTATTAAAATTAACGATTTATTAATCTAAAGGCGCGATGTGTTAAATCGACCTGCGTGATTTGCGTCGTAACTGCGTCGTTTTATTTTATTAGCATTTTAAAAATCGCATTTTAATTTTAAATTTAATAATAATTGCGATTTGCTGTTGAACGAATTCTTAACCAATCTTATATTTCGCATACGGTTTTAAATAATACAATAATATATATGTGTGTGTAAATATTTTTTCTCCAACGGTCGTACCTGCGTGTACCTATTATGGATATTTTCATGTAATAATATACGATAAGGCAGGTATACTGAAGTATAATAACAAAACCAGCCTTAACGATTGCCGAACAAATATCGGGTGCCGGTCAAAATATCTCGAACGAAAATCTCTGATTTTGTCAAACCCGAAAAAATATCTCGTGTACTTATTGTTATTAATATCCGAAACAACATGCGTCCCACAACTGGAGTGATGTGGTTGGTACAGCAACTCCTGCACCTCCCCTTCCCTCAAAAAAAAAATAATAATAATAATAATAAAAGATCTGTATAGCCTAGGAAGCAGACCCAAAACACTTGTCTTTTACTTTTTCGATAAATACAAAACACTGTTACTAAAAACTGCAACTCATAAAATATCATCAAGTATGAAACACGCGTCGCATTATCACCGTTTGTTGTCCGTTTATTATTAACGTTAAATCACCGGCATCAACTGTCTCCGTCTTACAAACGCGGGACATAGCAAATCTGTGTGTGTAGTAGGACACATTTTGTAACGTTCGTTTTAATATTAAAGCAAATCGGCTTGTTATCAAACGTAAAGAGCCAAGCAGATTACACGTGCCCCGGCATTGGCGTTTTTTCGATTTTTGAATTTTTAAGCAAGATATGATAATTTTTAAATTTTGGTATTTTACATACCCATAGCTCGTTTAAAAATAAAAATATCGAAAAAACATTGGACAAACCAGGGCACGTATAATCTTCTTGCCTCTTTAAGTTTGGTATTAAGCCGATTTGCTTTAATATTAAAACGAACGTCACAACATGCGTCCTACGTTGTCGCACTTTTGTAGGACGGAGTCAACAAATGCGTGGATAGCGTCCTTTTAATACAATAAATCGCGCGATATAGCCTTACACCAGTACCTAGTTGTGGTTTTTTTCTTGATATTTTTAAACATACGCACCATCTCGAAAAAAAATGCCTCTAGTTATTCCAATGATCCAGAACCGCGCGCCCGCGAAAAAAATAATTGGCGTTTCTCGGTGTGAACCGGTACGCGGTGTATACAACACTGCTGTAGGGCCTCTCAGAGATACGCGTCTACGGTATCCCAGGTATCTACGGTTTTTACGCGCCTTGCGATTCGTCATCGTGACGATACAATTAAATTATAAAATATTATCTTCGACTCGGAACGGTTCGTTAAAAAACAAAAAGTTATCACGTTGGAATAATAAATTAACATTTTCGCGCGTAGAATAGGTCGAAACGTATAATATTATATCCCCCCCTCCCCCGTACGTAATTAGCGTATTAATAATGATAATCCATTGTGCATAAAACGATAGATTTCGTTACGCGATATTATAAGTGTAAAACCGGACTCGAACTGCAGTGGCCGGCCGAGGTTGAAGCCCATGACCATGAGTCGATTTTCAATAATACGTAGTTATCATTGTCGAATTAATCGCGTGTTGCACATAATATTAAGTTTCAATATAATATTGTGTATTATATAATATTATATATATTAGGTATACCTACTACGATGTGTACAGAGTGATTCTTTTAACTCGAATCGGTCGATAAATATAATATACATTGGGGAATATTAAGCCGGTGGTCTGCAATAGTAAAAACTAAAAAACTGCCCCTAGGATAATGGGGACGGGTTTAGCCACTGTAGGGGGGGGGGAGGTTCAAGTTGGAAAAGTAGGATTCAGATGGCAATTTAATGTATATCTATATGCAACGATTAGCCATTGCTAACGAAAAAACCATTCTGAGCGCAGTTCAGTTGTTGGCGCGTTGCTTTGTCAACAAATATTTATGTCATATTATGATAAAATAATTACGTATGCATTAAACATTTTCATTAATAATGTTTGTTTAATATTGTACCTATTTTCCCATTTATTTATTGGAAAAACTCGTGGGAAAATTAAAAAATGACCTCCCTAATGTACCTTACCAGGCAAATTTCCTTTCAGATAAATTATTACGCTTGTAAATCGGAGCAATATTTCTGGTAGAAAAGTTGTTCACAGATAAAAAACAAAAAAATAAAACATTGTAAAAACATAAGCTTGTTCGCTCCACTCAGAATCTAAAAAGGTGATCTGCTCACGGGTAGGTCGTTGTTTTAAGTGGTTAGTTGGATAGGTAGGATAAACGGGGTTGTATAATTTGTATACTACATACACTGAAAAATCGATTCTGATTTGTATGTTTTTTCGCTTGTTGTCGAGGTAACTCGCGAAACAAGGAATTCTCGGTTTTCCCGATTATTCGGAAAACTACAAATAAAATCAAAAAATTACTTCTCCAATGCACCAACTATATCCAAAATTATACAAGAAAGTTTCTGTGTTTTGATTGGCGCAAAACTTTTGATAGACAGGTTGTTAATAAGCAGAAAAAAAAATTTAAAAAAAAAAAACCCCCAGTAGTTAGCCATAACCAATACATTTCTTATAATTAAGATAAAAGTATTAAAAAAAATCGTTAGTTAATAATAATAAATGTTCGATATTGTTATAAGGACGAACAAGACAAAAACTTTTAGAACCTACGAGATTTATGTAAATATTACATTTTGTAGGTACGTTTATTCGAAACAAATAAGTATATTTAAATTTAAATTATAGACGATTACCGATTCGTTTTTAAACCATTGCTTTGAGACTTGTGTCAACATTTGATAAATTCTGTACTACCCAGTTGCGATAACTACGAAATATACTAATACCAAGGGCGTATTTATGGGGGGGCTGAATGAGCTGCAGCCCCCTCCCCAAAAAAATAAAAATAAAATTATAAGAAAATCTAAAAATTATTTCCGTGGTTTATGAAAGTCACTGCAAAAGTTAAATTAAATTGCATTTTATTGATTTTAAATTCGCATGTTGTTAGCTTATCTCATAGACGAAACTTTACCACGTGAGAACGGATGCTGGGAATCAAATAAATACTAATTTATTATAAACCTATCAGTAATCACACGCTTTTCTGAAATTAATTTTATCAATAAATATTATTTCGTGTACAACTGGACAGTCTAGGTACCACAATAATAATAAACAGTAATGATCAATAACCTTTGTGTTGGTTTGCTGTTCATACCGAATTGAGTTCGCTTGCAAGAAAATGTTTTTAATTTTTTTTCATTATTATTCATTACATGATTCATATATTATTATAATTTTTATTTTACTGAATGGCAATGTTTATAATTTTGGATCAGCCCCCTTCCCCCCTGAAATAAAATCCTAGATACACGCCTGATTAACACTCTTAGTTTACCTACCTATATTATAGTATTAACTTAATGTGTTGATTTATACCTACGATTTGTATACTATTATAACCTCCGACTCCCGTCACGAGTACCAACTACGTAATTTCCCCTATTGCAGAATTATTGATTTAGATACCTATTTGATATAATAGGTACTTGATATAATATTATCCCAATGAAATCTTATTGTTTTATCCTATGTGAGATTTTCAGACGGCAATAATATTCGGATATTTTAGATAGTATATAGTAGGTAGGCACTACACATAAAGATTTTTTTTTCGACGTTTTTTTAACCAGAGTTTTTATTGTTATAGATATTTTGACCCGTCACCAAATTAACAATGCAAACGATGCAAGGGCAATCCTGTGAACTTGTTTGAATGTAATACCACTTAAAAATATCCATAAACAATACCTTGATAAATAAATGTTTTGTATAGACTGCATTGTATAAGAAAAATTCTGAATGGAAAGGCAGACTTTGGAGTGTTTCACGTGGAAGAAATATCGTATGCGACTAAATGGAATGAGTATTTAAGCATTACAAATGAAATTCGTTTATTTGAGAAAGGTACCTAATTGACTTGTTTTATATCATGTCATTATAAATACATCATAGATAATAAAATAATAATATTATTCAAAATAATTATAATTATTTCATAATGATTTACAGTAGGCATTTAAACAATAGGTGTATAATAGCAATTTAATGTCAAACATTAAATTATATAGGATCCTGTGAAATATGTACACATATATCTTTGTTCCCAAAGAAAATGATAAAAATAAAAGAAATTAACTAAAGTTCTTCCTTGAGACTTAAAAGTCTAAGGAAATATTATTTTACAATGCATTATTTGTTCAAAGTATATAAAAGTTGTAAACAAATTTGAAAGGGAATGGGATAAATGTATTTTAATTTTTACTGGATAAAACTATCGCTGTAATTTTGACCTATCATACCGAATTCTAAAAAGTGTTATTTTTTTTTAAGTCTAGCCATAAACACTAGCTATAAAGTCAAATCCAAAATACAAAAAGTTCCCTATTTAATTTATTTCTGTAACGATTTTATCATTCACTAAATTACAACTTTCAATAAACCAAAATTTATAAGCATTTCTGTTCTGCCAAACTGTTCTGTGCTCGGCCAAACAATTGTATCCACATAAAGCCTATTAAGAGCAACAAAGTAATTTAAGTAATTAGCTATGTCATTATCAACAATAAACGTAATAATAAATAATTATCAAAAAAAAAGTTAAATTTCATAAAATAATCGAACAACAATAACTTCACATTAGTTACAGATAAAATTAAAGAGCTAGGTAGAAATTATAAGATGGATACAATTTAACAGTTACTTTTGGGGAAATTTTACCCCTCCTAGGTAAAAATTACGTGGGATTAAAATTCGCCTGTTACGCCGGTATTAATCGAAACCGGAAATTAATTTTTATATTTTTGAAAACCAAAACCCAAGCCTAAACCAATAAAATCATGAAGGTCCCTGGTTTACTATCCATTTCGGAAGTCATAATGTCCTTTTTGCACTTTATTTCGACCTAAAATACATATTTCAACTAGTGTCTATTATTTTCATTAAACGGAAGTTAATCTACAATAAATCGGATTAGGTATATAACAAAAAACAACAGACATATCTCACACGATGGATGATGGCCACTGTTGTAAGTGAGAAATTAAGAATGTAGGATATATAAAGGGCAATTTTAATGTATATCTATGCACAACTATTAATCATTACAAACAAAATACGATTCTGAGCGGAGTTCGGTTATACGTATTTTTAAAAACTGTAATATTTACGATTTTGATCAAAATTTTTAATTTGATTTTAAAATTCTTATACAAAATTCTACATTACACTCAATTATTTTTTTTTCTGATCACGAAGTACGACTTATAATGAACCTACTGTTAAATTTTTGTTTGGTCTAACAATTTTATCCACAGAGTACCTACCTACCTTATTAAAAATTACGTAAAAAAATTCTCTAAATTAAAATGTCTATAAATAGCTCAAAAATGACTAAAATGTTTTGAAACTTTTAATCTCATCTAGAAAATGCAAATATAATTTTTCTGTCTAAATTTCAATTCTACAAATATTTTCAACTGAATCGCAACAAAAAATATAATTGAAAATAACACATTTTGTAAATTGTCCGGTTTTCCTAAGTTTTTTCCTGGTTTTATCCAAATATTATGAAAACCTCTTGGAAATAACTTTCTTAAAGTACCACCCAGACTTAATTTACTTAAAGTATGATTATACCACCCAGATAAAATTTCCTTTCAGAAAAACTACTACACTTGATACATCGGAAGAAGATTTCCAGTAGAAAAGTTCTTGACAGATAAAAAGAAAAATAATAAACAAACATCGTGTTAAACCAATACATTCCTCTTTTCGCTCAGAATCTAAAAGTATAAAGTATATGTGATATGAAATTACTTAAATTTTCATAATACTTTCAAAAATATTAAATTTGTGTACCTATTAATAATTATATGCTACTCAATAATGAAAAATATAAATCTGAGAACAAAATAAATAAGTAATATTAATTTTGAAAATTTACAGAAAAATTTGATTATAGCATGGTAGTTTTAGTCAATGAAGATGCTAACATTAAGAACTTAAATGATTTAAAAGGCAAACGTTTATGTCATCCTGGATTTTTTGAAGGAGAAACAGCAAGTGGATGGTCTAACATAATATCTCAAGTAATCATTTATTTTAAAACTGGTGGTTATTTAAAAAAAAATAGTGGAATTACATTTGACAAAATAAACAGATAATATCCATTCTTCGCTTCATTTGATTATTTGTATTAGTACTTTCTAGAGTCATTGTGTAATTTTCAAATTATTCTGATATATATTTATAACTCTTTTATCTATTTTAAATTTTTATTTGAAATTTACTTGTACAATATTTTGTATAAAAATATGATATGTCGGTAGGTATGTAAAAGAAAAACTAATGAATATTTTTTAAAAGTGTAGTTTTATTTGTCATGCTTTACCTAATTTTATTTATCAACCTTATTTTTACATTCAGAATTAATGTAGGTACCTCTGTTAATTTATTATACAATTTGTAACTATAAGTCTATAATTAAAATATTTATTACAGAAATTATAAAAGCATATTACCAAATATTATTACGTGTAGTATGTACCTAATACTTATATTATATTGTTACATACAAATATTAGGTTATCTATTTTTAATCAATTAGGTATAATATAGATTTTAGTACAGTACCTAATACTATACCATACAAATGAAATAATATTGGTAACACACATTCATTTTCAATTATCTATGTATCTAATTGTATCTAAATAATACAAATATGATTCTAGTACTTTGAACGAGTAGTTGTTCCACAAAAATGCAATCCACAATTAAGCATAATAGAAAATCAATTAGAATCTCTTTCAGAATTCTTTGGAGATTCATGCAAACCAGGTCAATGGGATCCAGATCCTGATATGGATAATAGACTTAGTAATTATAAATATTAGACAATTAAAAAAAATTATGTATTAAATTTAAAAAGTGACTGTACAGAAGACAAATATCCAAATCTATGCACAAACTGTAAAAATCCATCAAAGTGCAATGTTAATGATCAATTTTGGGGAAGACAAGGATCGCTACAATGCTTAAGTGACTGTTTTGGAGATATAAGTTGGGCCAGACTCTCTGATGTCAGAGCACACTTTAAAGTAAATACAGTACACAAGTATAGTATCTAAATAAATTATTATTTATTACTAGGTACCTTATTTAATTATAAATTAAAAATTGCATTTATACATGATTTTATATTTAAGGGTGACAGTACAAATGCTTGCAGTAAAATAAGTTTCCTCTGTCCAAATGGAACTTTACAACCACTGGAAACTTCTAATCCGTGTACTTGGTTATCTCGACCTTGGCCAGCTATTATAGCAAGAAAGTAAATATATTTTAAAGAGCAATTTAGTATCTATATTCTATACCATTTTATACAATATAATTATAAAACTGTTCCTAGTTCAACAGCATTAAACATTCAAGATATGATAAACTATGTAAATACAGCTAAAGAATTACAAAATGCATCTTCATGGCAATGGGCCTTAAACAATTTACTTTTATACTATTCCGAACCAATTTCATCAAATACTATTAAAAGTCCAAAAGATTATCTAATGGCAGCTCCAGGCTACATAACAGCTGAAGAGAAAGGGCAGTTGTGTAATGACCGTACATTTTCTATGTGTATTGAAACTATAAGAGCCTTACACAAATGTCAAGTACTCTCAGATATATCTATAATTTATGGTATACAGCCTAAATTAAAGTGTGTTATGACTCCAGATTGTGGAAAAAAATTAAAAAGCGGAGAAGTAGATATAATGATTTTGGATACTGATAAAATTGCACAATTTAGAAGGTAGGTGTACATTTTATATAAAAAATAACAATAAAATTTAAATTAATTAAAAAATTAACTAAACTTCAGAAATTATGGTATTTCAAAACCAATACTTTATGCAATTTCCCTTTATCATCATTTATATCGAAAAATGAGCGCAGTAATGTTAAAAAAAAATGCTGTGAGTGATATTCAAGAGTTAAGAGGCAAAATAGCTTGTTTTCCTATATTTGACGGTTACGGTAAAACAAATCATTTAAATTTGGAAATAATCTTACATTTCTTAAATAAGTGTATAATTACTTTTGTTTTAGCTTGGAATTCATTTTTATTAACACTAAAACTGCAAAACATAGATTTATTTCCTAACAATAAAACAATAGAGAGATTCTTTAAAAAAAGCTGTGCAATATTAAGTTCTGACCAAAGTTCAATACCAGAATGTGATTTTGATGGTGAAGTATAAAATTAAATTGAACTATCTTGAATATATCAACAAAATAATTTTTACCTTCAGATATTTTACCCGAAGATAGTAATGAAAATGGAATGTGGATTGAAACTCAAACTCTAAGATGCATAATTGAAGGAGGCGGAGATGTAGCTTTTATCAATACTCTTCATTTAAATCAGTATTTAGGTAAGCAGGAAGTAATTTTATTGTATAAAAATCTAATTTCAATTTTTTCTAATTGAATTATATTTTGTGTAGATATTTTAAGATCACCGTTAAATTTACCAAGCAACTATAATTCCAATAATTTTACAACTATATGTAATCATAAAGTTCGCTCTCCAATAGATTGTCCATTGTCTTGGTCTAATTTTGGACAAGTAAGTAATTTAATTTCAGGTCTATTGTAACTATTATGATTATAAAATTAAAACTTACTAGGTATTTAATACAATTTCACTAGGAATTCTGCTTTATAATAATGTGTAACTTACTTACTAACCTAACCTTACATAGTATAATAGGTACCCATTTTCCACTAAAATTAAATAATCAGTTAATTTTTGTATTTAGATATTGGTTAAAAAAAATATATCTTTAAATACCAAAAGAGAAATAATTTCATTATTAATGGATATGGATTTAACTTTTGGACAAAGAAGAAAAACCACTTATATAACACCACCAGTATTTTCTATGTATGGACCTTTTGATGATCTTTCTGATCCTATGTTTCCGGTAAATTTGTTAACTATAAGTACCATAATACTTAATATATAATTAAACAAAAATATGTTTTAACTATATCTAGGCAGATGCACAAAAATTGGAAACTATTCAACAATTTAGGGAACACCCAACACCACTAGCACCAGAATATGAATCATATATTAATATTTTATATGATCCCAAACCTAATGTTAGTTCTGGTGTCCCAATAATACCATTATCATTATTACAGTTATTTATAGTTTATAGAGTTTTTTTTTAAATATTTTACATAGATACTCATAAATAAATAATGACAAATATTATCTATCATTTAAATTAATTTATATAATAAAAACCATTTTTTATAGTTATTTAGTTTTTTGTGTTACCTATCAAATTGAATAAGTATACAAGTATAAAAGGAGTTATATAAGTTTTGAGATTTGTCTTATGATGAGTGTTATACGCTTTTAAAATATTCAAATAATTTAGATTGTCTATATTTATTTGCATACTATTATATTATTAATATGGTAGGTTATTTTTTAGCCACACAAATATAATATTGTACATTGCATACCTATCCATAAAATAGAGAGTGATTTTTTGACCACAAACCAGCAATATCTTGAAGTTTTTTAAGTGAATTTAATTTCAGTTTTTTCTAATTATTATGGAATCATTTGAAGTTTATTTTAAAACCATTTTTAATTTTTCACTCCTACTCCATATACCTTAAAGAAGTACATACTTTTGAATACATATTTGAATTGAGAATATTTTTCTAAAAATGTTAATATACTTAAGACTAATATCAGAGTTATAACAGTTTAAAGTTTAGGCCAAAGACATAGGGAAGGGTAATAAATTTGTTGTACAATGTTTTTCTTTGTTCGCTTTTAGGTTTTCATTCAATTTGTTTTTTTTTTTTAATTTATTATGTATTTAGTAAAATGGTAAACAATCTTTTTGCATAAATTATTGAGGTATTTTTTTTTTTTATATATATATTATAAATCATTAACTTAAATCTCTGGCTGCTGAAGTCATAATGTAAAAAACTTGAAATTATAAATACACAAGTTTGAATCATAAACAAATTATTATACCTAAAAACAAACAATGATAAATCAGTCTTTATTAGTTAAAGTATTATAGTAATATAATTATTTATAGATTTATCATAATTTGTTTTATTTTATAAAAATAATAACTGTAGGAATTAATTCTAAACCTTATTAGTTTCAATATATTAATCTGAACTGAAACCAAACACTTTAAGATTTCCAGTATCTCTTTTCCTGTCAAATTGATCTTTATCATCACATGCAAATGCTAATAAATACTGTTTTGGATGCCACGCCACTGTGAATGTTGCTGCTTCAATTGGTACTTCAGTTATCTTTAAAAAAAAATCATTTAAAAAATATAATAATACAACTATTAATTTATTCTTCAAATATCTTAATTTAAGTCTTACTTTTTCTCCTGTAGTGACATCTGAAATATCTACATACAAATCTTCACTACCTGAAGCCAACATTTTACCATCATACGAAAAACTTAAAGCTCGAACTGGCCAATCCAATCTAAAAATTTAAAAAGCAAAAATTCAATTAATAAAACATTAAAAATAAATTAAATTAATTTTTTATTTATTTTATTTAACACTAATAAAAAAAAAAAGAACTCGTGAAATTTTAAAAAACAATAAGTCCAATAGTAAGTTGTAACATACGCTACCTGTTATATGTTTGTACACAAGCCAAATCTTCAAGATCCCATAAAGAAACTGAAGCATCTGCTGAACCTACAGCAAAATAAGCACCACTTGGCGCAAATTCTATACAAATACATGTACCTGGATGAGCTTTGACCACGTGTCGCTGAACTAAGTCTGGAAAACTGGAATGGGATTAAAAAATTACATATTTTAGAAATAAAATGTTAAAAATTAATGATCAGTTTAATACCTTAATACATAAATACATCCTAGACCATTTGTCAAGAAAAACAAATCACTTTCATTATTCCATGACATTTCATTCACTTCAAAATTGAACTGTTGTTCACTAATTGGTTTAAGAGTACGCATGTCTATAAAAGTGATTAAGTCCTCTTTGTTTCCAACAGCAATCGTATGGCCATCAGGTGACCAAGTTATATTGATATTTTCCCCTACAAATAAAAACAAAATTATTAACAAAATTAAACACCACAAAATGTTTTTAAAATACCTTTGGTCGTAATAGTATTTGAACATTTTTGATGCCTTACATCCCATACTTTAACTGTTTTGTCACCACTAGCTGTGCTCAGTAAATCAGGGTTAAATTTATGCCAGCATAACTGATCTACACTACCGCTGTGTCCTTTATAAGTAAATTCCTTGTTCTATAAAAAAGAATACAAATTATCAATGTTTGATAATAAATTTAATTTTAAAAGGCATCAAAGCAAAATGTTATAGAATATTTCAATTTGTAAACAAGTAAGCTCCATACAATTAAAAAAATATATTTCAAATTTAGCATCTTTGGTTAGAAAAAAAATGAATACGTGCTTTTTATATTAATAAAGAAATAGCTAAATAACAGTCTTTAATACAATATTTTAAAAAGTAATTTGGTTTCAAATGAAATATTTTATAGATATATATACAAGCTATATTCAAATTAATAAAATTATTAGTAAAATGTATTACACCAAAAACATGATTAACCGTCACTATCGGGATTAGGACTATGGCGGTTAACAGAAATTTTGCAATATACATATAAATATTTTAAAATGTGAGTATTTTTATACATAATACAAACACACATACAAAACAAAATAATCCATCATCTCTTTAAGATAAAGATAAGATAAACTTGTTTATTGCTTGTTCTCATTAATATTTATTTATTTTTTAACAATGACGGATAACAGAGAATTAACAGTTAATCAAGTTTCTACTGTACCTAGATTACCAATAATACTTATACAATTTTTATTTAAACAAATTAACACTAGACTATGAAAAAAAAAACACTGCTGTGTATTGGTTTATGTATAATATATAACTTTGCTTTGATACCCCTTAATTTTCTAAGTAAAATATACATAAATCACATACCTAGAGAACCTCACTGTTTTTTTTCTAAATTATTTTAAAAATATATAAACACAATTAGCACTTAATGAGTATTTTGATACTAAAAATATTATTACACACATGTTAGTAACAATAACAAAAATTTAAAAATATATAGATTGCAGATATATTATTTTTAAATATCTATTTGTCATAATATTTGATTAGTTAATCTATATTATAATGAGAAATAATATAAGACAATTATGATTTACTCGAAGTTATCAGAAAAATGTACTAATAAATATGAAGAATAATTTAATATCAAAATATAGAATAACATTTTAAAGTTACACTGGATTGAAAAAACAAACTTTAAACACATGTATGAACCAATTAACTAATTTTCAAAATTAATTATTGATGATTTTTTTTTCCAACTTATTCTTTGGCAACTAATATTCTAAATTTATTAAGAAATATTTATCAAAAATTTATTTGTATAAAATTCAATAGCAGAAACCTAATATTAATTCCATTTATGATAAAAGGAGTAACTTAAAAATGTTAAACAAAATATAAGTTTTATAGTTAAAGCACGCATTTTATATCCAAATAAAATATTACCATTTCAATAAAATGAATAAATAAAATATGTTTACTCTGTATACAATTTTAATTCACAGGAACATTTTGCTTTGATAACCATGTTTAACTTAAACAAATTGGGTACACATATTTAATAGATAGGTAAATAAAACAAATTTGAATACTCAAAAAAACATTTTTGTTCAACAATAAATAACTTTTATTACTACTACAAAATTATACCACAAAAGTTAAGTAATATTTTTTTGTTCAAAAAAAAAAAAACATACTATACAATACAAAGATTGAATAATTTTACTATCGGTCTATTAAAAAAATAGCAAACCAAAGCCCCATTGACTTTTATTTAACACAATAGAATCATTTTTCGAATAAAATACTGGTAAACAATAATTAATTTCTAAGCGCATTAAATTGTTGATGTTTAATGCAAAACCAGCTCCATATGATAAACGAACGTTGCTGATCAATCCTTGTAAATCATTGGTCAAGTTTCCTAGTCGATTTCCAACATTACCAGAATTCATAAACAAATGTATCCTTATTAAATGAGACAGTCTATTTTTTTCAGATAAAAATGGAAGTGGAGCGTGTACATGTAAGTTGCACCTCCAGTACATCAATGAACCTGTAATGCTACCATCTTCTTTTTTACCCACGCCACATTCTTCAAATCCTCTGAAGGTCAATGGTCCACCAAGATAGAATCGGTCTAAAATGCAGGATTTTCCAAATGCATTCAATACTCCAAAGGAAAATGATTCAGTAACAGCTGAACCCAAGATTGTTGTAAATGTTTTTTGAAGGGATAATTCATTTTTTAGAAATTCATTGCTGCCACCAATTCCAGCAACTTCCAAAACCCAATTAATAAAAGACCCATAACTGGGAAACACAGCGCTATCACGAGTATCGTAAGAAGTTGTCATTTTAATAGATGACTTCATAGTAAGTCCAAGCTGTTCCCTTATACCAAATGGTGCATTTGGTGCATGTTTCAAATCTCTAATCACTCCTTCCCATCCTAAACTTATTTTTAAACATTCATAGTACAGATTTAATCCACTATTTAATCCATATTCATCAAACGAATAACCAAATTTATTTCTATTGTAATGGTTCTTAAACACTGATGTGTATAAATATGGATTAAAATAAGCAAGTAATGGTTTTGTAAAAGTTATGCAACCCGTAGAAAACTTTTTGTTAGATGAATATACATCTGATATTACATTTAGTTTTTCACCACGGCAAAACAAGTTCAAAAATGATACTCCAGTTGAAAGTTTAGGATCTGGATTATTATCAAAATTAGTATCGGATAATAATTTGATATGTCCTTCAATCCAATTAGATTCTTTTACGTTAATGGTAACATAATATTTATCCTGTCCATTGACACTATCAACATCTAGTTTGGCAGATACTTCTTTAAAGCACTCTAGTTGCATTAAATTTGTTTTAGCCATTGCAGTCTTAATGATTATATCACCGATGGTCTTAGAGTCAAACAGACATTTTGTTGCTTTTTTAACAATATCATCTTTGGTTCTTTTTAGACCTACAATTTCCACACGATCGACCCTGATTGGTTTTGTCTCAATTAAATTAGAGGTATCCATGATTTTTATTAAAACTCACAGATGAAAAATAAATTATAAAAAAAAAAAAATGTTAAATTGTTCTAATTTCTCACCAAACGGTCTTTATCCAATGTAAATGTTGCCACAGATTTATCGAATGAACAGGACGCTAAACGTTTACCGTCACAACTCCAACCAACTGAATGTACTTTTGATGAATGAGCTTGAAATTCTTTAACTGACTTATGTGTTTTGAAGTATTCTTTAAGTTCATTTGCATCGACGTTAAAATGTTTCCAGTAAGTCATTATAACCGTGTAGAAGTATGGTTCAAGCACGTAAAAGTACGGCAAAATAAAAAACTCGAAATATAACCAAGTCCATATCACCATGTAATGGTTTATGGAACAAGGTATCACCGCGAGCATTCGATAATCCGCAGTGTGGCCAATATGCATAACAAATATTGTAATTACTAAACTATATTAACACCAGCCAATACGCTAACAACGCGCCGCGACAATAGGTACCTACGACATTTTATTTTATATTATTAAAACAGTAAAAATAAATACAATTTTCTCATTTTCCTCCCGATTTTAGAAAAAATGTCAAAATATCGAAAAACCTTATAAAGCTTTTTTGTTTGTATACTGTCCATGAAAAATAAACCGTACTCAGATTTTCGATTTGGTGTAACCATTAAAAAAGATTAACTAATTTTAATTTACACTGATTATTTAGATTAAATAACTGTTAAATTTTAAAAATTGTACTCGACAATTGTTATAGAATAATAAATAATAAAAATTATTCACCATTTCAGACTTGAAATTAAAAGCAGCTTAATCATTTGTGATTTGTGACAAGTTAAATTCTATATTTAATAATGTGAACATGTATGATTATTAATCATTGGAATAGAATCCTATCAAAGTAATGCATTTTTATATTTTTCCTATACCTAAATTAAAAATTTTGTTTATTATTCAGCACATGATAAAATTCCATGTGGTATTCAGCAATAATGTTATCTAATTAGTACAATTAGGTATCTTATCATTTCTCTCGTATTATATCTGTTATGGAAAAATATTATGCTTCACAAATTTTATGGCAATCTTTAGCCCTTCAATTATTTCACTCCCATCTTTCGATTTTTTTTTTTTTTCGTGATTTTAAAACTAACAATCCCCAAAGTAAATTTTTCACAAACAAAATATAATTTAGCTATTTTTAAATAAAAATAATATGTAAATTATTTTTGTTTGTATTTTGTTGATAGATGGCGTATTGGAGAGAATGCTCGTAATTGAGAAGGTTGAAATGTTATAGGTTCATATAATATACATGTATAATTTTAAAACATATTGAACACATTATTTATTTCTTATAATAGGTATAAGGATTTACTTTCTCAGAGTATACACAATTTTTCTTAAAAAGTGCTTAGTCGTATAGAGCGCAGCACTATACCTGATCCTAATTTTTTCATAATAAAAGCGTTCGTTTAAAATATAACTTGCCAGACCTAATATAAGACCATGATATACTATACAGGATGTGGAACGACAGCTTGAAGACAAAAGTTTCTCAAGCCACCTCTAGATATGGTCAATTTATACAGCCGGCGCTTAATTGTAACGGTGGTTTATTTTGTACTACAAAGCACCATTAATATACACGGGTATTATATTTATATTCTACAATCATGCTACAATGTTATTAATGTGCCTATTGATTAATACACGAAACTACAAAACATAAATAATTTTTTCTATCCGGCCTGTTTTAGTTTTTCTGTCAACAATAATGAACAAATATGTTTTATCTGACCAAATGTTGTGTACCTAATTTAATTCTAACCAAACTAAGGTGATCATACGTCCTGTTTTATACAATATTGTCCTTTTTTCAGCTTTGTGTCCTATATTGTCTTGACGAACTTCGTTCAGATATATTTTTTGTCCTATTTTTTTTATGCTGATGCCAATTATTCCGAATTAATTTATATTTTATTTAATTTTATAGATATAAATGTTTTATAGTTTTAATATACAAATTAAAATTTAATTTAATTTTTACATAAAATAAATTTGTTGATATTATAAATATTCGTTATAGATTAAGTATTACAGTGATTCCGATTTTATTCATGAAAAATAATAACCATAAGAATATGGTGATAATACGAGTACCAGTACATCTAAGATCTACGAGGGGTGTATTTAAAATAGTTAATAATATAAGTATAATTATAAAAAAAAAATAAAAAAAACTATTATAATTAATAAATATTACTTTGAATATATTATTGAAATTATTTTGCCCTATTTTATATTTTTTTAAATATAGTCATTGGTTATCCTAGACTAAGTGGACAATAAATGGCATTCCATTGCATGCCAAAGGTAAATGGGGAAATCCTAGTTATGTGCCTGATATTTGGTAGATAGTATTAGTTATTACATAGTAGCCGTGGTGGCAACTAATATAGCGTTTTCGATTTGACAATAAAAAATGTATGCAGTTTTTATTATTATTATTATTAAATTTGCTTATCATGGCGAATAATTTGCGTTGGTGGTTAATTCTTTGAATTTTTAGTCACGTAAATTTAAATAATAAATCACATGCCAAAATAACTAGGAATTAGGTAAGTAATAACTAATAGATTAAAGGCCACTAAGTCAGTTTTATTTTTTTACTTTTTCTATTGCATCAACTAAATTTATAATAATATAGACTATTAAATAATAGCAGGTTATTACTATTTGCAACTGGTATAAATAAATAACATTGCAGGAAAAAACACGGGGATAGAAATATTTTTTTATGGCCGTCTCTGAGTTCCAAACCCAATAATTTTTTTTTTTATACCAATCCCGTCACTAATAAAAATAAGATTAACTAAAATATTAGTTATTACAATATTACTATATCAGTACAATAAAAAATATTGAATCCAGACACGCAAGTAATGACTAAAAAGTTTAAAAGTTAAATATTACTATCTTTATTTCTAAATAAAATAAATTACATGGGACGGAATTAGTATATTAATTTTAAAAACTCGGGACGGAACTAGTATATCCTTAAATTCAAATTGTACATTTAGGACTGAACTCAAATGTATCCTTTTTTATGGATGTTATAGTTATAACTACAGAACAATATACAGGTAGCAAATAAAATGTGTTATTATATTTATATTATTTAATTCATGTAGTAGTAGAAACTCAGATTGGATGATTTTTCTTAACTACTTATATAATAGTTTTTTTTTTTTTTACTTTTAGTAAAACAATTTATATACTAAATCACTTACAGATATATTGAATTGTTCTGGTAAGAATGGTTAAATTGAATGAGATGAGATGAATTTAACGAGAATGAAATGACATGAAACTAGTAAAATCATATACATTTTCCAGAACAATCATTCAATGACATTGAATTGGACAGCAAGGGTATTTAAAGAGAGATATGAAATAAAATGTAATGTGTTATTTATTTATTTATGAACTAAATCCATTTACGACAGTAATATATAATGATTACATATTAATAACATAGTGAAACATAGACATAATACAATAAGAGTTTCCAAAGTATTAAGTATAATTATAATTCGACTGAATTGACAATGAACAATTAAAATGTATTTATAAATAAAATAAAATTTAATAACTAATATTATATACGAATACTACGAACCGCACAGTCCGTTGTTTTCCGTGACTTGTATTCGTGTAACACAGACACAAAGTTACTCTGCAGTCTTCACAGTAATCGCTAATCACTGATTAGTAATCACTAATCAGTATTCGTTATACTATACGCGCTTTACCTACAGTTTGTTAATATTTCGAACACAGTCACTAAATTTTCAAAATACCTAATTAGTAAAAATGTCTTAAATTTTTTTGTAGAAACGACTTAATGGTCTGGCAATGTCGGCTATTCATTATGATATTGGATTTTCAAACAGATGTCATCTAAAAATTTTTTTAAATTCGAAGCGTTTTATTTATAATATTTAGTATATAGAACTATATTGCTTGAACTATGTGATGTGTTATAAAATGTGGGTAAGGGGATATGGGGCAAAGCCCTTCACGAATTTATCTTGCTAATTTATTTTGATATTCTCCCCTGGCCCCATATAAACAATCTCAAACCACGTATTGTGTATAATATGCTACATTACTGCATCATAATATTATACGGTATAAAAGTTAACATGTATATAGTTAATATTGGTTCAGTGTCTACTGAACTATAGAGAGGAAAATACGGTGGACCGGAAACAAAAACTAAAGAGAGGAAAACACGAATCAAATCAAGCAGTAGAATATCGTATGATAATGGTACGATTTACGTTGTGAGTGTTGTGACAGTAAGTTGGCAACGCGGTTGAAGGATAACGGTACCTGTGTCATTACTCGTTACCACTTTGATTGTAATAATAAAAAAAAAAAAACTAATAAACAAAACAATTTCATTTATTTAGTTTATAGTTGTTTTGTTTAATTAAACGATTATTAATAAATAGCGTGAAATGCTGTATAATTGTATAGTTACCTATATATTGTATGTATAATATTATTATTTATTACGATAAAATAATCATGAACGTTCCCTACTGCCTACGGCCATGGTCGGTTGTTAATTGTTAAAGGAGGGTTTATATAATAATAAAAAAACAGGTATATAGTATTAATTGTATCAAAATGAGTAAAGGTGGTAACCACGTAACATAATATGACGACACTAAATGTGGTCGAGAAATGTTTCGCGTCTAGCGCTGGTCACACTGCGATAACAACAACCCGTCCACCGTCGTCAACCTGAACCCATTCGTGTCGCGAAAATTTACGAAAAACTCTCTCCCTCTCGCTCATACGCCGTAGTGAAAATGATTTCGCCATGCAGAACTTAGTGTTCGCATTATTGTTGTATATAGACATACTATATTGTATACATATAAAATGTTCAGTTTGTAGTGATTTGTCAATATTATATTAGTCAATTAATTTTTTTTTTTTAATTTTTTTTTTGTTTCGTTCCTGGTTTTATTTTATTTTGTTTTATTAATTTTTTACAATTTTTTGTTATTTCGTTTTATTCATCATCTACAACACACAACCATTTCACGGACGACAACACGGTCCTGTCGCGCTGCCTCGAGCTAGTGGGTGTTGCTGTGCGCGCGCGTGTGTGCAGTGTATAATAAATCGCGTATTCGACGTATTTTGTGTGTAATAAGCCGGAAGAATTGATCTACGATAAAATATCAATTCGCTGCGTTTTGTTTGTATTGGTACACGATAACTACAGCTACCTATATAGTATCTACAATCACATTCGGTGAACACCAATTGAACACAACTTTGACGGGACGATTGTACACCTATGTTGTCACAGGCATGAATATTACCCTGTACTCAATGTGGCGCCCAATCAAATGGATAGGGACAATGTGACTGCTATGGAAACTGATAAAATAGTGGACGACGATATCGGTAATCCTCAGGTAAGATATTAATTTGTGTTAGATCGGTACACGATAATATTATGCTTGAAATCCAATATTATATTCCCATTCTATTTGCGTGACTACCATTATGTACATTCTCTAGTTGTAGACATCAAGGTAGTTAATTTGCTTACAGTTGACAGGTATAACAGGTTCAAAATGTAGGTTTAAAACCATCTAAATATATAGGTAGACCTACTTTGCCAGATGTACCTACTTATATTACATTTTTATTTTATTTTTTATCTCGTTGAGAACGATAAGGTTTGGAATCACTTTGGTTAGGTATTTATTTCAGTATTTACTACCTATCTAATATAGATATCTAGATTAGCTTGGCTATTTTTGTTTTGTATAGCTTAAGAATTATTTCTGAATAGATACCTAGTTAGGTATAGATAAGTACCTAATTTTTTTTTTTTTGAAAAAATATATTTATTACATACAGGTTTTATATTTTCATGTAAGTGAACTACAGAAATCATACATGCAAATTATATTTACTGCATACTCTGGGGCATACTCACCTACATCATAATAGCTCAGTACCTGTCATTATTAGTTATAGGTAGGTAGGTAAGTTATTAGGTAATAACAATTTAGTATTCAGTCTTCAGTATTGATTATTTCTATGTAGATATGAAACTATGTTTTCACGTCCAACGTTTAACTCCTGATTGGTTGTAATATTAATAATGATATCTTATTTTATAACATTACAGACCAAGTCTCAAAAAATATAACAAGTGATTTATATAAATATAATAATACAAAAAAAAAATGTACAGATATTTAGTTAAAATAATAATAAATAACAGTAATAAAAATATTAAATAAATGTTGTACCTACTGCTCTGTGGTATTGATAAATACTCAAGATATACCTATTAACCAAGGTAGTGAGGTAAAATTATTTTATTAATATACAAACAATTAATACATGGTTAGGTATTGTAATACAACACAAATACAATGTGAAAAAATCATGTCATAGTAGAATATAGAAAGTTAATATTTGTTATTTTGGTTTAGGTTTTATATTTCAGATTCAAAATTGGGTTCATATATGTATAAATATAGTATAGGTATTAGTCATTATTATTTAGTGTTGTTTTTTTTTCTTTAGTTAATTGTGAGATATGAACTGGCTATTTTACAGTTATTACTAAACCACTGTTTTGCTATGTAATTATCATTTACTTACTCTCACTCGTATAAAATAAGACCATTCTAAACACCAATTGTAGCATCTTCTGTATACATAGAACAAATGCAAAGCGTAATGTTGTTTTTTTACATTAATTTTATATTAGACGGTAATTAAACCGTCTGTTGTACAAAAATGTTGAATTATTTTAAACGTTATATCGTCTATAATTGTATTTGATAAGTTTTCAGGTATATCGCTTTTCAGCTAATTAGATGTTTTATTTAAATTGCTATACATTTTTAATTTTAAGTTATTTGTGATAAGTAGTAGTAATATCATTGTTATCAATGTTATAACCAGGGCTCAGACTTTATAGCATTGAAAATAACTGAAGTATGTGCTATAATATGACCTAAAAAATCTTAAAATAATATAATATATCATAAAAAATGTGAAAAAATAGATTATTATGTGAAATGAAAATATAATACATATAAATATTTTTCTTATATATTCACATAAATAACAGATTTTCTTTATTGTTTATGAAAAGTACTAAAAAAATATTATATTATGCATATTAGTAAAAACCAGAACTAAAAATCAAAAATACTTCAAATATGCAAAAAATAGCAGTATAAAATTTCATATTTGGATTCTAGTTCATAAAACAAAACATATATAGTATTCTCTGATATTTTTTCTGTATCTTATAATAATTAAAAAATGCTATAAAATCCGAACCCTGGTTATAACTAATTGGGGAGGAAAAGTTTAGCATTGAACGTGAAAACATATAGTTTCACTCCGGACATGGAACTAGATACTGCCTAATCTAAACACTAAGAAATATGGTAAAAATATTAGGGTAGTATCTATCATTGATTATAATTATTAATAAAATCAATGGTACTTTTATGTAGTTAGGGTACTAATATTTATAATTAAATACACAATAATTTAAATAATTCTGCCAATCATATATATTCAAATACTTTTATAGTTGTATTCTTGTAAATATTTAACAGACTAATTTTATGTAGGCTTCAATTATTTTGTAAGATTAAATTTACCTACCTTTATTTTACTCTTTATATTTTATTTTCAAATAATTAGTGGTAGGTACACATAAACTAGTTTAAAGGTATCTCAGTACATAATAATATTTATCTATAAATATATTTTGAAATAAAATTTTGTTGAATTGTTAATTTTCTAAACAAATTTGAAGTTTATGATACTTTAAATTATTTTTACTGTCGCTAATAAATAATCCCAATTGTTTCACCAATTCAAACACCAACTTTTTCATAAAAAATGATTTTTATTTCAAAATATATTAATAAAATGACACTTGGATTTTGTAAAGAAAAAAACATTTTTATTTTTAGTGTTTTTAAAAAATGTTAATTAAAGGATTCAAGTCTAGTACTTAATTATTACAAAAAAAAACTTTTAAATATTGAACAGAAAAAAGTATTGCATTTGTTAGATCTAATATGTTAAGCTTATTTATTGCTTAAATATTTAGGTACTATAAGTTTTCATAGATAACTGTTTCTGAAAAATTAAGGATTTTTATTTGATATCATAAATATAACAACTAAGGTACTACTAATCTTGATTACATTGCTATCTAATATGTTGAAACTTCTGTTGTAACATAAAATCAAAAAATGTGTGATATTATCCAATTTTTTTGTTGTTATAATGGTATATCATATTATATTTGACTTGGATACATTTATGTCTACAACTTTGAATTAAAGATGAATATATTAATTAAAATGGATCAATTTGACCTATTTAAAAATTAAAATTATAATATTTAAACAACATAGGTATCTACCTAAAAGACTGGTTTTTTTTTATGAGAACAGAAAAAAATCTTTCTATTGACCTACATTTTTAAATTTGATTATAGAAACTTATACATTTACATGTTTATATATGTATAAAAGTTAACAATTTTTTTTTATCAAACAATATAAAATAATCATGTTAAGTTTTTGTACCCAAAGATATTTTATAATTTTGAATATTATTAAAAAAAAAATCAAAAATGTATGTTAAGTTATAGATATTTTGGAAACAAACCTTTTAAAATAATTACTCAAAACCAAATTATATTCTACAATACCATAAGAATAACAAATATTAAGTTCTTTTTAAATTACCAATATAATATGTGTATAAGTAAGCTTAAGCTCTGGTTTGAAGGGAATGTTAATTTCTATTAGCTTTAATTTAGTAAATCAATTTCTTATACCAATAATAATGATTAAACTACAAAATTCATAAATATATGGTATCTATTTTAATATTATAATAACAACACTTACCTATGATTGAATGTAAGTTAATCTAGCTTAGTTTTAAAATTTATCTAATCGGTATTTTATTTTTTGATGTTTTTTTAACAAAATTATATTTACTTAGGTTATACCTAAGGTACCTTATATTAAATATACTAATACTATAATCCCTCAAAATAAATCCTCTAGGTAGTAAGTGAGATGCTAAGGTAATAAAGTTTTTTATTTACCTATATTTTCTTTGGAAGAAATTATAAGTATTTACTTACCAACTATATATTATAATCAATGATTTGATATGATTTTATCAATCACTTATACAATTTGATTATAATATATTTTCTTGAATTCCACATGGTTGGTGCACTTCATCTAAGAATTATCATGAGTGATGTAAATAATATTGTTAAAATAATTAATATTCTTAAGAAGAGAAAAGGTAGATTTTCTCATAGCAGTGTTTGAATGGGAACTTCTAGGAAAGATCTCGTGGTGTGTACCTATGACATGGTGGATTGAAGTCTGAGAGTAAATTACTAGCGGAAATCAGTGTACAAATACGCCTGGAAATCACCAAAATCTTTGATAATCTAATAGAATATTGTTGGTAATCTTATAGTAAATCGTGGTTTTTTGGAATCAGGTGTACACAATTTTCATTGGTGTTTTTCCTCTGATTGAAGTAGTCCATGGATGTATATGAAGAGATATTCCATGACAGGGATCGATGGTGTATTGGCAGTTATAATTCCTAGAAAGTTACAAAGGCCACAAGAATATTAAAATTTCATAATGATCCCCATCAACTCACTCAACTTTTTTTCGAGACTTTTTAATACTTGATATTATTATGCTAATATATTTCAAATTGTTCCATTGATATTTGGTGTGTCTCTTTAATTTGTAATTACAAGTGTAAAATTATTTTGATTATCATCTTAAATTAGTTTTGGATGTTATTATGGGTATTTAAGTACCGTCTATCGGTAAATATAAAACCTTTTTTCTTGATGATAAATTTTACCTTTACAATTCTACTCTCTTACAGTTGCTAGAGGTTCATTGACCCCTAATTATACGGATTATACGGACCGGGACGACTCGGATGAATAGAATCTTCGTTTTGCTCTAGTTTTTTTCTTTGATGACAAAATAATAATCAAACTATTTTTTTGTTCATTATTATTCATTCATTACATATATTTTAAAAAAAAACTTCGGTAGTTTTTAAAAACAGCCAATTAATTATTCTAGAATTATACAAATTTATTTATTGTTTTATATTGTTTTTACCATGTGTTGTTATCATGGTATCGTATCTGGCAGTGGTCTGTCTATTCACAGTTGATTAAAGTACCATCGTTATCATTTTGTTGTTATCATCCAAAATATAGAATATGAATGGTAAATAAATGTTTTAGTATAAGAGTGGTGAATCACGGGAACTAATTTATATGCACGTAAAATCCACAAAAAAATATTAAAAAGTCTTCTAAAATATATCTAATAGAACAATAATGGTAATGTTTTAAAAGATCCCCCTTCTCTAATGGTTTTAACTTATTTAAAAATTGTAACATTTAACAAATGATTATCACAAAATAATTTTTATCAAATAAAGTTTTACGTGTTATTTAAAAAGAAAACTTAAGTGTTAATCGTGTTAATAATGACTTGTCAGTGTTAGAGAATTTTATTTAATAGGGTTACAACCGTTATAGGGAGGATTTTAAAAACCCCTCTACCACTTTTACTTTTTTAAATATTTTTAAGTCTTTTTGACGATTTAAGCGATTTTTTGCGGATTTAAATGCAAATAAATCCGTTCCCTAGTGATGATTATTTTATAAATAATAAAACGTTTTTGAAATACTGATAATTATATGTGATTTCTATCTATTATGTTTTCTATGTGATTTAATTACAGATTTTTTTAAACTGAAAATGTTGGGTTATTACATCATTATATTTTGTTTTCTGATGAAGTATAAACATTAAAATTGTAATTTATTATCCGTAAACAGTGTAAGTATTTCGATATTACAAAATGTGTAATAGATAGATAATAAATGGTAAAACTATTATAGGAAAATTAATTGCCACCAAATTAACGCATAAGTCATATTAAAATAAATAATAAATAAAAAATGATTATACAAATAATTTAAAATTAAATTGTTAAAATTGTAAATTGTTTATAATTTATTTTTTTTATGCGATTTGTTAAATCTAAACCATAAGATTTTTTTTTTATTGGTCACACAATTTTTCTAAATGATCTTTCGAATCAATTAGATAAGTTAAATATAACATTTTTTTTTAAAGTTTTTCTATATTTTTCAGGAATATGTTTGATTTATCTAAAACTTTTTCAAGACAATTAGAATATATTTTAATGTCATCCATTTCGATAAAATCTTTTATTATCTATACATTTTAGATGATAGCAAAAAAATAATAACGATGGTGTTCTAATCGACTGCGAATAGAAAAACACATCGGGTAGTCGTCCAACGTCTAACTGTAACAGAAAATACCGCAGTTATCAAGGTTCGACAATTATCCAGTATACTATTTCATATAACTTGTCTGCTGTTTTCATAATATATTTGAAATCTGGTTTAAACCTGGTACGACAGACAACTTTATTTGGGTAACAAAGTGGTTATATTATTTTGCTAACGCGAATATTTATAAATTATACAATTACCACCTATGTATAGAATATAATATTTCGTCGAATTATTTTAAATAAATTATTTTTTGTTAAAATGTATAGGTAGGTAGGTATGGTATTATATCTGGTGATTTAAGTATCTTAGTTTAGAGTATTAGCAGTGGTGATTTTCTAATTTTGTCTTATTACACGTGCAACATAGTAATTTAAACGTGTTCTATTTTTAACCTACTGATTTATCTAGTATTAAGGTTATAAGAAATCTGAAAGCAAATTTGAATTTTTCGTCAACTCTACTTAAGATTTCTCATTTTTTTTTTTTTTTTTTCATTACAATTTCCCAAATAATAATTAACATTTTTAGTATGACCTTTTTAGGATTTAAGAGGAAAAAATGTAGGGAAATCTATTTTAAGTAGACTTGACAATTTCAAAACTGTATTCAGAATTCTTATCGTTTCACTAGACTAATCGGTATGTTGGTATGTTCACACATGTAAAATATGTTCTATGTTACACGTGTGTAAGACAAAGACAGAATATCACTGCTTCCAATCCCCGTTTAATTTAAATAACAACTTCGGGTTTAAAAATTACTTTTCAACTACTTGTAAAAATTGGTACCTTGATAATTTTTACTACGTATTGATTAATTTTATATTCTATTACGTATGCATTTGTTCGATTTTAATGTATTTTAAAGGTAATTAGAATTCCATTTCCAGTTAACAACACAATTACAACATTACAATAACAATTATACCAATCATTATTGTTAGTAAGACTAAGACAAATAATATGCAAAGAAATCGTGTTTGAAAATGAATTGTTTTTCGAACAACTTAAACGATGCATGCAATTATAGATATTTTCGTTTTAAAGCCGTATACTGTAAACCGAATTGTAAATTTAGTTCTTTAGTATTATTTTTTTAGACTTTCTAAAAGTCCTTTTATTGTATTATTTGACCATGTGAAATAATTGTAATAGTAAAAACTCAAAATAATAATTTTCAACATTGATCGTTAATTAGATAATTAAAATATAATTTTTATTAGACATTCGATAAATCATTACATATTTTTTAAATTTAAATTAATGCCACACGATTTTTAATCGCCGGTTAGCAATATAAGTAAATCCTTCAAATCTGTATTCTTACAACTTCGTTAGATTTGAAAATATCCGCGTCTAAAAATTAACACCTACGCCACCTGGTACAGAAATATTTCTCCAACCATCCCGACACTACCGTGGTTCCACAATCTCAGTCTTTCCAGGAAATGGATAATTTCATTTTCCCTTCTCCAGTTTAGCCATATACATCGTCCTTTTCATTCCTTTAAACTGTCACTGAACGACTCCACTCTCTGTATACTCCATAATGATCCAATAGTCTGTGATATTAACCACTTACTCTTTATTTTCCCCAGTCAATCAACACATCGTGAGTGCCTATTGTCTCTTTTGAACGCCACCAATATCCCTTTTGATACTATAAATATTTTCTCTAACTAACAAAAAAACACCATATTGAATATATTATCTTTCTTTAACCATACAGCTTTTTTAATTTAATTTGTATATTGTTATTATTCGTTTTCTTTTTTTTTGTAAACTACCTCTATATTATTTTTAATTAATTGTATCCACAAAGTTTTAAATAAAAATAAAAAAAATAATATAATTAACACTAATAAATTGGTGACTGTCGATAGATAAAATTTTGTTCACACAAATAAAGTTAAATATGTGTACCTACGAAAAGATCTGCATAGGATTTTTAAATGTTTAAACTGCAGGTTTTATTTCATTCAAACAAAATATTAGCATTATAGGAAGGGGCGTTACAGTTGAAAATTTAAAAAAATAAATATGTCTTCGATTAAAAATAGTTTTTTTTTTCCCCGCGGGATCCAATGTAAACTCTTATAAAATTAAATTTAATTCGTTGACTCTGGCTGTTGTACTTCACCTGTGGTTGTATATGCGGGGGTAGCCTATCGTCTTCCATCGATAATATGAGTGTTTGGTTTCGGTGGCGGGGTGTTACGAGTGGTCGAAAACACGACTATTTCTTTCGCACTTGTTGTAGTATTTATACCTTGTATTATTGTGGGGGACCGTAGTTATCAAGATATTAATATCACTGTTCCAATAAAAAAAACCTATTCGCGCATAACGATTGTTTATCAGTTTTTGTCGTTATTATTAGTAAATAACTGGTAGACGCGATTTTATCATTTTGTATATTTTCGTTCAACAATAAAATGTGCACAGGCGAGTTCTCTTCTTCTTTTCCGTCGGCCAGTAAGACACAAATTTTGCGCATTAAATTATGGGTTTTTTTTTTTCTGTATAATTTTAATCTGGGACGCTATCATTTTTGGACGTAAATTGGATGCGCCGATAATACTAACGATATTTTCTTAGAGTTAGATTTATTAGGTTCTATTGTGTTCAAACAGGATTTACTAATTGGTACGAGACTCGAATCTCTTCCCGTACCTATATGTCCACAGGTCTTCTAATAAACTTAATTAAATTAACGTTTCAATTGGCCAAATCTCAAGAGAATTGAAATCAATTATTTGCCATCTGTATATCACACGCACGCAACACAACAATTTATTCGTATTCTATTTTCGACGTTGCTATCATTCTTAATAGTGACGCGATACGAATTTCGAAAATACATTTGATTAGTTGGTGTGTTGGAACCGATTTTTTTCACCGAATTTTATTATAGTTGTTCATAATTCTTTATTAAGGAAATAAATTGGAAAATATGGTAAAGTCAATCTCAAATAGTTTCAAGTATAGGAAATGGAATAAGACTATTAATTTCAATATGTTGTATGTTCGATAGCATGCAAAAATAATAATAATTAGCTTCTTTCAGTGACCTTGAATCAAAAATTAATAAATAATATAACTTTCCAAAACAAATTTTTCGTTTTAAATTTAAATTTTTTAGATTCTAAGCGTAAATTCTGATTGTATTGGTTTTACTAATATGTGTGTGTTTTTTTTTCTATCTTTTTACAACTTTTCTACCAGACATATTTCTCCGATAACCAACTTCATGGCAAGTTTTTGGTGAACATTTTTGTCTAATTAGTGTATTTAAGGTTATTTTCATTTTTAATTTTCCTTATAGTTTTCTGATAGAGACAAAATGTTGGTAAACTAATATATTTACTAAAAAATGATTTCTGTTATTTTCAATTTTATTTTGTTGTAATTCAATTAAAAATAAATCTAGGCAATGAAACTTTCACCGAATATTTATATATTAGCACTTTCTAGACGTAGTACAATTTTCAAACCATTCTGACGTTGTCTAAGTTATTTATATATATTTGAAATTGTAGTTTTTTTATGTGGATATAAATTGTGTAATATATTGTATCAGCGTGTAAGTTCAAATTTATTTTTTTTTTTAAATGCCCTGGGGCTTTATTATTTAAACGACCTGATCGTCTTTATAAATATGTTTAACAGGATATATCTTACATACTAGATGATAATATATATACATTACACATTGATGAAGTCACACTTCCAATGAAGTGGCTCCTGTACTTAATTTAAACACTTAAACTAAGTCGTATGGTTTCAGACGTTTAAGGCGTCTAATGTCTTTGGAGTTGTCTAACAGTTCGATGGCCATTGGGTTGATATGGTCCTCTAATCTCCTCTCGTGTTTACGAGCAAACTTTTGGATTTCTTCTGCTATTGTAGGCAGCATCATATCGCGGTGAATGGTATCGTTTCTTTCAAACCGGTAGGCTGCAGTGATAGTCCGAAGAGCGATGTTTTGGCAACGTTGTATTATATCAATGTTAGACTTACTAGCACAACCCCACAGTTGAATGCCATAGATCCAAATTGGTTTTATAATAGCTACATATAGTAGACGTTTGTTTTCTATAGTTAACTCAGAGTGGGGTCCAACTAACCAATAGAGCTTTCGCATTTTTTCTTTAATCTGTATTTTTTTCTGACGGACATGATGTTTCCAGTTTAAACGAGAGTCAAGATGCATTCCAAGATATTTTGCTGAATCTTTTTGTGGGATTAAAGTTTGATTCAGTAAAATTGGAATGTTTTCAGTTTTACGTAACGTATAGTTGACGTGTACCGATTTATCGCCATTTATCTTAATTTTCCAACGTCTCGTCCAGGCAAAAATGTTATTAATTGATGCTTGTAAGTTGTCAGTTGCTGTCAGCTGATTCTTACTTGTCGACAAAATTGCCGTATCATCGGCAAACATAGCTGTCGTTATGGTGTCATTGTTATCATTGTTTGGTATATCAGCTGTGTAAAGTAGGTAAAGAATAGGTCCTAAGACACTACTTTGTGGTACTCCAGCTGATATATTTTTCCATTCGGTTACTGCTTCTTCATGTATGACTCGGAATGACGGTCGGTTAAGTATGATTCAAGAAGTGCACACCAGGTATGTGGCAGTTGTTCACGTAGTTTGATGAGGAATCCTTTGTGCCAGACTTTGTCAAAAGCCTGAGCTACGTCAAGGAACACTCCACAGCAGTAATCTTTTTCTTCAAGGGCTTTACTTATCGCGTTAGTAACGCGATGATCGCGACTTGATCGATTGTCGAATGTTTGTTACGGAATCCAAACTGATGGTCCGGTATAAGATGTTTTTCTTTTATAATTGGTTTTAGACGTTTAAGTAGAAGTTTCTCTAAGAGTTTAGACAAACTCGGAAGGAGGGATATGGGACGGTAAGATGTGACATCTTCTGGTGGTTTTCCTGGTTTGAGCAACATAATGACTTGTGCCCGTTTCCATTGTTCTGGAATGTATTCCATACGCAAAATAGCATTGTATATGTGCGTAAGATGAATGATGGCCTTCTTAGGAAGCTCTTTAAGTATTTTTTTAATCTTTTTACGTGTTGTACTAAGCTGCGGACATTGTACAATGTCAAGCTCAGAGTCTATGGCGTTTGGTAGAAATACGCGTTCAAGATGTCGAGCGTATATTTCTGCTTTTTCTTGTTCACTGCGAGCCCAGGTGCCATCTTCTTTGCGGATGGGTGGTACCTGAACACGAGGTCTCTTCATATGTCTTGTGGCTTTCCATAACGAATAATCGGTATTATCCGTTGCAGAGAGACCACATACGTATGATTTGAAAATAACGTTTTTCATCTCTTTGATTTTGTCATGAAGAATTTTGCTTACACGGTTCCATTCAGTTTTATCTGTTGGATGTCGTGTATTATGCCATGTTCTTCTCGCTCGGCGTTTTTGTTGAACTAGATTTTTTATATCCATTGGGTAGGTAATCTCGCGATTATCACCTGTTGGTATTATGGGTGTGGCCNCATCTTTCGTCGTTTATGTATAACATTAGAACTTAACGTGAGAAGCACTAGTATGTGATCTGACGTTAGTTCTGTAAGTTCTATTACTTCGATATAATTAGAAGATATACCTTTCATAATGAAGAAGTCAAGCAGGTCGGGAATCTTGTTTGGATCAGTGGGCCAATTTTCAAACCATTCTGACGTTGTCTAAGTTATTTATATATATTTGAAATTGTAGTTTTTTTATGTGGATATAAATTGTGTAATATATTGTATCAGCGTGTAAGTTCAAATTTATATTAAAATTTATCAAAAATACATAATTGTAATTTATTTGTTGTTTCAAGTTAATACAATTATCAATTTAAATTTATCAAAATATGTGTAAGTTACCGGATTTGGCTCAGAATTGTTTTTCATTTGAAATTATTTATCACTTTTTGCATATACTTTTATATATACTGTATACCTAAATGGAATTACCCACCTACAACAATGGCTAAATATAGTGCGAAGTATATCATCTTGAATATTTTTTACGTTTATTTAATTTTGAATCAAGGTGTATCTGAAAATTTGTCTTAAATTTCATACAACTAGAAAGGGTATAGCCAAATTTTCATTATTTATTCTACTATATTCAATGTCCATAAAAACCTACTATTTTTTTTTTAAAAGTTTTTTAAAAAATGTCATTAAGTAGGTTTGTTAGGATATTTTACTATTATAGAGTAGTTTAATCATTTTTTGAATGTACCAGAACCTATAGTTGTAAAACATTTTTAAAGTGAAATACGAAATCGATTTTAGTTAGGAACATAATATTGTATTTCTAATTCAGTAAATAATAATTTTAGATGTGTAATTTACTAACTAATACATTTATGTTTTACAATTTAATTCTAAGACAGTTAAGATTTTTTTTTTCTAATGCAACAATTCATCACGGTTAATTTTAAAACAATAATTCACCTGTTTTATATCTTAAGGTGTGCGACCTGAGACCTTTTCGCAATTTTGTTTTGCAGCTTATTAATTTTAGTAGGTATTTATGTAATAATTGAAATATCTTAATATTCTTATTTAATCTCATAATGACACCTTATTTATATCGATTTACATTGTTTTAATAACTATCTTCTCGGAGAAAGCTGTTCGATTATCTAGAATTACATTTTACTTTATAATTAAATTTGTTATGTAAAATGTGTAATATTCTGGACTTTTTGCGGTTTTTTTTCTACTACAGTTTACAGCGTTATAAATGAGTAGATTCTGTATGGTTTTGGACATTAAAACCATACCGATAAATATATAATATCTTAACATCTATCTGTTCTCCTAATGGTAATGGTATTAAGGTAGTGGAGTTAGAAATCAGCTGAAGGAAAGCTGCAGAGAACAGATAAACATTAAGTCTTCCTTCACACAATCTTCCCGCCTTAACTTTGGTCTCCATAAAAGTATTTTCCTATTTATTTTATTTTATCGATCTCTTTAGTTATATCATGCCTCTAGAACTGTATATGAAGTTAATTAGTATGCAATTTTTTTTTCCATTCATTGGCTTAGATTGAAGATTGCCATTGAAGATTGGGCCACATACATGTTTTTTTTCTTTTAAAACTTTTTTCTCGAATATAGCTTTCATCATTTCTGCTACTTTTCTCAATATGTGTACGTCTCAAAACCGTATATTGGTCATAATAATGCCAAGCACATCTTTTTAGAGCTTTTTATTAAATACTATATATAAGAAGATTGATATAATAATTATTATTAGTGTTCTGAACTGTAAGAAAATTCATAAATTGAATATATTATTTTGGTTGTTTCACCTAACTAATTTATTAATTGTATTAAATCGATTAATTTAAGTAAGTATTATAGATATTTGATTTTTTTTTTTTTACTTAAAAATGTGTTACTTGCCTATTTCATATTAATTTAATTTGGTTGTTGGTTCGTATAATCGTATTGTGTTTACACGTTGATTTTAAATGTCATTATTTTTCTTATCAAATGTATAAATTTTTAGTTAAGGTTTGCCAATTAGAATAGTTGAAAAAAAAAACACGTACGAAAAAAAAAAGCTGTGACTAAATTATAAATAACCGTGAGGTTCGTGCCATTGGTGACTAGTCGGAGAAAATAATAGACTAGGCCTTCCATTATGTAGTGTGTAGTAAATGAATCATCGTCATTGCGTCTTTATAAAAATAACATTTATTTTATATTTCATTGATCGTTAAAATATCAATTCCTAATAAAAAGTGAAGTACACGTTATTTAGAACTCAGCAATATCGTACATTTAATATTATCTACTATAATTTATTATTTATAATTTATTATTCTAGCCCAATTTAATACAATAATAGATCCATAATGTTTCTTCTTTTATTTATGCTTAATATTTTAACATGAATATTAACTATAATAGCTAATATTAATATCAATAATTATTTATTAAGTATATGAAAATTCGTATTCACCATGAAAATAAAAATCAAATTGTTTAGAATGTTATAACAATGTTACAATAATGGGAAAAACAATATATTTTTAAATTTAAATATTTCAAAACATCGAGAGCTCAACCATGTCACAGTTGCATTTTGCTCAACTCTTATCTTTATTATAACATGCAATATAGCAAAAATGTGTAGTATTCATGTAAATCACAAACGTGTTTTTTAAAAATCGATTTGGAGATAAAAACACCTAGTATAGGTAAAATTATTTGTCGACTGTGACATTTTGAAAAGAACCTCGTCGAAGTTTTACAACAATTCTCTAACAATAATGAGTAGGTACGAAAAAATCGTATTTTACTTAATTTTTTTTTCCCAATAACTTACTATAACTTTCTAAATAAATAATATTTCAAAGAACGCCGACAATATCTAAATTAGGCACTATAATATCGTTGACCTTTTTTCGTCAATATTGAACAAAAATAGCCAAACAGACCAATATTTTGTTTATTGATGTGTGTATACTTTCCATTTATAATAATGGATATAGGTACCTACATTTTTTTCTGTTTTTATAATATTACTGACATAGAAGCTGAAATTCTTATGCAGTGGCTAAATATAACCATAAAAAAAATCTTATACGGGGTGATCAATCTGTCATAAATAAGACGCTTGTTATCTCGGAAAGTGTTAACTTTTTCCGGAATTAATTTTCTAAAATATTCAAGAAACAAGCTGCTCTAAATTTATATTTTTTTTTTTTTTGGCATCCTTATTTTAAGGTGTAAAATCACTACATTTTTTTGATTTTCAAATGGTAACATATATTAAAAATTCCATAAATAGATAAAGAATTAATTAAAATAAATTTTAGTGTTTATATTTTTGATTCCTATCAGTCTATTGACGAGATATTCCACTTTTAAGTTTGGGTTGGAGGAGAGTAGTGGAGTATCATTTGTGTGGCGTGCGGCGTGTTAAGAATGCACTCTCCCTCAACCCGAACTTAAAAGTGGAAAAATTCGTTAACGGATTGACGGAAATTAAAAATTTCAACACTAAAATTGTTTTTAATTAGTACTTCGTTTATTTATGGAATTTTTAATGTAGGTTGCCATTTGAAAATCAAAATTGGAAGTGGTTTTACCCCCAAAATTAAAGGTGACAAAAAATAACATAAATATACAATTGTAGAGTAACTTGTTTCTTAAATATTCTAGAAAACAAATTTTGGAAAAAGTAAATACTTTCCAAGATAACGAGTTTTTTACGATAGATTGATCACACTGTATAGTTAGACACGTGTAAAAGTTTACTAAAGTTAATTTAGACTATTGGAATTTACATACTTATACGGGTTATTGACATAGTACAATTGAACTGAGTATATATATTTAGGCAGCAATTTTTAGATAAAATTTTTCAATAAAAAAAATAGTAAACAAAAAAAAAATGCATGAATAATGTGAACGAATGCCTGTAGTTAAATATCACATTATTGTTATCAGTAAAATTACCACTTTGATAATGCGATGTTATGAAATATTTCAAACTTTAAACACTATTAACAATAATAATAAAATTATCGTGGGTAAATGTTTAACAATTTATTATTACTCCAAACATAAATAAATATTTATTTTCTTATTAGTGTCTAATATCATATTATTTACATAATATTGTTACGCAATACAAATAAATAATTACCTCAGTTATAACTATGGTAATATTAATAATATTGTACATTATACTTGTACAAATAAATTCTTTATCGCCTAAATTCTTATATTAATCGTAAACAAGCTGTTATTTAAAATAATAATTATTATTATATTAAGTTAGTTATCTATAATATTACATAATTTTTTTGTTTACCTATACAATTTTTTTTCTTCGATTTACAACAAAATGTTCTATATTCAATTTTACATGTCATCTTTGATTTGTACTGTTAATTTTTCAATTCGTCCACTCAATGTATACCCAAAATAATTTAAGTGATTATTAACTTGGAAAATATCAATAATTAAAGGTTTGAGAATTTTTTTTTTCTTTTAATTTTTTTCTAAATATTAACAATAATAATTATTACGCGATTTGTGACAATTAATTATCTCCTAAATAAGTATAAAATGTATTAAAATTTACATGAACACATTTGTTGATTTTTTCTATCGAAATGATCGTAAAAATAAAATTGGGAACTAGGAATCAATGTAATGCTACCAATGCATGATGTGAATCGTTCCAGATCGAGTAAAATGTAATAGATTATTCTCCAAAATATTTTTCATTCAATCTTTATTCAGTTCTTAGAACAATTAAAAATTATTCATACTGACGTTAATAATAAAATCTTAAAATTTAAATTTAACGAGCAAACGATAGAAAAGGAAGATTTTGTATTAAATCTGCTAGTATACGTTTAAATTATGATGACGTTAAAACGGTTTAGCTGATTATCTATTATACCTGTGTACATGTCGTCGTCGTGTAAAAAGTGAAATAAATAAGTTTAAAAATAAAAAAACATGTTTAAATACGTTGTTGTATTTCTATATATGTATGGAAAAAATGTGATATCATAAATAATTTACGAACCACAACGTATCCATAATTTTTGATTAAAATCAAAATTTTATATTTAAAAAAGACCAACATATTTCTCACTATAACACTGGGTGGCAGTGTAAGACACTGTTTTAGGTGAGAAGTCAGGAAGGTAGGATATAGAAGGACATTTAATATATTTTTGTTTGCAACGATTAATCATTGTTAATAAAAACGATTCTGAGCGGAGTTTGAAAATTTAATCTTAAAAGTCAATTCTTATAATAAAAAAAAAACTTCATTAAACTCAACTTTTTTTTATTTACCACTACGTACAACTTATAATGAACTAACTGCTGCATTTTCAAGCATTTCTGTTTTCTCCTATCATTTTATGCACACAGTACCTGTTGAATAAATATTACGTAAAAAAATCTCACAAAATTAAAATGTCAATAAACAGCTCAATCAGCTCAAATGTTTTTAAAATTGTACCACATCTATAAAAGACAAACACAAGATTTTTGTCTAAATTTTAAGTCTCTACGAATATTTTTAACTGAAAAAAAAAACAAATGTGAAAATAACACATTTCGTACATTTTCCCGTCTTTTCTGTGTTTCTTCCCAGTTTTTTCCAATTATGAAAACCGTTTCGAAATCAAAAAAATAACTTTTGAAAAAGTACCAAAATCGTCTTTCAGAAAAAGTGAAAATACACTTGAAAATCGGAGTAAGCGGTAGAATTGTTGTACACAGTATAAAAAAATAATAATAATAAACATCATTGTAAAACCAATACATTCCTCGATTTGCTCATAATCAAAAAGAAATAAATTTTTTAAAATTTGAAATCATTTAATTGCTTTTTACGACAGTTACGATGAGTTCAAAATAAAATATTAATATTTTTAAACAGTTTTAAAGTACTTATATGACATGAATCAGTGAATGGATTAGTTTTAAATTGATTTCATTTTAAACCTTTTTAATGCCATCATAATAATATTATCGTCTCCGGTTTGTTTAAAAATCGGCTTGTATAAATTTACTAAACGTTGCATAGGCTTTTAAATAATTAATTTACACAATGAAGATATAATATTTAGTATTATTTTTATCCGTACCGTTTATACAATCGACAGTTATAACCTACAAGTTTTTTTTTTATATATAATTATTTGGGACGCAACTCGGAATGAGTGTTGTGAGAATCGACCGCGCGCTCTACTTGTACAAATTATAATAATTTTTCGTTACCTACTTATTCGTAGAGACACTCGTCTGAAGGGGTATGACGTATACATTTTTTATGAATAGTCGAATATTTTTCCATACTTAGATATTGTAAAATTATGTGCTTTTTTATAAATGTTTTTCTTTCAGTCTGTGAACAACTTTTTTACTAGAAATCTTACTCTAATCATTAACTTACGAATAGTTTTTAATATCAAATTATATATAGTTGTTTTGACCGAGACTAAGAGATTTGATATTCTTTGTACTTTGTTAATAATGGGGAAAATAGGAAAAAAACATTCATCGTCCGTCTGTACGATTTTTTAAAAACAATTATTTGGGACGCAACTCGGAATCAGTATTATGAAAACCGCGCGCTCTACTTTAATAAAATACATTCATTTTAGTTCCCTATTGTTCGTACAAGACACTTGTCTGAAGGGGTTGGGCCTATTAATTTTTTTTATGAATAGTCCATTATTTCTTCTTGATTAACTATTGTAATAATATGTGCTTTTTTTAAAAATGTTTTTCTTTCTGTCTATATACAACTACTTGTTTACCAGAAATAATTCCAATCAACAACTTAAGAATGGTTTCTATTGGAAAATTAAATATAGTTAGTGAAAATAATCATAGAAAATCGTAATTTTTATCAAACAACTATACTGATAATAGCATTTTCTAGATATGGTATATTTCAAAAAAATATTTTGCCATTATTATATTTTAAGTTATAACTATTTGACATATTTGAACTTTTTAGTTTTTCCAATTTATTATGTAGATAATAATTTTAAGGTCTATAAGATTCATCATAAGCGGTAGGTAGATAAAGTATGTAGTAGTAAAAAAAAAAATTATTGTTATGTCGTGATCCATACACTACCACTTAAATGTTAACGAACTCCGCTCGGAATCGGTTTTCGTTTGCAGCGATAATTAAACGATAAACCATGATACGAACTTTATCAGGAAAGGCGATTGCTCCCATTGTCCCTCCCTCAATTAAGTACGTGCTCGACTCATCTGCCACAGTTAATTTATTCGAATCAACTCGAGTACCTATACAATGATAAATTACCACCGATAATATTTTGTCTTCGGTATCGATTACACCGCGTATGTCTTTTATTACCCTAAGAAGATTGTATGGTGTTATTATTTCTTAAATTATTCATAATATGGTATGTAATAAATATATTGATGATTTGATTTTGTTTTCAATACGAACAGACCGAATAAATATTATTGACTTGACCGGTTCCGGTTCCCAAGCTCGTGAAAACGATATGGGGCTTTTATCTAATAAGTGTGGGCATTATGACGTTTCCGTCGCTGTCATATTATTTAATTATTATCATTATTTATATATATACAGGGTGTTCCACGAAGATATACCTATTGTAATATCTCCGGAGATATTAAAGATAATCAAATTCCAGTTTTTTTTTTTTTTTTTTTTTTTACTATTATTCACAGAGATAAAGATTTACAATTTTATACTGCAACTAATTTGTATTATTTTTTAAAAAAAAATTGAAGATAGACATTTTATAGAGTTTATTTTTCTGAAAACCTTGACTTACCAACTTTTTCATTTAATTCGTGATTTTTAATAATTTTTTAAAATTCAAAGAATAGTAGGTACTTATAATTATGCAGAGTCGACTGTAATCGCATTTGCTGCTTGATTATTATTATTACGACTTATTGACTGTACACTTTTTATTTCTAAACTTTAAAAAATTATTAGAAATTACGAATTTAATGAAAATAGTTTATGTATGTCATAATGTTGAGAAAAATAAACTCTATAAAATGCCTACCTATCTTCAAAGTTTTTATCAAAGCATAAAAAATAAATTGCAATATAAAATATATTTGTAAGTGATATACTTTTGAGTAACAAAATTTGATTATCTTTATTATATCTCCGGACATATTACAATGGATAGTATATTCGTAGGACACCCTGTATATATATGTTTTTTTTTTTAATATAAAATAGAATTTTCCAGTTCGGTGTGGATTGCCAACTATACGTCTGTCACAGTGTTCTATATTATAACATCATTAAATTATTATGATTATTATTTATACCATTGTGTTGTCTTATGTTATCGGTCGGAGTTCATAAAATACCGTATTATTAGTTCGGTTGTCCGTATAATGTGATATTATTTTTAAGATGTTTCTATTTGTTATAAATTATGCTCTTTGTATACTTATTTTAACTGATTTTTGGCAAAAGGTTTTAAAAATGAATGTTAATAAACGGACACAAGATAATTTAGATAGCTCCAACAAAAAATCTAAATCTGTAAGTACTCTTAAGAATTCAAACTATCTCATTCACATTATATATATAATAAAACGTAAATTAATAAGAATTACTATAAACAATTGTTAAACACATTTTTAAATTTAGAAAATAGGTAAATTAAAACAATTGTCTGTAGAGGATTGAAACAAAAATTGATTTTCATAATCTTGTAAAAGTTGCATTACCTATATAACTTATAAATAGTTTTTACTGGGTAAGTATTGAAAACAAAAATGATACTCAATACATTTAACTATAATATATATTGGCTTTTTGCTTTAAGTTGCGTCTTATAATATTAAGTTATTAATGTTTCTGTAGAACTGTTAAATATTTTAGTACAAATCTTTATTTTAATACAAATCTTAATTTTAATACATCTAAATACATTCAACTACTCTAGTACAATATTAGTACTTTAGTAGTAGTCTGTTTAAGTTTATTGTAATGCTGCATTTTGCATATTTTAATTAGATTAACTAGAATTGTGAGGCAAGCTATACTTGCAGCTTTGTTTGAAGCGACTGAACTTATTTCTTCTACACTCGATTCTCCAAGTAATTTTATCCTATTAGTTAGGTATTTAAGTATACTAAAAATTATAATTACAATACAACATAAAATAAATAACAGCATTTATATTTTATTAATAAAGAGGTACGTTGTTTACAAAGTTATATCTCAGTAAAATTAAAATAAAAAATATAATAAGCTCGAATGAAAAAATTTTCCGTCCAACCATAAAAATACACATATCCCTGTTAATTCAATCAATTCAATAAATCGCATCAGCGGATATAAATGAACAGCCAAAAAGAACATGATAATATGCACAGAGGTCACAGCGGCCGGCCGTAATCATTTCTCAATAGACACCATGCTAATATCAATTTTTTGTTTAGTTTTTTTTTATTTTGTCATAGAAGATTTCAAGTCTCGTTAGTCCATTAATCACTATTCTCACATTCGTTTTAAATACGCTCGTGCCGAAATCGCTGTGTACTATTTAATATTTGTATATATGGTAGGTTTTAGATTTTATTGCTTTCGCTTCTCTTAGCTTCTATCCATTATTGTCTCTTTTTTTTCTTATCGTTTAATTAATTGAATTTTAATAGCGCCAATGTTCACGATTTTTTTTTTGCCCCCCCTCCCTCCTTTTCGTTGTTATAGTTCATCGTCGAGAGGAGTTATTATTGTTTTTAATGTATTCATGCATAAATACCTAAAATGTAATAACATTAATATTGTGATAATCGGTTGTAACCGTGGCCAATAAGTGACGTGGTATTATAGCCGCCGTGCAAATAATTGGTCACTGGGAACTATTTAGACCGGAACGATTCAGTTTGACTCGGTCGGTCAGCATATGTAACTACATAAAATAACACGTCCCGAGTTCAGGAACTGACGTAAAAAAAAAAAAAAAAATTTATCAAACGTTTAAAATTAAAAATAAACCTTATTATCCTTCACTTTCATCCTAACTATTTGGGACCAGCCCCCTCGTCCTAAACTTCCACTCAGCCACATCATCCTCGCGCATACGCCGACCGTCTTCGTATTATTCTCAATCGCAAATTAAAAATAATTCTAAGATTACACATACCTACTTACTTAATTTCTTAGATACTCATATCCGTTTCGGATGTTGAATATTATTTCTCAATATTGCTCCAAACCTACAGCGGAGTTTTTCAACCATGATATCCATATCTCTGGTTATTTATCATTGCGTGACCTAGACATTTTATAGTTATAAGTAATCTTCTTTTGCTTTCGCGTTCTTTGAAGTATATAAACTTAATTTGGATACACTGCAATTCGTCCGTAGGATCTTTAGAATTCGACGAGCAGCCACATAGCTTTAGAGCCTTGATTTTCTTGCTTGGTGTTTCTGTAACGTCCAAGTTAACTATTAGAGAAAGTATATTTTGATAATTTCTTTGATCATATTTCGTATACAAAAATACAAAATACAACTATTGTATTTGAAACACTACCCACCCCGTGTTGGAGATTCTACAATGTAAACGTGTTTTAAGTACTCCTAATTAAACGACGCAAACACTTTTACAAATATTAAACCTATACTTACTCAAATTGATGGAAAAAATAACAAACCAAACCAAACGGACTTGTCGAGCGCTAAAATCGTCGTAATCATAAATGTAAAAAATATTATTTAAACATATCGTGCGAAATATTGTATGATTATTATTATTATACGTTCGTACTTGGTTGTAACCTTAGATTTTCGACTTGCGGAAGTGGCGGTCGACCGGATGTAAACATTGTAGTATAATATTATTATTATTATAACTATGTATGTATGTACGTACGCACACGCGCGCGGAATTTAATACGCAGGTGTTGCTACAGGGTGCCTCTTTTTGGTCGTAACACGTTTGGGTATACATCGACCCAAAGTTTAACACAAATTTGGGTACGCTGTATCAATTGAAAAACAACAGGATAGTACGAATGTCTAAACCACCTGTTGGTTCAGACCTGTTACCGAACCGAGCGAGTTATGACGTGTAAACTTAATATCACGACGCGTTTCAATAAAACTGATCGGAGGTAGTCGGCATAAAAGACGAAAGTACCTATGGGGATATTCGGTTTGTTAGTACAAATTCGTTAACTTTTGCGAGTCGTGTTTCGAAAAATATTTTCGTATCAAATCCCGAGTTCTCCCGAAACGTCGTGTGTCGCCGTTTGAAAATCCAAATTGGATTCGCGTTTATTGTACCTACCGGCCAACATGAACGGGGAACGGGTAGTACAATTTTGAAAATAAAATGAAAAATACCGGAATCTGTACACAACTTTTCTTCGTAATACAGTGTTCAGCATAATCGCCGGTTCGTGATCAGAAAAAAAAAAAAGAAAAAATTTACCCTGTACATCGTATAAAACAATAATTAAAAGATACGGGCGTAATGAGTTGTAGTATTTATTATATACAGTGTTTTTTGGAGGCTTGCGGCGGCGAGTGAAGGAAACGCGCCGTCGCGTAACCGCCGAGAAGGTCATAATGGTGTATTATAGTCGCGCGACGGGCCTGACGGACGTATGTACGCCGGCGGTTCGGTTTATTGCGCAAAGAAACGGTTAGGCGCGCGGCGGCGGAGGCTCGTCGGGAGTGAAGAACAGCGTGAGTAACGCAGAAAAAAAAAAAATAATAATAAATAAATAAAGAAAGAAAGAAACGAATACGCGTTTCACAGTAATAACCGCCGAGACCGTCAAGAGTCGTGTCGCCGCGGCCGCGGTCGCGCCGCCGTCATGACCGACCACGCTGGCGCGTTGGCGGAGGGAGCGCAAGCCGTTTCGTATTGTCTCGAGAACATGAGACGGTACCGGTGCGCGCGGGCACCGAGTCCCGGGGAAACTGGTCCGGTGACTACTAGGTACGACAACAATAATAATACTTCTTTTTTTCATTTTTTTTTTTTCTTCTCCGTATTTTCCCTACCGTCCCGTGTATAAAATATTATGGTATAATATTATCATTATTATACTGCATGGTATACGGCACGTTCGTCGCCGCCGCCGTACCGGGGCCCTCGTTCGCGCGCGCGGTTGTTCGCCTCGCAACGGCCCGCGCGTCGGCCGTTCCGCGTACCGACCCGGGCCGTCTGTCCGTCCGCGCGCACGGCCGTGTGCACTACTCCATTGTGTCGCGCCGTACCCAACGCCGCCGCGTCCGCTCCCGTCTGCGCCGTGCGGTACTTTCCGTTCCGGTTAATTATTTTTATTACATATATATATATATTTTTTTTCTATCGTCGCCCGCTCGCACCTTTAAACTATGAGAAAAAAAAAATTGTTTTTTAAAAAAAACCATAATACTTTCCGCGTGGTGTTTTTCCCCGCCGACCGTAGTACTTACCCGCGGCTACTGCTCGTATGATATTATTGTTCGTTCCTGAGATTATTTTGTCGGACAGCGCGAAATCGACAGAATTGATAATAAAAAAAAAAAAACCTGCTGCACGCGTCTTCTTAAAATAATTCCGATATTGTTTACCGACCCGCAACACACCGCGGGTTTTTTTTTGATTTATTGATGGATTTTTTTGTCCTGTTAAACTCATAACCATAATGTCTCAAGTATTTTCGACAATATAATATTATTATTGTTCATTATTCTCGATTACGGTGTTTTTTTTTATTATTCATGGGTTATCAATATTGTTGTATTTTATAAATAATAAATACCTAGGTGTAACTTTCTAGCGACCGGGGAGGAAGTAAAAAATAAATATATATATATATACATGTTTGTTGGAAAAAAAGAAAAAGAAAGAAAAGTGGATCTAGAAATTTGTATCTAATCGTTCATTATCAGCAGTGCGGGAAAAGCGTGAAAATCTGAATTTCACATCGTCTAAGGTCGAACGCTACGTAACGCCATGACAGTAAGCCTTAGTCCTCTTAGTCGGTATTCTGTAGTAAAAGCGTTTCGAATTATTGTGTTTCCTTGCACCGCCACTATGTCTCTGAAAAAACATTACAACCGGTAAACGGTGTGGTACTTTGCGAACGACGTGACAATTTCGTTAGAAAAAATAATGGTTTTAGTGGAACAAGTATGTAGTAATAAGTATACTATTGTAAAGTAACGTTATTCTATAATTATTATATTTTTAATCTCGATCGACCTATTAATATTGTTCATAAACATATTAGCGAATCAAAAAACATAATAGTTTCTCTTATGTGAATAATTACATATTTTTTTATGCTTAATCTAATAAACCGTTTATCGGTATTATTGTCAATCAATACATTTACAATAATTAATGTTTGTCTTAAAAATTATTTCTTTTTTCAAATTTATAATTATTTATACATACTTAATATAATATGATATACACACACATACACACACACACATAAGCGCGCTTGCTTGCGTCTGCAGTATTTCCCACGAGATTTAATTAATTTAAGTGATGAATAATAGTGTTTTATTACGTAGTCGTTTGAAATTAGAAAAAAAATCTTTTTTTAATTTACGCACTAATGTATGTTCATGTATCTAAATTTTACATAGAATATAAAGTGTATTAAAATAACAACCGAATTTTCCATTTTGTATATTCTCATTTACAGTTTTAATTTATATGAAGTGTGAGTAATAAAACATAATATGAATTAGCGAATCCTTTTTGACTCGTTTTCCATAATCCTGTGCATTTATTCGTTATCTAATTATATTAATTGCCGAATTATTAAAAAAATTAATGTATGCTTATTCTTTCAGTATCCACCAATGACGATCTTATACGACCCTACAATCAGAAAAGATTCCACGACCAATGGTGTTGCATCTCCTCAATTTGCCTCTGAACAAGAGTTGTGTCTGAGGTATTTTGATAAATGGAGCGAACAGCACCAAATCGATTTTGTCGAACACCTTTTGTCGCGTATGTGTCACTACCAACATGGACACATCGACACATATCTAAAACCCATGTTACAGAGAGACTTCATTTCACTCTTACCCAGTTAGTATTATAATATAATAAATTTATGTGAAATGTGAATCGTTGTGAAAAAAAAATATTTATACATGTATTTATATCTGTTTATTATAGAAAAAGGCCTAGACCATGTGGCCGAAAATATTTTATCCTACCTCGATGCAGATTCGTTATACGCAGCAGAGTTGGTCTGTAAAGAATGGTATAGGGTGATTTCTGAAGGTATGCTTTGGAAAAAACTAATTGAACGTAAAGTACGTACAGATTCACTATGGCGAGGACTTGCTGAACGAAGAGGATGGTAAGTTGTATAAGGATAATATAGGTATATATTATATTACATTTATCTACCTGTATTATCACAATATAAGTACCTACTATTTATATGTAGGTAATAAACACATTTTTATACTTTTCAGGATCCGATATTTGTTCAAACCAAGACCTGGTCTACACCACCCAGACCACTTCTCCTACAGGGCTTTGTTTCCTAAAATTATACAAGATATTGAAGTATGTAATAAATAATATTGTTTAATGTTTTTTGATTATTATAAAATAAATACTATTTATATGTTGCATCCACTTGATGAAATTGTCCATTTGTGAAAAATAACCCAGTTCATGAAATGGAAACAGTTTTTTTCCACTTAGTGAAATAAATACAAATTTCATTAAGCGGATATCTTTTCACAAAATAGATTCTAAAATTTCATATTTTTAAATAGTTGTTGCTTTATCAGAGGGACAAGGGTATTTGAGCAGGGCGTGTAAAAAAAAAAAATGTAATTCTATAACTGTTGCACATATTTAAAAGCTAAACTAAAATGTAATAATTGTTATCACAATTAAACTCATTGTTTAAATAAATTAAAATTGAATTAATAATTAATTCAATGAGAATTATAATATAAATTAAATGTATATTATATTTTGTTTCACCAAGTAGATGGTCATTTGATGAAAAAAATTACAAGATATGAAATTATAGTATCCATTTTGTGAAAAGATATCCACTTAATGAAATTTGTATTTATTTCACTAAGTGGAAAAAATTGTTTTTATTTCATAAACTGGGATAACTTTTCACGAAATGGACAATTTTATCAAGTGGATGCGGCATATACATCAAAAAGTAAAGTTAATAACATTGATTTTTTAAAATGATGTGGATAAACATAATGTTATAATTTACCCAGATACTTTTAAACTTAATTGGGTCTTTCATATTAATGAGACTGTTTTCCTTTTAATTAAAAAAAATAACTATAATAGTCTAATAATATATTATGGATCTTATATCAAAACAGATTTAGCCTCCAAAAACTATGTGTATGTATACAATTTTTATAATCGTCAGTCTTCAAAATATTAAGAGTTCATCAACAATTATATGAGTTGCACAATTACTCTTATTCTATTGTATGATTTGTATGTAATGTCCATAGAACCAAAAAAAAGATTTTATTCCAATTACATACTTATTGTATTTATTACTTAGATATATATTGTCTATAGTAAATTTATGATTTTTAATTTTTGTTTTTATTATTAGAGTATAGAATCGAATTGGCGAACTGGCCATTTTCTGTTACAAAGGATAAATTGTCGTTCAGAAAACTCCAAAGGTGTGTACTGTTTACAGTACGATGACGATAAAATTGTCTCAGGTTTACGTGATAATACCATAAAAATGTGGAATAGAACAACGTTACAATGTATTAAGGTATTGGCAACTTTTCCTTTAAAAAATAATCAAATGTATAACTGACTTACTTTTTTTAGGTGTTAACTGGTCATACCGGATCAGTTTTATGCCTACAATATGATGACAAAGTAATTGTGAGTGGTTCCAGTGATAGTACAGTTCGTGTGTGGAATGTTAACACTGGTGAAATGGTCAACACTCTAATACACCATTGTGAAGCAGTCTTACATTTAAGGTTTAGTAATAATATGATGGTTACTTGTTCAAAAGTAAGTTTTATTGTTTTTCTTTAATTTGACAATGTGGCCATATTAATCATTTTTATTACTATTTTACCACAGGATCGATCAATAGCTGTATGGGATATGGTATCACCTAGTGAAATGACTTTACGTCGTGTATTAGTTGGTCATCGAGCTGCAGTAAATGTAGTCGATTTTGATGATAAATACATTGTATCAGCCTCTGGAGACCGTACTATCAAAGTATGGAATACATCAAGTTGTGAATTTGTGCGAACTCTTAATGGTCATAAACGTGGTATTGCTTGTCTTCAATATAGAGATCGATTAGTTGTTAGTGGAAGTTCCGATAACACCATAAGGTTAATTTTAAAATAAATTTAATCAACTTTCTATTAATTTCTGTAAAATTAAATTTAAAAAAAATTTAACTCTAGGTTATGGGATATTGAATATGGTGCTTGTTTGAGAGTACTCGAAGGCCATGAAGAACTTGTGCGATGCATTAGATTCGATAGTAAAAGAATTGTTAGTGGGGCATACGATGGGTAAATTTACATTATTATTAATATAATATATTAAAATGTTTTCAATATAAACAATGTTAAAAATAAATATATATTTCTAGGAAAATCAAAGTATGGAATTTAGTAGCAGCTTTAGATCCCAGAGCTCCTGCTTCTACCCTGTGCCTTCGTACACTTATGGTAAGCGTTTCGCACTACGTACACTTTTATGATTTGTTATTTTTTCGTGATTGAGAGAGGAGGAATTTTTATCCGGCAGGAGCACACGGGACGAGTATTTCGACTCCAGTTTGATGAGTTCCAAATTGTCAGCTCCTCACATGATGACACTATACTAATTTGGGACTTCCTAAACTATAATGATACAAACAATTCGCAAGTGGGACCACCGAATGATGTTAATGTTGTTATGGGTGATGACCTTATGAATGCTGCCGCAGTTAACATCTTTGGTCCTCCAGGTAAACCATACAATCTTATTAATATCTTAAGTGTCATAATACATAATTTTTATGTTAATTTTAGATTTTGAGTGATCCAATGATGGACTAGTCATCCTTAATTGCCGGATTAGGTTCTTGTACAACTATTACAGAACTCGTCATATAATATCACTTTAAGATGGTAAAATTTTGTCACATCTTGTTCTCATTTTATTTATTTATATATTATATATATATGTATATATATATATATTATATAATATAATTAAAACTACAGAAACGCCCAAAATAACTGTGCCAATGTTCAGATGTACTTACAGATCACCCAAATAAATAGGTACAAGTGATGTTTCTTATCTTGAATATATATATATATTTATATTATTCATTTTTAGAAGCGCTTAAATGCTTTAAATTAAATTGATTTCAAACTAAATGTCTGTGATTTTTCATATGAATTGTCAAAAAAAAACTTACCAGACAAGTGCAATGACACTTCAATACTTTCCTTTTTTAATCCTTTTTTTCTTCATCATAATTATTATACATCATGTTTGCTTAAAATAAATATAACATGTTTGTAGATTAATTAATTTGTATGTTTATGTAATAATATATATATATATATATATATATATATATAAAAATTAAATGGCGCATCAACTAATATTTGTATAGTCCCTATTTGAATAAGTTTTAAAATAAAATTTCTTTGTATAAAAGTGATTTTGTATAATTTATATAATTATTATTATAAAATACAAATTACATTAGAAAACAAATATTCTAAAATTGTGTAAACTTCATTGGATACTATACCCACATCCTCGTATTAATATTAAGTTATTTGAAATGCACCCTAGTGCACCATCTTGTTGATCATGTGTCCAACTACATTATATTATGTTGACGTACAAACATTAGAAAACCATTGTTTAGACTCATGACATCGAGAGCTTGTACAATGTGCACATCTTAAAAGAAATTTTGGACTAACAGGTTTGTTTGATTGAAGATGGTTTAATACTAAATCAGAAATTGCATCGATGAACAAAGGATGATCATTCGGTGCAGCAGCTCTACGAATATTTTTAATACCCAACTAAAAAAAAAAAAAATTGTTTGATATTGTTATACTATTAAATAAAATGTCTTACTTCTTCTCCGAGTTCTTTACAGTATTCTATATCAAGTTCATGTAATGTCTCGATGTGTTCATTAACAAATGCAATAGGTACCAACACAAAATTCTTTTTCCCTTGCTTTACATATCCTAAAGTGAAAAACAAATGTTTACATATTAGGTATTTACAAGTAATTGTATAATTCAAATGCATAAACATATTTAAGAATGTATTAAATATAAAATACTGCAAGCATGTTATAACTATCGCATGATAGTAAAATATTACAAAGAAAAAAATTGTTTTGTTTAATATCTCTTAATTAATTCTAACATGTGTGGTCCATTATTTTATGTCTGTTCAAATTAAACTAAACAACTTATTATAGTAATACCTTTTAATGCATCATCAGTGAATGGTCCCAACCAAGGTAATGGGCCTACTTTAGACTGCCAAACTAAAGCATAAGGATAAGCATAACCTAGTTCTTCCATCACTGCGTGCACCGTTGAGCTCACTTCAGAAGGATATGCGTCACCTCGATTAACAGCCTAGTATAAATAACTAAATTATATGTTAAAAGATAAACATCCAAGTATCATTTTATCAATGAGTAAATTGTTAATGTAATTATAGGTTATTGATTATTACATTGTATAACAGCTTATTATTAAAAGTAAGTAATATTGGTATCTACTAATAATACACATTAATTTATTTATTTCCTTCTTGTGTACTAAAGAAAAAAATAATTTTTAATTACAATTTTAAATAACACTTAAAACATTAAAGAACATTTAAAATGGATAAATAAAGTATATTTCAATTTAGTTAGGATTACTACCAATGGGTGGCTTTTCCTCTTCTATATAACTGCACTGTAATCTAAATTCACATATTAATTTATTAAAATTACTGCAGGTAAATATATTTTTTATTTTTAAAATAAGATACCCTTTATTTTAGATTCTAAGTGGAGAGTTTTACAAATATGTTTATCTGTGAGCAACTTTTCTGAAAAGAAATCGGTGTGGGGAGATATTTTTGGGAGTTAATTTTTCGATTTTCTCAAGAGTTTTCTCATCAAAAACCGAAAAACAACCAGACAATTTACGAAATATAATCTTAAAATTTTTTTTTCTGTAGACAACTTTTCTACCAGCAATTTTGCTCCAACTTTTAATGATAGCAATGTTTCTGAAGGAAATTTCACTGGAGAGGTACTTTAAACAGATCGTTTTTCCCAGCAAATGTAAAAAACTGGGATAAAACAGGAAAAATATAGGATACTAAGGAAATTTATACAACATGAAACAAAGAAAATATATAAAACCTATTTAATTATTTTACTATAAAATGACATATATATTGTTGACAAAGCATCACTATCTACTGAACTCAACAGTATACATTAAATTATCTATAATAGTGCTGCTTCCATCCCCATTATCCTAGGACGTCTAAAGTAGGATACCGTTTATTTTTTATTCTGGTACTTTAAATCTGTTATATAAGGTAGTTTCTTAAGCGTGACCGATCACACTATTAATAAATAATCCTTATAAACTAGTTTCTTATGGGGCGATAGTACTGTTCTGAGAGCAGTGTATCCCGACTGTCATATGCGACAAAATAACAAAATTTTCATATGCAGAAGAATTCCTCATTGAAGTAGTTAGACACATGTCTCTTTATTTTTTATTTTTAATATTATTTGATTTTGATATTTAATTAATTCATATTAGTCCTTTTCCTCAATTAAAAGTAAAATAATTTTATTGTTTTTTAGAACACTTATTATATCAAACTCAAAACACAAAAAAAAAAACATCTTCATGGTACGAGTAGTACACAGATACTGAATACAGTTAAGGTTTATCAGTGTTGTGCCTAAGAAACTAGTAAGACTGCTGTGACAGGTCGTCGTCCACAGTTGTGGAGACCAGTCACGCCTAGGAAAACACCCCTCTAAGAATTGATTTAGTGAAAATAAGTAAATTGGTTATCAGATGTTTAATTTGTTATATACATTAAAATATTAATAGCCAAGTGAAAATATTGAAATCATACGACCAGCCCCCAGTAATTTCTGCAAGTTGTTAAAGATAAATATTAACAAATTATACTGAGTACTCTTAATATAAATTACCTTTAAAGGTAAAGAATGTGCGGAAAATAATATAATGATATCGTCTCTATCACTCTCAGGGAATTTGTTTATTTCATCTGAAATTCTTGAACCTATTGCTTTGATTAATAATGGATGTGTGGCCCATCGATCAATCATACTCATTTTAGTATCTTTTGGAAATTGTCTGTAAAAATAAAAAAACAACATATATTTTAATACAATGCCACAGCATCAAAAATATTGAATTGTTTACTTTTTTTGAAAATATGAATAGATAGCATTAAAACTTGATCCACTGGTAGCACAGCTATATTGTGGATATTGAGAAAACAGCACTATTCTTTTAGCACCGTCCCTAGAAATTTAAATGTCAGTATTTGAAATATTTACCAAAACATTGAATTAATTTACATTATAATTTATTTATTTTTCAAATGAACGTGAACCTTCATATTAATTGTTTGTATTTTATTTTTATGAATCATTTACCTTGTAGTCAATATAAATCCTATAAACATATATAATTCTAACCAATCACAAAAAACACAATTTAGATTTTACAACATAAAGAAGATATAAAGTATCTGCCATTTAATTTAGGGAATTTAAATTTGGAAATCAAACTTTTCTAAACAATTTGATGATTATTTTAACATTCATATAAAAATCACTAATACAAATGTATATATATATATATATAAACGAATGTATGTATGTTGATTTTTTATGCATTATTACACTATTCATTCAATTACCATGAAACTTTGGGAAATTGTTCCATGTTGTCCAGAGAATGTTAATAATTATTGAAATCTGCCCCTAATTTAATGCTTATCCTTATCGGTGCTTATTAATTTTAATAACTTTTCTTAAAATTTGTATTTTATGTATCTTTAGTATAAAAATCTAAACATTATTGTTAATATATGAGTTACCTTGATAACTCAAAAAAAAACATTGTTATTTATTTTTCATAGTATAATCCCTATGCTGTGTGGATATCTATGGTAATAGCATATAATAATAATTTATCTATTAACTTTATTTAGAAACTTTTTTAATGTTTGGGCAAAGCCAGTTGGGACAGCTCGTATATATATATATAAAATAAAATAAATTATACAATGATCAACAGGTACATACTTTTCTATTTGTTCAAAAGTACTTTCAGTTAGTGGGTCCACATATCTAAAAGTCACATAAGGTTTATGTGGAGCAGTACTAGGAGATATTTTATCCAACCTGTCACACATCAATTTCCCCTAAAACCATCTTATATAAATTATACAGATTGATTTATTTTTCAATAACTATCTTACTTGAATATTAGTCCATTTCAATATTGGTGATCCACCACCTATTTCAGCATATTTTTTCTGTACTTCAGATGTTCGTCTTCTGGCAATGTACGGTCCCAGTGTACTGAAATTAAAATATGTATTGGTAAATTATGATTACCGATTAAAAAATTATTTTAACATTTGTTTAGGCTCACTTTTGAAAAGGTAACTGCATCATGTCTCGATCAGTCATAATTCGATTCAAGTAGCCATGAACTTGGTCAACATGTTGTGGTCCCCCCATGTTCAACATAACTACGGCCGTTTTCACTTGAGAAGATACAAATCGACAAGGTAAATCTGAAACACAAAATACAATGGACTAGTCAATGACATCACAAACCAAGTATATTAAACATTCAGCACTACCTGGAGTAGATTTATTAAGTAGACGAATAGACGAAAACATATTTTAGATGATTTCAAGCGCAAAACAGAAAATAATTATTCAATGTAAAAAGTCAGATCTCTAAGATATAAATAAATAATAAACAGTTTAATTTAATACAATAATTTACCTAATAATTATTAACTATTATTTATAAATTATAATTGAATTTTAATAATTATTTGGTTAATAATTTAAAATTTTTGATTATATCCTAAATTCACAACATTCTGTTATCAGGCCAAATATGCCGCTGGCAACTTAAAACGTGGTATATTAGATCATATGATCCAGCAGTTGGCACCGTAGATAATAACAACGATTAAGAAACGAGTGTGAATCTGTGGTGTGAAGTTATGAGACCGGTACGCGATATACCAAGTGAGAAATTGAAACCAAGTGATTTAATAAGAAATGAGTGACATATAATTCGAATTATCTATACAACACAAAGTAAAGAGTAATGTTGTGTAAACCAAGAACTCTAGATAGCAGGGATTTGTCTCATAAAATTATATATATTTCCTATTATTCTATAAAAATACCCAGAACTATTCAACACACACGATTTGGTGACTATAATAATTGTTTTAAATCAAACATATTTTACTTAGCTTTGACAAATATAACTTAACACAGAAATGTTAAGCAATCAGGTATATGAAACTTATAAGTTATTGACTTATATAGGGCTTTCTTGGTGATGTCTGGGCTTTTTCCGTGGTATAGCCAATTCGATTAACAATGTACATGACACTGTTGGTCCGTGACACTTCATCAAAACAATCCTTTGGCTTTGGTCCCCTACATAACTTCACACTCGTATTTTAACGTGCGTGAAGTTGGGATTTCAAAGCTAGGCCTAGGGGACTGTTTTGATAAGAAATAAGTGTCATGGCTTCATGTAATTTGAGTTGCTTTTACCACAGAAATTGAAAGAGTGATCTTTTTCAAAGAAAGAGCAATCAATAATTATTGAATGCTAGATGGCGGTAATGTTTCTCAAAAAGTTATATTGCACTACTTTAAAAAGAAACGATATTATAACAGCCTAAAGCCTCAGGTAACAGCTTTCATGAGTCATAACACAAAGGGGCTGAAAATAGTCTAAATTAGGCACCTACCTAGTTTTATTATTTGTCGAGTTTAATTTAAAAATGTAGCAATTAGCATAAATAACTATGTATACATTATTTATTTAAGAGCAAATTGTGTATAAAAAATGGTTTTACAGTATACCGAGAGGAACTATCTCGTTTGAATGATCAAAAGAATATTTACTTTGGTCCTTCTGTTTCGTATGTCAAATGGTCTAGGTCTATTTACTGAAACAATTTAGAATAGTAAATTTGATTCCATGAAAAATTTGTCAATTACTTTTTCAAAATTTAATTTAATATCTAACAAAAAAAATATTACTAGGTACATATTATATGCATTGACAAAACTACAGTTCAGGCCAGTTTGGCCATGGCTTGATCTAATATTAACTGGATAATATACTGATTAAAAAAAAATTTCTATTTAAAATTTCTAAATTTTTTTTTATATTTATCATTTGGCTTAAGTATCCTAATAAATGTAATTTAATTTTGCTTATATATATATTATGCACTGTAAAATGTTATAAGTTCAGACCAAACTATACTAAGCTACAACTTTAGACTTATATTATTTTATTTAACCATTTTGCTGGTTAGAGATTAAAAAATTGGTTTTTCTTTTTGTTAATTTTTTTAAAAATTGTTTTAGGTCCATGTCTTCAAACTTCAAATAATAATTGCTTATCTGTATTAGAATAGATGAACTAATAAGGACTTTTTTCGTTCATAACTAAAGACCTGGTTTAATTGCTTTTAAAACACACAAAAATATAATCAAAGAAATAAGTACTATGGTACCAACAGCTAAACGCACACGAATCGCTGTACTACTACATTGTATTTGATTACCATAATATATATATATATATATAGACGCTTATCGCTCGCTGGGCTCTCCACGCTTCTAGAAAATTTCAGACGAACGATAAACGCCTACGATTTAAAAACATGGGGAAATTGAAAAAAAAATTTCATTACAAAATTAAACAGGCAGAATATTTTTAGTTTATGTCGGCTACATATTTAATCAGATCTGATTTTTATCTTTATTTCAAAAAATAGCTACAATATCAATTAAATCTGATCTTCAGTTATAAAAATAATACTATCCCCATAAAACCAATTAAAAACTAATAACAAAAATGTTTAATAATTAATGCCTATTTATAGCTCACAATTTCTAGAAATTTGAAATTAAAAATATTTTAAAAATTTGACTAGGTTTGGAAATGGATAATAAAAAATAAATATTCGTTGGAAATTTCAAGTAAGTATATATATTTATTTTTAACTGAATTACAAAAAAAAAAAGGGCACGGGTATTCTCGCACCAAGGGTAGGCCACTGTTGTAGATTAGAAGTTGGGAACGTAGGATACATAAAGGAGAAATTAATTTATATTTGTACACAACGATTAATCATTGCTAACCAAAAATGATACTGAGTGGAGCTTGGTCAACAGTATTACTTTTTCAACAATTTACATTTTCACGAAAACATTTGTTAAAAAATGATTAAAAGATTAAAATAGGTAGGTAGGTAATAAAAACTTAATAACAAAAAAAAAAAAAAAAAAAAAAAAAAAAAAAAAAAAAAAATGACAACCTTATTTATAATCTTTTAATATTTTTTAACCTAAAGAACCAGTTTTTCTTCTTAATCACGAATATTAATGGAAATTTCAATAAAATGACTTTTTCTAAGTACCTATCTCCAACTACAGTTAAAATGAAAAAAAAATTAAACATTGTAAAACCAATAATTCATCACTTCACTCAGAATCTAAAAATTACTCACATAGATGTTAAAACATTTAAAAGTCCAAAATAAATCATAGTACTTATATCACTCGCTCAGTTCAGAATTAAAACAATTTAAGGCTATGTACAATTTTTTATTTATACCCGTTTAAAGTTCAAATTTTGATAAGAAATTCCAAAAATCAGGGCATCTCAACTCTTATGTAGGTAGGTACTAATTTTTGCTAATTGTAATTATTTTTCAGTTACAAATTAATACAATACCTAAGTATCTATTTAATTAATCAATAAAACTTTGCACAGAATTATTTTTCATTGGTATGTAATAATGATGATAATGATTCTTTCAGTTCTTATCGTTAGTAATTAGATATTATTTTTGATTTTTTTTTTTAAAACCTGCAGTATAATAAAATACAATTTTAGTTATACAATAGGTTAGGTACATGTACCTACTGCATACTATGACAACAATTGTTTAAAAATCTAATTTGGCTATTATATACCTACTTATATTTTTGAATGATTTAAAATGCCAAAAGAATTAATTTGTAAACAAAATTGCAAAATAAGTTGGTTAAACCATTTGCCAAACTTATTATATTTATTTAAGCATCAAAATCAAGTTTATATTATGATCAACAGGGATTAACTGTTATTGGAAATAAAAAACTACATTTTTGCTGTATTAACAATTAAATATACAGAAATCCAATGCAAAACCTGCACATTAAACACTCACATCTTCAATAGATATTCGTTAGAGAAAAATATTAATTACTAGGTTTTATTAGAATTTCAAGTAAATTTATGTTTGCCAACTCACTCAAATCCCTATACTGTGCACTTGTAACACCTATTCTTGAATGCTTCTATAGTTTGGGATCCTTATTGAGTTGATTTTTATAGTCAACTTGAAAGCGTCCAAACCTCAATTATGTTAGTTACTATTTAAAAATGTCTTGCACTCACTATAATTATGCACCTGTCATAACTCAACTTATATTATATTCTTCTGTTGACTATTGTTCCTCTCATATTTTTTTCCTCACAAATCTCATATTTTTCGCTATTGATTCTCTTGTAAATTTTAAAATGCCTTCATTTCTTATTCGCCATAGAACTCATTTCCACATTTCTCACTGTTCTGTCAACTATATGTCCAATGAACCAATTACAAGAATGCTTAGATTAGTTAATGAGGACCGCTCTTTTACAGAGGTGTATAAATTCAGTTGTAAATAGTTCTTAAGCTTTCACTTATTGTAAATTGCTATTTTGCTAATAATTTTATATGTACCATAATCATTTAAGTGCAAGCACGTTTTGTTTATAAATAAAATGATATATTTTTTTTTTTATAGAGATGAACTAAAGTTATTAAACGGACTGATTAGTTACCTACTTGAAGGGTTAACCCTTGCTCTTGAAACTATAAACTGACCTATTTATAAACAATAAATATCTAAAACATGTATTAAAAAAATAAGGTATCTTGGTGTGTGTTTTTAAATTATCATTAATCATAATAATATTATGTTATAATATAACTTTAATACTTTGACGCCTATGTCTAATATGTTAAGGAACAGTAAGTACTATTGATTTGATAATAGTTTATTTGTAGCATAATATTGCAAAAACACGACTGTTATAATAAAACAATTAACCCAATTCAATTTTTAAATAATAATCTTTATTTTTGAAAAATTATATTTTATATTTAAGTCCAATAATTACAATAATAATATACAAATATCAAATAATTAAACTACAATATTCAAACATTTCTTTTAAATAACTAACTATTTTATAAATGGATTAATTCTATAATAAAAGATATAGGCAGGTTTTTTTAAAATCAAAATATAAATACAACTAATAATACTCCAGACTACATTTTATTACCTATATTTAACTGCAATATCACAAATTTGAATATTGAATCATTTATTTAAATAAATATTGCTTTTCCACATCACATTAAACATTTCTTTACAAAATGTATAAATCAACAAAATATTTATCATAATAATACAAATTAAAACATAAATAAACAGTATTTATTAAAATTTAAATTGTTTTACTTATAACAAGTTAAACATATTCTGTTTGCTTTATCACTGCATCTACAAAAAAAAATATATTTTATTAGAATAAGGAAATATGAGAAAGAAATAAAGAAATAAAGAAATATGTAGGCATAAAAGAAAGTATAATCACTAATCACCAATTAATATACTCAAATATGATTTATGTAAATTTTAATTTTTCATACTTACAACGAACACATGTTGCAAAATATATCTTTACATATGTCACAAAAATCCAATTTTTCAATTTTAGAACAATAGCTACATTTTTGTTGAATTTCATTACATACATTTAAGTTCTATATAAAAAAAAAATAAATAAATAAAAACTAGAGATGTTACAAACTATTTGATTTTTGAACCAAACTAAACCGAAATAACATATAATTTGGGTCAAAAACCATTTCATGCTTATTAACCAACATGGTTGACTGCGCGTGGTAAAGTAGGGTGGCCTTGTTACGAAAAACCCTAGATAATGAAACAGATTGGACGTTTTACAATAATTATACATCATAATTTAGAATATTTTGACTTTTTTAATGTTCGGTTTGGAATCAAACAAAAATGTGTAGATTTGGTTCGGTTCAATTTTGAAAATCACCAATAAAAATCATTCTTGGCATAAATGCAGTTTAGCTTACAAGCAATTTTTTTAAATTTTTTTCACACAATATGTGATTTTTGAGTGTAAACTTGATGGTATTTTTAAAAAATGTCGTTCTCACATCATTTGGAAGTTATGGTCAAAAAACTTTAAAATGCTCGATTTTTCTAAAAATCATGTTTTAGAGTTTAAAATAACAAAAATTTATATTTTTGGAATTTTTTTTATAAATGATAGGAATTATATGCTTAATATTTAGGTGGAATTAGAATTCACCTATCATACTTACTTTTTATGTTATTGTTAATAAACCTTGTAAAACCTAATTATAATGTTATTTCAATAATTTGCATATTAAAGTAGCTCAAATTTAATTTTTTGGACTTTTTTTTTTGATTGTTGTGTAATAACATAAAGAAATTTTTGGTGAAATCAAAAATACTATTCTTTTGATATTTATGATCTATTTTAGTGAATACGCCAATGGGCTGTTTCTTTGGCACTAATTTAACGTTACAATTGTTGTATTAATTTCATCATACAAATCAGTTTTGCCCCCATTGGGTTTTTTTATTTTGGCTTCAGTAAGTAAAAGAAAAAAAATAATGTTAAATAAATTAGATGTATTTTTTTTAATGATGTTTATGTATCAATTAGAAAAAGATAAATTTGTCCACTATTTCTTCCAAACCAAAAAATATTAGATCTGATTTCACCAAAAACTTCTTTGTTATTACACATCAAATGAAAAAAGTCTAAAAATATACATTTTTGGCACTTTATACTCAAAAACACAAATCTTAGAAAAATTAAACATTTTAAAGTATTATGACCTATAAAATTCAAATGAAGTTTGAGCGACTTTTTTTGAAGGTACCATCAAATTAAACATGCAAAAACACACATTTTGAAAAAAAAAATTTGAAAAAATCGCTTGGGAGCTAGATTGCATTCATTAGCCATTCTTTATTAAAAATAAATAATTTATGTACTTTGACTAGAACATCAGGTTTGAACATTAGTTTACCATCAAAAGTTAATTGTAATTGTTTTGATGGTTTACTGTCACATAAAGTTTCATTAATTATAACAGACTGAACCATTTCTTCAAAAGGTGCTTGACTTGCAGCTCCTTGGAACAAAAACTGTTTTGTCTTTTCTAAAAAAAAAACACCTTACATTGTTGACACTGACTTAATATGTGTACTAAGAAATTTTTATACTTGATAGTTACCGTATATTTCAGACATTTTCGACTGGCCCAAAACCCCATTGGCGATCTGTTTATCACCAACATGTATTTTAAGTTGTGGACACATGTCAATATCATATGGATATTTTCTTTTGTTCATGTTGTGATTGTTATTTAAACAAAATTAACCAAAATTGTGTAGACAAATACAGTCAAATAACTACCTCAACATATTAAATTACTTGAAAGTAAAACTTATGGATTACAATTAATAGTTAAACTTACGGTTGATGGATCCAGCAACTCTCTATTAAACGGAGTCAAAAAAAAAGATCACATTGATAATTTGGTACCTATTACAGTTTTATTTTCAGTTAAATCACAGATTATATAATCTGTGGTTATTTATATGTCTGCGGTTGTTTTATATATCTGTGGATGAACAGCAATTGTTCGCAAATGATAAGAACCGTTATTGCTTGTTGCCTTGCTGGAAATCTACACCGGACGCATATTAACATGCTGCACATAGGGTACGCGAAATAAATAACCGCCCGTGGTTTTGCGTAACAAATCAGGGTTTATTTTCCATTAATTTCTTCCATTCGTAAAGCAATATTACAATTAAATGTAGTTAAATGTAGTTCAAATATTACAAATTTAAAATATATATGGGAATAAAAAATATTTTATGGCTATTATCAAGGTTTTTAGATAATATTATCTATAAATACACCTTGATTATTTACCAAGGAAAGTGCTTAGTTATAGGCAACTCCCTATCCTTTACCTTGGTAAAACGTGTGCTGTTCCTAACTTGATCATGTACAATCATTGTATAATATTATGATCTAAGATCTCCAATAATATAGGACCGTGAGCAAGGTGGATTATTATTTATCCGTATCATTATTTGTCCTTATCATTTTCGAACAAGTCCAATTATATTGAGTCACTGAAATAGATAAGAGTTATACTAAATATGTACTTTATTCTTATCTATCCCAGCGTATTGAGTATAAACGTTGATAATAATATTATTTATACAGTCAAGGAGGCTCTTATAAATGTTTGATAGTTCTTTGGATATCGAAGAACATGACTTGTATTTTATATTGTTGTAAATAATAGTCATTACCTATGTGCTCTTTATAACATAACCAGTCGTGTGCTCTTTAGTTGATGTTATTGTTATACATTTTTCTTTAAAATTTTAAGTAATTTAAAGTTCTGAAATTATTCGTTTTGATTTTATTGCAAGTGTACAATATGAATATAACGTCAGCAGCGGGCGTGATTTCGTTGCTGGACGAGCCAGCATCTGAATTGAAAGTCTTCGCTCTCCGTAAATTAGATTCAATTGTAGACGAATTCTGGCCTGAAATATCTGAAGCCATTCAAAAAATCGAATTTCTCCACGAAGACAAAACATTCGCACAACAAAGTCTGGCAGCTCTAGTTGCCAGCAAAGTATATTATCATCTTGGATCATTTGCAGACTCTTTACAATACGCGTTGGGTGCCAGTGATCTATTTGACGTAAACGCACGTAACGAATATGTGGAAACTATCATTGCTAAATGTATTGATCACTACACAAGATTGCGTGTGGAAGCAGCGGAAAACCCAAGTTCACCGCCTATTATGGATGTGCGTTTGGAAGCAATCGTCAATCGTATGTTTCAAAGATGTTTGGATGATAAACAGTATAAACAGGCATTGGGTTTAGCTTTAGAAACAAGACGGATGGATGTATTTGCTAAGTCCATTGAGTCGTCTGACAATGTAAATGAAATGTTATCATATGCTTTCCAAGTAGCGATGAGTACCATTGAAAATCGTAGTTTCCGTAGTACAGTATTACGTAGTCTTATTAGTTTATACCAAAACTTAGAAGTACCAGATTATGTAAACATGAGCCAGTGTTTCATTTTTTTGGATGATCCCAATAATGTTGCACAACTTTTAGAAGGTCTCATTCAAAATAATGATGAAAAAAATTGTTTAATGGCATACCAAATAGCATTTGATTTGTATGAATCAGCTACACAACAATTTTTATCCAGTGTTCTTGAATCATTAAGACAAACAGCCCCTATACCCTCAGCTACACATGTCATTAAAGCAATTCCTGTAGCTCAAAGTAGTACAGATAAAGAAAATGTTACTCCACCTATAGCTGTTGCTTCAACCGATGCCGCTGCTATTCAACCTGTTGTGGAAGAACGTTCCTTTGAATCTCTTGGTCCTGATGATAAGCATCGTCAAGAAGTAATTCAAAAGTTAACTAAAGTATTGAGCGGAGAAGTCAGCATAGAGCTACATTTGCAGTTTTTAATTAGAAGTAATCATACAGATATGCTGGTTTTGAAAAATACAAAAGAAGCAATTCGTGCAAGTGTATGCCACACAGCTACAGTAATCGCTAATGGTTTTATGCATAGTGGGACTACCAGTGATCAATTCTTAAGGTAAATTAGTTGATTTTTTTCACGCACACTATTATTATATAATTATTTGCTTTTACACACAAAATATAGTAATCTTATAGTCTCTTCTAATATTAGGTACCTATTTGAGTTAATTACTGTACCCTTCAAAATAAATTTAATAGGTTTAAATCTTGAATTTTCAAGTTAGGACTGCAATTTAATACAGCCAAATGTCTTTCACTTTTATTTACCGTAGTTCTCTCTTTAATTTTAAATATTCCATAAATAGGCTTTCACTTGAGTTCTGAGAATCTGTCACTGATCTTGGTTTTCTCTTTTTTGCAAAAAATTGACATAATTAAGTTGACAAATTATTATTTTTTTTATTACTTTTGTTTACCTATCTACATTTTTTACATAAATATTAAATCATTTTTTCAGAGATAATCTTGAATGGTTAGCTAGAGCTACAAATTGGGCCAAATTATCTGCTACTGCTTCCCTTGGTGTCATTCATAGAGGCCATGAAACAGATGCTCTTGAACTAATGCGTAGTTATTTACCACCAAGAGAAAACGGTTCACCAAGCAGTTCAGGATACAGCGAAGGTGGTGGTCTTTTTGCATTAGGTTTGATTCATGCTAATCATGGTGCTGCTATCAACGACTATCTGCTTGGACAACTAAAAGATGCTCATAATGAAGTAAATTATTAACATTATTAAATATTTAAAACTGGCATAACTAATAAATTATTCATTATAGATTGTGAAACATGGAGGATGCTTGGGAATTGGTCTTTCTGCGATGGGAACAAGTCGCGAGGACATATATGAACAATTGAAATTTAACATGTATCAAGACGATGCTGTGACTGGAGAAGCTGCAGGATTAGCTATGGGCTTAGTTATGTTGGGATCAAAGAGAGGTGGCGCTCTTCAAGATATGGTGGAGTATGCACAGGTAACACAGCATGAAAAAATTTTGAGAGGTTTGGCTGTTGGTATATCGTTTGTCATGTATGGCCGATTAGAAGAAGCTGACCCGTTAATTACTTCTTTATTACAAGACAAAGATCCAATATTGCGTCGTTCTGCTATGTACACAATATCTATGGCTTACTGTGGAACTGGAAGCAACACTGCCATTAGAAAATTATTACATGTAGCTGTTTCTGATGTAAATGATGATGTACGCCGTGCAGCCGTTACAGGTTTAGGATTTTTATTGTTTAGAACACCAGAACAATGTCCTCAAGTTGTCAGTTTACTTGCTGAGAGTTATAACCCTCATGTTAGATACGGTGCAGCTATGGCTCTCGGTATTGCTTGTGCTGGAACTGGACTCAAAGAAGCCATTAACTTATTGGAACCAATGACTAATGACCCTGTAAATTATGTACGTCAAGGTGCATTAATTGCTTCTGCTATGATACTTATTCAACAAACAGAAAGCACTTGTCCTAAAGTCAAAGAATTCCGTACACTGTACGCTAAAGTAATTACTGATAAGCATGAAGATGTAATGGCCAAGTTTGGAGCTATTCTGGCCCAAGGTATCATTGATGGTGGTGGTCGTAATGTATCAATTTCCTTGGAATCAAGAACTGGCCATACTAATATGTTAGCGGTTGTTGGTCTATTGTTGTTCACACAATATTGGTACTGGTTTCCTCTTGCCCATTGCTTGGCTCTTGCTTTTACGCCTACATGTATCATTGCATTAAATGCACAACTTAAAATGCCTCTTCTAGAGTTAAAAAGTAATGCAAAACCATCATTATACGCGTATCCTGCACCTATGGAAGAAAAGAAACGAGAAGAAAGGGAGAAGGTTACTACTGCTGTATTGAGTATAGCCGCTAGAGCAAAACGTCGTGAAGGTGGAAGTACTGTGAAAGCTGCTGAACCATCCACTAGTGAAAAAATGGAAATCGATGAAAAAGAAGCATCAACTAGTAAGAAGAAGGATGAAAAAAAAGAAGAACAAAAGCCAGAACCAAATTTTGAAATTTTAAATAATCCTGCTAGAGTAATGAAACAGCAATTAAAACACTTACAGTTGGTAGAAAACGCTTCATATCAACCCCTTAAAGATGTTTCTATAGGTGGTATTATTATGACACGCTTTACTAAAAACGGTGTGGAAAATGAACAGTTAGTTGAACCAGTTGCAGCTTGTGGCCCTAGACCAGAAGACGAAAGAGAACCTGATGCTCCAGAACCTTTTGATTACACAGATGATTAAATACATTACAAATAATTAAAACCTGTGAAATGGAATAATATTTAAAAACATTTTTTTTTGTTATGTCTTAACAGAAAATATATCTTTTTAATTTAGACTTGTATAATTGAGCTTTTGAATTAATTATAATTTATATATATATAAAACTCTAGCATAACATTGTTAGTTGTTTTTTTTTTTTTTTTGTATTATATCTATACATGATTTTTTGTAAACTTTTGAAGCGTAATAGATAATAAATCTACACAAAAAAATATACATGCGTAACCAACAACAAATTAAATGTTTAAGTCAATGCTTCACTAAATTATATTTGAAAAATCCGTGTTTATACTCTTATTTCGTTATATTTGTATTTAATTACTAGTTAATAATTTTTTTTCCTACTTGAAAAGGAATTGCCACAAAATAATCATTAAATTTCTGTTAATGAAAGTGCTCAAGTAATAACATCACCCTAATTTAATGATATTTTGTCTATCCAACTGGTAATGTATTGCAATTTACATTTTGAGTAATGTAATTAATTAACTAATTGAGTTTAGTGGGATTCAGCACAAATTTTTCATTGTCAAATTTTATATTCAATCAAAATTTAATGTAAGATTACATTTTTTTTAGCCACTGACCAATAGTTGAGTAGCTTAATGAATCCAACTATTTTTTGTGTTAATATTAATTAAGTATATTTAATTGATGGTGTTAATAATTTAATAACAATTTAAGGTTTAAATTTATATAAATCCATGGCTATAGATTGGAATCCATAGCCGTGAATTTAATAGTTCGGTAAAACAATTTATATCTATCCTCAAATAATGACTAATTTATAATTTTTTGCCAACATTCTTCGTTTTTTCATTAAATATTTTTTGTAAGGATAATACTGAAAGAGCAATTCCAATGAGGATACGCTCACATAATATATGAAAAATATTGATGTAAAAAAAGTTAACTAATTTGGTTGTTTTGTACTTTAATAGTTAGCTATGAAATTAGATTAATTAAATGTAATATTATCTGTAGGTTTAGTTGTACAGAAAAATAATATAGAATAAAGATAACCAGCTCATATTGAATAATTCAACCAGCATTGTAAGGTAGTTTTCGATAATGAATATTCAGGCTCCACTCTATCATAGTCCATTAAACAACCATTTTTTGTACAACCGTGGTCGTATCTCACTTTTTCCCACAATTTAACATAGTATTATCTTAGACCTTACTTTTTCAAACTCCTATTCTAATTTTGAGGTAGAACCTTTTTTCGTGGGTGATGTTCAAGACCTTAAATATATATGTATTTAAAATCGAAATATGACCTTTTTCAATCAGCAGATGATATTGTGTACTTGATTTTAATTATTTTATATAAATAATTATATAGTATATTGTAATTTTTTTGTCATTCACATAGACATGCAACATTGTTCAGTTTTTAGTATAGACATTGGTATTTAATAAAATATATAAGTTTAAATATTGTTATTGAAAATACGGGTAAATGTGTGGCATATTTCACTGACACAAACTAACTTGTATTTTTCAATCACACAATGTTGTTTATATCATGTCACAAACAATTAAATTTACATAATAAAGGAATTAATGTATTCAAGTCAAACTTCAATTATTAAAATAAATATTTAAACTTTATCATATTACGACCTAAAATTAGTTTATTTTATCATTGCATTATACTATCTTCTAAAATTAATAAGTTAATATATAATAATAGGTAATATTTTATTTTAAGTTTAACAATTAAAAATAAATTATGCATCTATCCTCCACTATTTGCTATTAATAATTGATACTTAATACTAATTTTAATTTAATATTATTTAACGTATGACTAGGTTAATGAACAATTGAAGGGCTGTGGAGAAAAACAATCATTGTTAATTGATCGTCAAAATGAGCAAATTTATGAATTATGAGTAAGAGGTAAAATACAAAATAGTCATCATTTTCTGGCTTGTTCCTAAACAAAGTGATGTATGAATTGAATTAGGGAAAAAATATCTGTGCTTTACAGTAGTTTCAAAAATATCTAAGACTGCAAAGAAAGATCATAATATAATCCGAGTGGAAATGTAGAAAAGTGATCGTTTGGAAATATTAACTATTGTTGTTTTTTTCCTGCAACCCTTCAATTATTTTGTTGTTCATAATAGACACATATTATTTAATTTGTCTATTAGTTTATTTTATACATTATTAAAGAGGCAATTTGAATGCAAAATAATATTGTTTAGGAATTTTAGGAAAAATTAACTTATTTAAAAAGATTTTTATAAAGAAAAAGTTATAACAACAACAATATTATATTATAACATTTTCAACACAGAACATATAAAACAAAAACTGATAAATTCAACAGTTTTACATTTAAATTATAATAAAATAAATTAATATAATTTCACAGTGCAATTTTGTTTTATTTTTTAGTGCAAAATTTTAACTTATTTTCGAATACAATACTGAAGGAAGCAATTTAATGATGAAATACAGATTCCATTTTGTTTTGAATAGTTAAATATAGAAATTTTCAATAGGAGACATGTTCATACTCAATTTCTATTAACAAAGCAAATTTCATCTAAACAATGACAGAGTATACATATTAAGTCTGAATTGCCATAATTTTAAATAAAACACCAAACTAACATCCAACAAGAAATTATGATTTCTGTTTCATTAATTTTGAAAGTTCAAGGCCCATAGCAGCTGGGCTCCTGGTAACAACAACACCCGCCTAAAAAATATAAAATAAAATAATAAGAGCTTAATATTAATAACTGTTAAATACTAAATATTACCTTCTCTAACGCGTTAATTTTATCTTGAGCGCCACCTTTTCCACCAGATATGATAGCTCCAGCATGACCCATACGACGGCCTGGTGGGGCTGTTAATCCAGCGATAAAAGATACAACTGGTTTTGCATTTGGACCCTATACAAAATAATAAAAAAGCTATTTAAATTACATTATTTTTAAATGCATTTAATTACGTACAGTATTGTGTTCACTTAAATACTCAGCAGCCATTTCTTCTTGTTGTCCACCAATCTCACCAATTAGAATAATACCATGCGTATTTGGATCATGTAGGAAAACTTCCAAACAATCAATAAAATCTGTACCATTGAATGGGTCACCACCAATACCGACACATAATGTTTGTCCAAGACATACTTGAGATGTTTGATGTACTGCTTCATAAGTAAGTGTACCAGAACGTGATACTACTCCAATTGATCCTTTCAGATGAATGTGACCAGGCATAATACCAATTTTACACTAAGAGATTTATATACAATTTAATAATCTAAGGAATAATGATAAGTTTTTAATTAATTATTGTACATACTTGTTCTGGAGCAATGATTCCTGGACAGTTTGGTCCAAGCAATCTTGATTTGTTCTGCCTGATCAATTTATGTTTGACTCGTACCATATCTTGTTGAGGTATTCCTTCTGTTATACAAACAATTAAAGGAACTTCAGCATCAATAGCTTCAATAATTGCTTTTGCTGCTCCTGGCGGTGGCACATAAATAACTGTAGCATCAGCACCTGTTTGTTCTCTTGCCTGTAATATAATTAACAAACAAAGTATACATACTGAATACTTTAGTATGTAATTTACTTAGCAAATAATGAAACTTACTTCTTTAACAGAGTTGAAAATTGGCAAATCTAAATGGGTTTTCCCTCCCTTACCAGGCGAGACACCACCAACCATACGAGTACCATACTCTAAAGCTTGTGTTGAATGAAACGTTCCTTGTTTACCAGTCATTCCTTGACAAATTACTTTTGTATCCTTAGTCAATAGTAAATTTTTTCTAGTTTCAGCATAGATCTTGGGATCAACTGTATTTGATGCTGATCGCACACCCATTAAATTGCATACTAGAATATACATTATAAAGTATATTAATATAAAATAATTTAAATAAAAATAGTAATTATTAAATTGAATACAAAAATATATATTTTTATATTATATATTTCTATATATTTACTAACACAAAGGACTTCGCTTTATGTGGGAAACAGCCTTATATGAACATAATAGTCGTGTCCTGATTATAATGTGTAACAATACTCATTTTTGTTAAAATGGGTAACTGCTTAATGTGGACAAATATAACAGGTCCTAACGAGACCAAGTTAAGCGGAATCTACTGTATATACTTAATATTTACCTATATTGAGACAAATAACTTTAACTATAGTTTAACCAGTGTATACTAAAGATAATAAAAGAGTCCCAGCAACTTTTATGTTAGCTAGCCATATAATAATTTAATTTAGTTAACGGGTAGAGCTGGGCTTAAGAATTATTTATTATTCAGACAGGACAGAGTTAAAAATTAAATAAATTCACTATAGGTAATAATTTTGATTTTTCATTTGCTTTCAATGAATTAAAATTGTTTTTAATAAAATAAAATAAAAATAGTTAAGCTAGTTTGTTGATAACCATTAGCTATATTGTAATGTCTGTGTTAAAAATATTCATAGATAGGCATTTAACTGTAAACGAGGATTAATTTATACTAGATATTTTTCAAGTGGAAATGATATCCAAGAACGGGACAGACTGAATGTGGAGAAATATTGAAGTAATTCAATCAAGCTGGAAAAGGCAATATTAGTAAATTAATCAGAACAGATTGAGTCTGGTCATATGATTTATAAAATGATTTTGGTTGGGTTTGTCATTCAACATAATTGACTGTTAGATTACCTGTCACGTTCTTGAAAAAAATAATTACATATATTCCTAATACATACCTAATTTTGAAAAAAAGTCTTAGGTTTTAAAATAGATTTTTGCTAATACATTGTTGTGAATATAAATTCAGTGGGCGTAGGCATGGACTGTAAACTCAGATTATAATAATATTCAATAATTTCATAATATGATTGTTGAATCAACTTGTAAAATATATGTAAAAGATCTCAGGGGTCAAATATTCAAACCAGGAAGTAAAACGCGTATGTAGATATTGGTAAATATTCTAAATTATTTCATAGTGTGAAAGGCATTACGTCAGATATATATCGCTGAGATGAATTTTGGTATATGGCTTACCTGCAATTCTGGAGAATATTCTAGTGGAAGCAGCCATAGTAAGTATCCGTGAATATGTAATAATACTGGAATAAATTCTCAGTGGAGAACTGAAAATTTAATATTTTCGGAAGAAAACCGCTACCAAGATCAAGTGATAAGAAAATAAAAAAGGTCGACGGCTGATCGTTTTAGGTACAGCCCCTACACTTCCAACTTCTATAGACAATCGGTGGAAAAATTGATCGATCTATCACAAATTCACAATATTACATTTCGTGGGCAAAAATCATATGTCTACTCAGTGTCGCCGGCCGTACGGTAGACGTATAGTTAAACCTATAGTCAATGATTCCCCAGCGACGTGTCACACTGGCCCATCGATATCACACGTCTTTGCGATGAGGGGCCACCGCCCACCATTCACACTCCACACTCCACCCGCGTGAGGCGTGCATAATGCGTATACCTGACGCCTGTTTCACTCTGAGAAGTCGACTACTCCACTCCACTTCACCGTGACTATGGAATATGGATTCAGCGACAGAAGAGAAAGAGAGTAGTTGTCGAATAGTAGTAAAATATTGCTCTCTCTCATATTATAAGTACAATAGAATTGTACCCTACACCATTCGAATTTTGCTGTGATCCTCTTGGATGCTTATCGAGTTTTTATAACTTGATATTATTTTATAAAGCTACTTTAATTTTTCAAAATCTCTGTTGTGTATATTTCCTCATAATTATGCTAATGAGTAAAACGAATGAGTGCCATAACTTACAAATCATAAATTGGAGTCCTGAGTGTCAAGATATAATATACAGAGATGGAACTGACCTGGAACATCAGTCATCAAACGCAAAATAGCTTCTATTTTATACATTAATATTAAAGATTTAAAATTTTTTCATTACTTGTTAGGTAGGTACCTACCACTTATACGTTTACATATTTTTTCTTTAATTATTTTTTGTAATTTTGCTATTAAATTACATGTTTTAATTAAAGGGCCATCAGGATGTGTACTAAACCACATGAAACTGAACATACACTCATATATACTATTAATCAAGATCATCCACTACGAGAATTATTTGAAGCATGCAAATCTGGTGATGTGAACAAAGTTAAGCAGCACTTAAATCCTGAGACAGTTAATGCTAGAGATACATCTGGTAGAAAGAGTACCCCCTTACATTTTGCTGCAGGTAATTAGTTATTTATTATTATGTTTATCTTAAGTGTTTCAGAAGAGTACATTTTTATTTTATTAATTCAACAATTTCAGTTATATGAATTACTTTTAATTACTACTTAAATATAATTTGGTTTTGTTATTATTTAATCTATTATAATTTCATAATTCAAAGACCAGCAAAATCTTAGTCTTATGTACCTACTGTTTGCAATTAATTTTAAATGCTGTAGAATTTGTTATAGGTAATGACATTGGTGTACAATGAATTTGGTAAGAATATAAAATTATGAAGTACTTGCAACATTTATACATGTAAATCATAATGGGGTCAAACTATAAAATTTAATGTCTTAAACGTTTATATGTTTTTAGTGATTGACTACTGTTACTACAATTTAGTTTTTATTAGTCTATCTAGTATGTTCTAATAATATTCTAATTAAAAGAATCCTGGATTTGCTTTTTATAAATCATTAATTCAAATGTATTTTAAATTGTCTATTGTAATAAAACAATCCATTAAAGCTGATAGAAAGTTTTCTCTTGAAGGGGATTTATCTAAGGGGATATATATATATATATATATATAGTAAAATTAAAACTAGATTTGTGTGTGTATATAATAAATAATATTGTGTGAGGAACATTTTTGGCTACTTTTTATCCCAGAAATCAATCCTTAAAAATTCCTTTAGAGGGGCTTACTTGAATTTTTATTTTTATAATTCAAAAATTGAATTTTATTTTTATTATCTGGGTGTTGAAAAATTGGGAGATGAAAAAAAAGCAGTTATTGTTTTTTTTGGTTATTACAGGCAAGAAAGTCCCCATCTTAAAAGAGATTAAAAAGAAAAAATAAGCATTTAATTTTTGTGGTAGGCCATAGTAGAAGTGGTTTGGTGAGGGTATGGAGTAACATCCATAGGCATTTGGGTATCGCCAGTCATATTGTCGTATAATTAATTAATTAATTTTTATTTATTTATTTTTATTTATTTATTTATTTTTATTTATTTATTTATTTTGTTATTTTAACTTATGTACAAATGAAAATGTATTTAATAATCTACATGTATAGGATTTGGACGTAGTGATATAGTTGAACTTTTGTTAGCTGCTGGAGCATCTATTCAAGCTCATGATGAAGGTGGGCTCAATCCATTACATAATGCTTGCTCGTTTGGACATGATGATGTGGTTGCTTTACTATTACAAGCTGGAGCTGATCCTAATGTAAGAGATACTTGGAATTACACACCTCTCCATGAGGCCGCTATCAAAGGAAAAATTAATATATGTATAGGTAAAATATAAATATAATTTTATAAAAATGTTCAATGCAGAATAAATTATATATATATATATATATGTATATATTGTATGTTGATATTTATTATGTATATTTTTTAGCATTATTGCAACATGGAGCTGATCCAACAATTAAAAATGTAGATAACAAAACCCCTATTGATTTAGCAAAGGCTAGTGGAGTTCCTGGTGTCCGTGAAGTATTATTAGGAGAGGGGCAAAAAGATAAAGTATGATTCCTTAAAAATATTACTATTTCTTATTTTTTTTAATTCTTATAATATGATGTGTATAGATTCTTGAATATAGTCGTTCCGGTGATGATCTCAAATTGTCAGCTCTTTTGACACCTCTTAATGTTAACTGCCATGATAGTGGTGGACGTAAATCAACACCATTACATTTAGCTGCTGGTTTTAATCGTATTCACTGTGTTAAATTACTCCTTAAGTATGGAGCCGATGTGCATGCAACAGATAAAGGGTAGACAATATTTGTAATATATTAATGTATAATACTGTTGGCTGTATATATTATAATGTTAACTAAATTAAAATTATATTATTTAACTATAGGGGTCTTGTTCCGTTACACAATGCTTGTTCATATGGGCATATAGAAGTAACTGAAATGCTTATAAAAAATGGTGCTTATGTTAACACTCCAGACTTATGGCAGTTTACTCCTTTGCATGAAGCCGCTTCTAAGTCGCGTTTAGAAGTGTGTTCATTGCTGATAAGCAATGGTGCTGATCCAATGATACTTAATTGCCATTCAAAGACAGCCATAGACATAGCAGCCACGCGTGAAATACAAGAAAGATTACCTTGTAAGCATTATACTGGAGTTTTGGAAATGATTTTATAAGTATATTATTTCTTTTCACACAGATGAATTCAAAGGCCATTGTTTATTGAAAGCTTGCCGTTTAGCTGATATTTCAAAAGTAAAAAAACTTCTAGTTTCTTCGGAAATTGCTAAATTCAAACACCCTTTTACTGGAGACAATGCTTTTGTAAGAATAAATTTAATTACAATATTAAGTTCTGCATTTAATTTATTTATTAGTAATTATTTAGTAGTATTTAAATGTTTATTGAAAATTTATATTTATTGATATTTTTATGAACTGATAATTTATTAAGTTTCATTCTCATCAACCTTAAATAAGATGTCTGATAAATCATAGTCAGTTATCAATTATAAACTTTGTTTAAAAACAAATAAACAAAAGTGTTGATGTTGGTGAGCACAACCCTTAAACCACGTTTTAAAACATTTTCATAAAATATTGTAAAAGGTATTAAGTTATGTGATATTACTATTGTATAGTTTATTTATTATTTTAACCCCTTTAATTAATAATTTAATATTAATTACTAAATTTCTAAATTTTATTTGTATTTATTTAATATTCACATTTGCCTATATTAAACATTTTCTTTTCGAAATTCCAATAAGAACTTTTTTTTTGAACATGAAAACCATTAGCTCAAATTTTGTTATGATTTTTTTAATTTAGGAAATTATTTATTTTAAGTACTTATGAACACTGATTAAAATTTGAAACACATTAATAAACATAAAACATACATATACCTAGTACATCTACTCCCTAATAACAGTATTTTAAATATGTCGGTGACAAATAATGAGATAAAATAGATTTTCCTTTATTTTATTAGCTATTTTATTTTAAATTATTTCTATTGCACTTTATAATGTATAATTTTAGCATGCTGTAGCAACTTCATCAGGATCAAAGCGTAAGCAAATTATTGAGCTTCTGTATCATAAAGGAGCACAAATAAATGAACCAAACAAAGAAGAACAATCACCTTTACACACAGCTGCAGAGTGTGGGCATACTGATATTATGAAATTATTTATTAGTCTTGGTGCGCGGGTAAATGCTGTTGATGTATTAGGACAAACAGGTGAATTATATAATAATATTAAAGTGCGGTACTGTTTGGTTATCATACTCCAAAGTTGGTAGTGGCTGCCCAAAAATACCAATTCTTTTATTGTACTCCAAGTTGAATATTCTAATTCTTGTACTTTGTGGTCTGTGTTATACTTGCATTGTGTATGTCCATGCTGTTAACTAATAATTATATGACAAATTGTAATAATGATTATTATTTTTTAATATAATGATGCATGGTTAAAATACTAATAAGTATAAATAATATAAAACCACAAAAAAAAAAAAAAAACTACGTACCATCTAAAATATAAGTACAAACATAAATATAAAATAAAAATCTATTTGTGATTTTAAAAATATTGATAAGATTTGAGTAAATAATTTAGTAATTTTTTTTTATGTTGTTGTTTCCAAAGAAATTAACATCAATGATTACCTTCATATGTTTAAATGCGTGATTATTCCTTTAAACAATAGTTCCCACCACTAGGATTCTGGAAAGGGCCAATTATAATTTTTGAAAATTACTTGCGGTCTACATATAGTATATATGAGAGAAATTTAACATAGAATTTGAGCAATATTGACCTGTAAAAAATGGTCTTTGTTGGCGTATTTTTTTTTTTTATTTTATAAATTCTTGTTCGTACTAACTTATCTGCCAGACTAGTATTACAATTAAAGTTAAAAATAGAAGATAAAACAAACAAGAATATAAATAAAAGATATTGCATGTATTTTATTTTATTTACTTTTTAAACGTATAGAATATTGGATTTTATAATGTTCAATTCAGTTTTAGTATGGGATGCGTAGCAGGGATTGCTGCTTTAAAGAGTCACATCTATTCCATTTATCTGATATAATAGAACCTGCCGCAATGTGGCTTTTAGCAATTAAAATTAATATATTTGCAGATTTATTTGGATTCATAATCATAAAAACATCATAAGTATGTTAATTACATAATCCACTAAAAACCCATTGCTGAAAAAGAATCCTCCCATTATTATTTATGCTTTAAATTTGTTCTTCCTTTTTTTATTGAATTATTCGTTATTAATTCAGTACAGACTTCATGTAAATCATTGTTTCAATCAATAGTAGTAGAATGGTTCATATTAAATTCATCTTTATAAAATTGTAAAGATATCAACTTTTTAGACTATCAATAAATTATCTTTACAATTTTTAAAAACGGTAGTCTACAATTAAATAACAAAGTGGTTTCACTAATACTTGTTTACTGAATTTAGGAAAGTTGCAATGCACATTTTGTACTGTTGTCGCTGTGTCTTCTAAAAAGCATATCTTACTTTGCCATGATACACAAAACATAATATATTTTAGTTAAAACAAGCCATAGTATATGTATATATTATGTAATAGACAGTTAAAAAATCAATCATAGTACTAATAGTTTGTGATGAAACATGACAATTGAGATGGTACAATAATAGAACTGGTATTTTCCCGGTAACCACTGTCATTGGAATACTATTACCTAAAAATACCTAAATTACTTCTTCATTTCATGAATATATAAATTCTTCAATTTTATAATTTTATATTTTCAGCTTTACATCTATGTGCAAGAAATGATAATGTGGATGGTTGTTTACTTCTTAAAGAATTTCGCATTGATACAAATATTAAATCAATACAAGGATCTAAAGCCATTGATATGGCTACAACTGAAAATATGAAAAAAGCATTATTAAGTAATATATAAAAATCATATTTGTTAACTAATTATTATGTAAATATGATAGATATTAAATATTAGCATTAATAATTTAATGATTTGCTTTTTTTGTTTTGTTTGATCTATTTGAAAATTTGTTTAGTGTGACTCAAATGTGGAATATTTATTTCACATAATAAACTTTCATTTTCTAAAACACATTATGTTTATTTTATGGGACCTCTTCACTAAATTGTATTTTTGTCTCATGCAAAATATATTAATAAAATCATTTCCCACTTCCACGATTGTGACTTTGGATAAGTTTAGGACAAAAAAACTATTTGATTTGTTATCATTTGATCTAAATTTGTATTAATAAATGTAAAATGTAATTTTCAGTATTATGTGTATAGTTTTAAAACAATTATATTTTAAATAGAGGTTATGGCTATTATATGTAAATAATTTATTTATGTATTTTCAGCTTATTTTTAATCAGTTTTGTTCTTTATTCATGCAGTTATTTATATTTTTATTTAATATATTACAGAACCAACAGTGTTTATAAATTTAGAGGCTGAACTTTTGGAGGCTTCTAAATCTGGAAATTTAGATAAAGTTAAGAAACTATTAACAGGATATCCTAATATAGTCAACTGTAGAGATTTAGATGGAAGGTAATTATTTTGACTTAAAAAAAGTAAGCATACTTGGGTGGGAGTATACTTAATGCAATAAAAATAAAAATAACATTCTAAATTTCCTTTTTTTTTCTTTCTATACAATGTATAACAATTATATATTTGTTTTATTTTGTTAGACATTCTACACCCCTTCACTTTGCTGCCGGATATAATCGTGTTCAAGTTTGCCAATACCTTCTTTTACATGGTGCTGATGTTCATTTAAAAGATAAAGGGTATGTATAATAATTGTACTATTATTAAAAATTCACATAAAAATAAATAAATCATAAATATCATTTTGAACAGAGGTCTAGTACCTTTACACAATGCATGTTCATTTGGCCATTATCAAATAACCAACATGTTAATTAAACATGGTGCTAATGTTGATGTATATGACTTGTGGAAATTTACTCCACTTCATGAAGCTGCAATCAAAGGGAAATATGATATTGTGCGGTTATTACTAGAGGTATATATTTTAAATTGAATAAGTAAAAGCTTTTAAAATGGTTATTTATTTCATTATTTTTGTGTTAGCATGGTGCTGATGATACAAAGAAAAACCGAGATGGGCATACGGCTTTAGACTTAGTTAGACATACTGATAATGATATAGCTGATTTATTACGAGGGAATGCAGCATTATTGGATGCTGCTAAAAAAGGAATACTATCACGAGTTCAGAGAATTGTTACTCCTGAAAATATTAATTGCAGAGATACTCAAGGAAGAAATTCTACTCCATTACATTTAGCTGGTATTCATTTATAAGTTTTTAATTTTTGAAATTATTCAATAATAAATTCAAAAATATTTTAGCTGGTTATAATAATTTGGAAGTCACTGAGTTTCTATTGGCTCAAGGAGCTGATGTTAATGCTCGTGATAAAGGTGGTTTAATTCCTTTACACAATGCTTCTTCGTATGGACATTTAGATATTGCTACACTCCTAATTCAACATAAGACTATTGTGAATGCTACTGATAATTGGGGTTTTACTCCATTACATGAAGCAGCCCAAAAAGGAAGAACACAATTAAGTGCACTTCTTGTAAGTTCTATTCATTTTCTTGTTCAATACATGTCATATTTAAAATGCATTTATGTATTAATTTTATATTATTGTTAATTATTAATATAATCTTCTTTGGGAGTGCTGGCCACTGGAATTATTCTGTCTTACAGCTAGATTTCCAGTTATCCCTGTCAGGGATTTTCATTCGTTGTCCAGCCAGGATCTTCATTTAACGATTGTACATCCCTCTCTACAATGTTCTCTCATCTCAAACGGGGATGTCCAAAAGTCTTTTTTTCCTAGGTTTTTTCTCTCAGTACTAAACATAATAGTAGGTTCAGACTACATCAAGTATGACTTTAACCTCTTCTAATTTTGTATGTTCAGTTGTCAAATGAGTTCCATATGTGATTAATAGGATGTAATAATATACTATTTAATTGTATCTTTATTCCTCCTGGACCATGACTCCAGTATCTTTGAAAGCCAAAGAACAGTTTATTTCATGGCAATATTCTTGTTCATACTTTTCATTTTCATTTTTTTTCTGTCAAAAATGATTCTAGGTATTTAAACTTTTTGACTTGTTTAAATTCCTGGTTACCCATTTATAAAGAAGGATAAATTCCCATACTATTAATATAATATAATTAACAAAATGTATACTGTCGAACATATTATTTCAGTTGGCTCATGGTGCTGATCCATTTTTACAAAACCTAGAAGGACAAACTCCTATTGAGTTAGTTACAGCCGAAGATGTAAAATCTTTATTAACAGATGCAATGGCTACACATCCAAGTTTAAATGCAGCAAAGAATGGCAGGAGTCCTATTGCAGGAGAAACAGTTACAGTTGTCATGCCATCTGGAGTTTCTGTTGCATTACCTTGCCCTAAAGGGTCTGGTAGATCTTTCATGCTAGGATCTCAAGCGGATGGTTCAGTAAATGGATATGAAAGTGCCCACCCTCATCCTAATTGTATAACACTATCAACAGTACAAGGATTCCTTGAAAGGTACAATTTGAATACAATTAAGTATTTACATTATATAAATAAACAAAATATTTATTTTCTTTCTTATCATTATTTAGTATGGATTTGGAACATCTCAATGAGATATTTGAGAGAGAACAAATAACTCTAGATATACTAGCCGAGATGGATCACGAAGACCTAAAACAGATTGGAATTGCAACATATGGTCATCGGCATAAGCTTATTAAAGGAATGGAGAAACTAGTATCTAAGCATGGTAAAAAATATTTACAAAGTGGCATACATTTTTGATTTTTTAAGTATACTACTAAAAAAGTATTTTGTTGCTAAATTAAACTAAAACTTGTTTATTTAAATTCAATTTTATTACTTTAATTCATATTTTTGAAAACGAGATGATGTTAGGTTTACCATATAGTGTATAATTGATTTAGTTTAGATTTTAACGGATGACCATGTGGTAGATCGGATCAAATGGAAGTTAAGAATGAGGGTGGGCTACCCCAAATAATTAAGATAAAGGCGAAGGAGAAAATGATTTACTATGAATGAAAACCTCATTATGACATAATATGTTAAATTAAATTTATTAATTTTAATTGTTTTTTTAAGGTGGTGTTTGTTCTGGCTTATCAGGCGGAGTGCCATGTACACTTTTAATAGATTTATTACCCGAAGACAAAGAATTTATAACTGTTGAACAAGAATTACAAAGTACTATACAAAAACATCGTGATAATGGTACATCTGGTGGAATATTTAATAGATACAATATTGTTAGAGTAAGTAAATTAGTATTTATATTTTTAATATTATAGTATTCATTAATTGAAATTATAATATTTAAGATACAAAAAATTCAAAATCGTAATCTATGGGATCGTTACATACATCGTAAAAAAGAAGTGGCATTAGAAAATGGTAATCAGGCCAATGAAAGAATGCTCTTCCATGGATCACCCTTCATTAATGCAATTGTTCAAAAAGGATTTGATGAAAGACATTCATGTATTGGTGGCATGTTTGGAGCTGGTAATACAAATTATTTATCTTATTGTAGGAAAGGTTTATGTATTTATTAAAAATATAATTAATTAATTAATTAATGCGTTGTTTGGAGTATTATGATAAGTTACAACCAGTTTCGAATTAAAAATTGATCATCAGGTATATCACAGTCAAAATGTCAAATGTCGACTCTTACAAATTACAAATTTTAATAATTTTGTTTTTACTTTATTATTTTATTTTTATATTCAGTCGCGTTTTAAATTTTGACTGTGATATACCTGATGATGAATATTTTATTCCTATATATAAATTTTTTATTTATATATTTATTTACGAGTATTATCCATTTTAATAATTATGTTTTGACTTTATTATTTTAGTATTTATTATATTCAATTATATTTTAGGTTTATATTTTGCTGAAAACTCATCTAAAAGTAATCAATACGTCTATGGTATAGGTGGAGGAACTGGTTGTCCTGACCATAAAGATCGATCGTGTTATCATTGTTTAAGGTTAGTGCTTAATTTATTTTATATAAATAAATAATGTACAAAATAAATGCTTCTTATTTTGCAGACATTTGCTCATGTGCCGAGTAACTCTTGGAAAGTCATTTGTTCAATATAATTCAATAAAAATAGCCCATGCACCACCTGGACATCATTCAGTAAAGGGATCGCCTAGTGTTGGCGGATTAACTTTTTCTGAATATGTTGTGTATCGAGGTGAACAGGTAAATTAAACATTATATACACAATACTTGTAAATATGAATCAATATTTAACAATTATGTATACTTATATTATAGGCTTATCCTGATTATCTAATTGCTTACCAAATTGTGGACCCGTCTGATGACATTGTAGAAAGTGGCTAACCTCCTAAGCTCTCTTTAAGCAAGTTTTTTTTCTCAATTACGTTCCTCTTTTTAAATTATTTAAAAATCTTAGTGAGATGATTTTTTCAAACTTTTTTGTCTTTTATTAATTCTTGATAAATCAAGTTCTTATTATATATAGTGGGTTTGAAATTTTAATTATGAATTTAAATTACTTTACAATTAAGGCTTTATTATTATTATTAATTAGTTATAAAACACTGCCTATATGTAAGATTATATAAAACCTGGAACAGTCTAAACCCTTAATAAAAACCAAAGGGTACAAAAGTGTGAGCAAATTTGAGTTGAAGTCTGAACTTTTATTTTATTAGTATTAAAATTTCCTTTCCAATTTTATTTTTATGATTTTAATTTACTACTATAGCTAATACAAAAAAATAACATTATTAAATACTTAAATCTATAATTATTAAGAATACAAAATAATTAAAAAAAAAAAAAAAAACTAATTTATTACCAATTTATTTATACTATATATTTTAGGTTAAATTAATTGTTTTTTTTATGTTTAATTTATTTTATGAATCCTCAATTTATATATAATTTATTTTTTTATCGTGAGACTTATATATTAGTATTCAAAGATTTATGAAAACCTATTACAGTATTTTATGTATTAAAAATAAAGATAACTATCTCTGTATACAATTATTTTATTTTTTAAATTTTTTAGATGATTTTTGACTAAACCAATGCTCACACTTAAAATACAAAATTCTTTTTTTTTTTTTTTGTTAGACTACTACAGTTTATGATTTAAATGTTTTGTTAGTGTTTATATTTCATTTAATTATTTGATTCTCATATCATATCACTTAATTAAACAATAGAAGAATGTCAAATTATTTATTTAAAATGTATTTTACGGGATTATGCAATAGTCAAAGTTACTTTTTAAATGTATAATTAAATTAATATTTTATAACTTTAGTATATAGTAGTATAATGAAATAAGGTTTAAACTGCTTGTTAGGTTGGGTCATAGTCTTCTAAGACTGTGGGTTGGATAGAAAATTAATTTAATTTGTATTTAACAATATTCTCATGTGTGATGTTATGTGATTTTTTAGATTTAAAATTATTTAACTAAAAATATATTAGTATAGTTTAATTAGATAGATAATAAAAATATTTTTTGTCTTTATGGTTAAAAACTGTTTGTTTTATTTTGAGTATGGTATTCTGTAAACCAAAAAAAAAATATGTGAGGTGTTAGGTCTTTCTTTTTAACCAAATTATATAAAATGATGGATTTTTATCTATAATCAACCAAGTTATATGATTTTTATAATGTTTATATTGTATGCTAGAATATTTGTGTTGATTATTATTATTAGTATTATTAAGAAAATTAACATTTTATATACAATTCAGTGAAGTCATTATAGTGAAACAGGTGTCAATGAAAATAGGCTAATTTATATAATGTTGCCTAATAAATTGCATACCTGTACAGATTACAATAGAAGGCTATGTGAATTAAGAAAATCAAAATCAGGAATTTAAGTAAAATAATTTAGAGGAATGATCAAGAATAATGTTTCTTAGGAATATATAATTTTAGAATCTATTAAAAATTAGTAAATATTTCATGAAAATGATAGAAATTAAAAAATTCAGATTGTTTTTGTTTCATTTCATTTTCCTAACTTTATATATAACTGGTAGGATTTATGTTCTTATCAAATATTTTTGAAGGAAGAAATTGGTAGGTATTATAGTTTAAGTACATAAGTCTTTTTTTTTTTTTTGAGTATAATAAAGAATATGTACCGTCACTTGGTTCATTTATAATATGAAAAAAATAAGAAACTAATTTAAATTTTCTAATTTGTGTTAATTTATTTTTGTTTTGTGAACTATTTTCTTCATTTGTATCATTTATGCAATTTTTCATTTTTAAACCTAACTTTCTTAAAATTATATACAGTAGAAGCTTATTAGGAACACAAATAATTGATACAATCACGTTATTGAAACAAAATGTCTGTAGAAACCAGTTGTATATTAAAAAAAGTAGGAAATCAATCTGGTTATTGAAACAACATGTCAGTTATTTGAAAAAAAAGGATATCTGTAATATATTTTTTAATTCCCAAACACTTGAACAGACTAACACTGATAATTTAAAATAAATCAGTGAGGTACTCGCATTAAATAAAGAAATTGTGGAAGCTCATAGTGTATGTCCACCTCAGGAGAGCAGTCTAACATTGTGTAGATAAAACAAGGCTGTAAGCAGCATTACGCTTATGAAGGCATGATAAGTTACTCAAGTAAATAACAGATATTAGAGTACATTTGTATATAACAAAGTAATGTGAAATATAATAAATATACAATAGAATATGTTTTACAATTTATAATTGTATATATTTTTTTTAATAGTATAAATAAATAAATACAATCACCTTTTGGAAACAGCAATCTGTTAATTGACACATTTCACCATGGTCCAGAAGTGTTCCTAATAAGGGGTTTCTACTGTATTCCTAAGAAAGATTTGACCTGTAATTCTTTATTCCAAATCATTTTTTCCCCAATTTTCATGAGCTTCTATAATAATATTATACACAACAAATTGTAACCATTGTGTTGAAACCAGATTTCAATAAATTTAATGATAAAGAATTGTATAATATAATAATCAAAAATACTATATTTAACTAAATTTAATTCATTAATAGAGTAATTAATAGTTTAAATATAATTGAAATATAGTAGTGAAATTTAGCTTGAATAAATCCCCTCAATAACACTCAGATAATATATAGTGGGTATAGTGTAAGATAAATTAGTTAGATTTATAGCAAAACATGCTTACATTTCTGAATATTTTTTTTGTTGATTAATAAAATGATTTACAATTGTATATTATTTTAGAAAAAATACAATATTAGATCAAATATGTTACAAAAAATCACTAATTCTTTTTTAGTTGGAAAAAATTTAGAGGAAAAGTAGTTTCATTTTAGAATAGTGAAATCTAAAGCCCTAGTGCAGGGGCTTAACCAGGATTTTTTTAGTGTGGGAGGTGTTTTTATTTTGTATTTAGATGTAACTTTATTGTGTACACTAACATACATAACTTATACATTAATAATTATCTGTATGTAATATAACACATCTTGTAGATATCTGATGCATAACTGCATATATTAAAAATTATAATTTTCAGGTATAAATATAATTAAACGAGGTGTTTAAACACCAAAACACCTCTCTCCCCCTTACTATGTTCACTGCCCCAGTGGGCATAGAGGACAGTACTAACTGTTAATTAGTATATATAGTAATAATATATACGATACTATTGTTAATTTTAAATACAGGATAGGTACATAGTAACAATAATAAGCACAAATAAAACAAATTACTGGTATGTAGATATAAATTTAAATATTTTTTTTTATTTTTTAAACAATATTCATATCCGTAAGAGAGTAGAAGAAGAAATCAAATTACTTAAGTTTATTTCCTAGTATTAACATTTGGTTTACTGGCGAAAAAATACAGTAATTGTGTAGGAATTTAAAATGTGGATGTGGATCTTAACAAGAATGTTGGAACATTGAATGAGATTAAAAATAGTTTTCCAGAATATTCAATCTTGGAATTTAGTAAATATTAAGGCCTACATAGGTCTTTAAGTTGCCTTCTAAATTTCAAAGTTCCAAGGTATCAATATTAATTCAATAGCTAATGATTCTCCAATGTTGGGTAGTTTTTTATTTAATGTTTAATATTTAATACTTGTAAGAATCATTGGGTTACTTCAATATTGACATGTTGATTGATCAAAATATTTATGCTTATAATATTAAATGCTTTTCTAATGTCTGTATCAATTTGAGTACCATTACTTATTGATTGCATTAAATGTTAACAAACAGAAAGAGAAACATTCGCACACATTATAGTAAAACCAATATATATATTTCTTGTCTCGATCAGAATGATGGTGGTTTTAAATAATTCATGAAAAAAGGACTATAAATTATATCCAATTAATACAAAGTAATTTAAATGCTCTGGCTGATTGAGCTGATAATACCTAACCAAATGTCATTCAATGTCCTTTCATAAAAATTGTATTCACCTGGAATTTTCTTACCATCTGTCTGGTACTGTTCTTACTCTTCTATGAAATATAGTTAATGATCTGGGGATTTTATTTGATCAAAATTTGAACTTCAAATTCCACATTGAAATATCGCGCTGCAAGGCTTTGAAAACACTTGGATTTTTAAAGTGAACTTGCAACAAATTTAAATTGTTAACTCCCCTAAAAGCTCTATACTGTGCTCTTGTTAGGTCAATTTCTTTAGGTTTATTTGGGACATACACACAGATAAAAAGGATCCAGTGTACATTTTTGAATTTTGTTGAGAATTAACCACCAGTCGCATGAATATGAGTAGAATAATCTAAGAATCGCTAACCAACTGTTAAGGAAGCTTATTGATGGAGTGATGAGATTGTTCCACAATTATTTATCCAAGTTTGTTTTAGAAAGTCTTACCTCTGGTCTCGTTCACCTTATCCTTTCACCATTAACTATTCACATAACCAATCAATGTTTAGGATGATGCACATTGCCAACGAGAACCAATCATTTCTGTTAAATTAATCTACTTGGGTAATTATATAATTAACTGTAAGCTAACTTGTAAAATTTGTATACTTGTGCTGCGATCTGATTAGTAAATAAATAAATAAGTACCTACTTGAAAATTGTTTTAAAATGCCCTGTCAACTGTTTCCAAATTAAAATATATAATTTATTTAAGTACATATATATGTAAGCATAATAATATACTTCTTTTAAAATTATAGATTAATATTAAAAATATATTTAGAAACTTAGAACTTGGATGGTTAGCTTTCCTAACTTATTAAGTCTGTTTGTGAATAACTATTTACTTTTCTTCTAGATCTCTTGCTCCAATCTTCTTGTGTAAGTATAACATTATTTCTAAAAGCCAATTTTGTCTTATTGGTATATTAGTGGAGAGATTTTCTTTTATGTAGGTTAAGAGTTGGCTGGTGTTAAATACATTACATTTGGTGGTTGTACAATCGGTGGATTCATTTCCATGTTGAATATTAAATTGTTTATTTGATTTTGTAAAATTGCTCTAGTTCGTTTATCAAAAGATTTTAACTTTTTTCCCACATATTCTCCATATATATCACATTCGTCTTTTTCAGAAATATTATTCCTATTTTCCGCTATTGTTCTCATTATTGATAAAGTTTCAGTTATATTTGCACCACCATGCCCTGGCTCTAACTCGATATTTTTTTTTGGTAATATAGTTTTATTCTTCTTTTTGGTTGGTGTTGTTTCTTGGTGAATTTGTTCCTCCTGAGGGCAGTTTATATTCATTTCTGTTGATGAAACACTTTCATATTCCATCTAAAAACAAAATTGATAACAATTCATAATAATATTATTTTTCATATAAATAGTTAATAGGAGTACCTATAAAAAACTAAAACTAAATGTAATATTTTAAATTGTATTAAGAGTGCACATTCATCTCCAAGCGCCTATAGGTATAATAGTACTGAATATTGAGTATTTGAATTTATTATACATTTTAATCTGGAACATTAAGAATTTATTGAGAGATACTAAAGAAGTTATTTTACCGGACACCTTATTTATTTTTTTATATTGGGGGTAGGGGAATCAGAATTTTGAAGTATAATTTATTATTATGCCATGTTTTAAGTTTTGATACATACAAAACTAGTTTAGTATAGCTCAGCTAGAGAATAGCTCATAATCACGAAGAATTTTTAAGACCGTGATCGCGATAGAAACTTTACAGCTAAAGTAGCACTTAAAATGATAATAATATTCCATTTTCTTACTTTTATGGGCATGTTGAAATTTTCAGCTGTTTGTTTTGTGGATATGTTCTCTCTGACTGTATGTTTTTTCTTCGCCTTATTATTTCTTGCAATATTTTTTATCTAAAATGAATTTAACAAAAAAAAAGTAGAAATCGGGTCGAGTAGAAATTTAGTAAAAGGGTGATCGATGGTGAATAGTTGAGATGAAAATGAAAGAAATTAAAAATTACCTAATACTAGAAGTAAAATATAAAAATTGTTTTTATTTTAGAAAAAGATTTCAAATTAAAAAACTTACTTCGTAATTTTCAATTTGTAAATTAGTTAACTGCGGTTCTTTGTGTTCTCCACGTTGTTCTATTACTGAATATAGATGTGGGTCAGTTTTTATCGAGGCATAACAATTTTTTTTCGGACACATAAATACGATGTTATGATTATTTAATATTTTGAGTTGAGTATAAAAATATCTCTGATATATTACTGCTGGTTTACCACGTTTAGATTGGACCATTTTTAAACAACTCATTTCAAAATCGTTTATGTATTTCTGTACATGTTATATTCGTCACTATTTTAATTTTAATTGAATTAACAATTTTATTTTGTCAGTATTTGTAACGTAAATTTCACTAACTATCACCACGCTAGTTTGATACTATTTGAACTAATATTATTCGATAATTTAATGACCCAGAAGGCTATATACTACCACGATAAATAAACTTCATCTTTCATTTATCATGCAATTAAATTAGTGTACTTGCTTACGCATCCAAGTTCCAACCACACACTATAGTACATGTACATTTGAAGCTATTCGAATATTCGATAAACATTGGACAGTATACATAAAAACACAACCACAGATAGAGTCACACAGAACTACGAATTGAGGTACACACTTATATTTAATCGCGGTACAGCTGCTTAACAGTTATCATTAATAATTATTATCGTTATCAACGGTTTCCATCTGACTATACAAACGTAATCTAGTAGTAAATCTATTGTATTTCATAGATAAATACAAGACACTAGTTGTACACTACATGGGTACATGGGTTTTAAATCTTAAAAAGTCCATTAAATTATAAGTTGTAATTAGTGGTTGAGCGTAATGTATGATAGTTTTTTTTTTTTTACAATTGTTTTAGAATTAAATTTTGAAGAAAATGGTCAACATTTCGGTACTTCAAAATATTTATTTTTATTATATATGCAAGTATGTGTGCATGTAAATCCACTTCATAGACTATTTATTTTTATCGTGACATGAATCGACCATTTCCAGTCAATTTTTTTGTATTTATTATAAAATTTTGTTGAAATTATAAATTCGATAAAATCAGAGATACCTAGTGGAAAAAATACTACAAAAACTGAAAAAAAAAACACCTACTTAACATATATTCCTACCCACGAGAGACCCGGACCTTTATGGGCATGCAGAATGACCGACAGTGACGGTTCGAAACTCCATTTCCCCCACTATGTGCCACAATCGTACGCTGTCGGTGGGCCGATGAGTGGGATGCACGGAATTGGACGAATGACGGTACTGATCTCTCGTGGGTTGGAGTATAATAGTCAGTGGCGGTTTTGATAAAATATCAAGGAAGAGGGTTGCGATTTAAAATTTTTAGGACCCCATACCATAATGACATTTATTAGATAAAGGATAAAATTTGTTTATGGTCCTATCATAAATTACATTTTTATTTTAGATTCTGAGTGGAGCGAAGAAGTTTATGGTTTTACAACTGTTTTATCTGTGGGCAACTTTTTTACCAAAAACCTTGCTCCGACTTTTAGGTGTAACACCTTTTCTGAAAGGAAATAGGATTGGGAAGGTACTTTAAGGAGGTTATTTTGTATTTTCTGAAGAGTTTTTTCAACAAATATAAAAAACTAGAAAAAATGGAGAAAAAACGGGAAAATGTATAAAATATATTAGTAAACTATTACAATTTTTTTTTTCTGTGAACAACTTTTCTACCAGCAATTTTGCTTCGATTTAGAACGATAGCACTTTTTCTGAATGAAAATCTGACTTGGAAGGTATTTTAAAGAGGTCATTTTTCGATTTTCCAATGAGTTTTCCTAGCAAATATGAAAAACCAGGAAAAAAATCGGGAAAAACAGGAAAATAGGTACTAAAGAAATATATAATTCCCATAGATAATTATTTTACCATAATATGACATATATGACATATATATTGTTGATAAAGCATCACTATCAACTGAACTCCGCTCAGAATCAGTTTTTCGTTAGCAATAATGGTTTATCATTGTTAGGTACAGAGCATACCTAACAGTTGAAACAAAATAAATAGGTCCTAAAAACCGCCACTACATATTGTTAATAATGGGGTAACCTTTATTATTTCGTAAGAAGTATATTATTATAAATTCAATAAATTAGAAAAAAAATTAGAAAAACTATGATCGACCCGAGAGAGACACAATCGCGTGAGGACAAAGTTAAAATAAAAATAAAAATCGAATAAAAAAAAATGTATATATTCCTACTCACCTTAATGTTAGTTAGGTAGTCATTAAAAGGTAAAAAAATATTATCAAATTACACGAAACTGGAAAAATTTTAAAAACAGTTTCTAACACCACTTATAAATATATTCGAGATATACTTTCAAATTTCCTACTTTGGGGGTGTATATAGTTATCTTTATAATATATATAATTCTGTAATGTTGAACATTTGGTTTCATAATTGCTACTTGATGAATCAGTAAGAGCTTTTATTACAGCTAGTGGTGCGACGGATTGCGTAGTGTTGTCGGCCGGACTTGGACCGGCAGTAGCATTTGGAGATCAGTTTCAATCAGGGTGGCCGACGCTACTTCGGAAGTTTTAAGAAACCTGTTTCCGTTTTTGTTTAATACAATAATTCTCTGTAAATAAGTTTAAGATTTATTGTAAACAGTGCGAATTTCTAAAGCACTAAAAATATCGAAATAATATAATACGATGTCTGTCTTTACATTTCCGGTAAAATGTCCAACAAAAGATTATAAGATTTAGAAAAACCTTATGAATCGATCGGTGCCTATGTGGTTTTGGAAATGACTGGAAAAACAAAATTATTTTTCTTTTGACATAAATGTCCGCGTCGTATACGCGTGTTGTACAGCAGAACACTAAATAATTACTATTTTATCTTGTTATAGGATTTTAAAAAAAATTATTTTTTTTATTAACGAAGTTTTTCACATATTAAACTGGAAAAAAAATGCTATTTTCATACTTTAAAAACGAAAATCGTGTGCAAGCTCTCTTTTTAATAGTGGTTGAATTTACAATGGGCCGTACGGATGACAAATCACGACGTAATCGTTGTTCACAAAATTAATGTCACAAATGAATGAAAATGTGTGAATACGATGAACTCAAAACCGTCTTACACGTTCTGATTTAAGATCATGGTATGTATTGTATTGTTTGTATAATGCACTTATTCGATATGTTTTAAATACCCAGAAGAAGAAGTTGAAGGATCAATTTTGCCCATATTATTTAAAAATAATAATAATAATATTAAAAAAAAAATTGTATAATAAATAAAATTTTCATAATATTATGTATATAATTGCCCGTACTTTATCAATATGATGCAGATTCGTTCCAGATCTTTCGTAATATACAATAAAAAGGGCATACCATAAAACAGCGACAACAGATAGATTTTTATGATGTAGCAAAAGTACAACAACATTGTTATATGAGTATAAGAACAAAATATATTATTGAATCTATATAAATTATTAATAGACGAAAAAAAGTTATACATTTTTTGAATACAGAATCGAATCTAAGTTTATTATGTCGCTGTTGTTATCGGCTCGAAATAGTAGCAAATTCGATTTGGTTAGGTATCATCTGATATAAACGTACAATTTTAACGGTTTAGGTTGATAGGTATGGAAATCGATGTTCTCGTTGACGATTAAATAGTTCATGACTAAACTGTAATTTGATGCAATGTCAGTGCGGATGACCAGATACTTTGGAGGTAGATTTAAAATAAATGCATGGTGGCCGAACGAGTTCTAATAAATGCTTAGTGAGCGTAAGATAATCGTAACCGCTATTATTCTAGACAGTCGTCCAGAATAATAGTTGGCGATGGAAGAGTTACGAACTCCTCTAGTTCTTATGACAGAACGGCATATTTGTTCGGTGAAACGAATTACTTGGTTTTCTTTACCTTACTTTGCTGAGAAAGACTACAAATTAATATAAGTATAATAAACAGGTTAGAATACTTGAACACTGAATTTTGTTAAATAAATTGGAGAAGAAATGTATTCATTAATTGAATCACTTAGGAACAATTTTTGAAAATTCCAAGCTAAAATAGGTAAAAAGGTGGGCCAAAAATAAAAGTGCCTGCGAACGGAAGGCATTAAATTGGACTAAAATTTACAGAGACACGAGTAATACTATCTGTAGAGATAGTAGTGTACCTGTATGCATTACAACTACTATAAATTTATTTCAATAGAGATCGCGTGTTATCACATTGGTTCCATATCGTAATCTGTATAATAAATAAAAATCTAATTAAAAAACCGGAATTAAAATTATAGGTCTACATTTTCGAATATAGTATTATTCAGTTATAATCGTTTGTGCGTTTCATGATACACCGTGTAAAAATGAATTTTGAATAATTTTTCGTGGACGATTTGTATTTACTATTAATAAAAAAAAAAAAAGAACGATAATCAACATGTAAAAAAGTTCGGCGGAGTCGATAGCTGGTGGAGTTAGCATATTCAAATGTCGGGTGGAATCGATTTTTTAGGTTATTTCGGTGAAATCTAAATACACCCCTACAACCGGTGTCGTGCGATATTTACTGAACTTATTATTTTATTTTGTTTCTCATACATTTTTCAATACACTTTCAATTAAGTAAAATGTATTAATTGTATTAATTCAATCTATATATGATTATTTATTAATTTTACATCGAAATGGTCATAAACATAAAACGTAGGTACTAATTTAACCTAATATACTCATATTAGTATCTGTAACTTAATTAAAGACATAATATTCAATAAACAATACCAAATAATTAAAAAAGGTATGCGAGCTATTTTAAAATTAATTATTTTTAAAATTTAAGACCAATGCGTTTAATCATTTAATAATATTACAAATAAATATTTATTTATAATTACACATCAATAACAATTAGAAAAAAGTATAAAGTATTTATTTCTGTTATTTTTTGATATTCTAAGCGGTTTTCATAATATCTGGGAATATCTGTAAAAAATAAATGGGAAAATTTACGAAAATAATGCTTTATAATTTTCAATTTTGTTTTTTGTTGTAATTTAGACAAAAATATTCGTAAAGACTTGAGATTCGAACAGAAATCTGGCCTTTTCTAGACGTGGTAAAATTTTCAAAAATCTTTAACAATTTTTGAAATATTTATAAACATTTTAATTTTGAGAGTTTTTTACGTAAATTTTATTAGGTACTCTGCGGATAAAATCGTTAGACTAAACAGAAGTGCTAGAAAATTTAACAGAAGGTTCATTTAAAGTCGTATTTTGGGTAAAAAAAGATAATAACGAACTTAATGTAGTATATTTTTTATAAAAGAATTTTATTATCAAATTTTAACGAAAATTGTTTAAGTAAACAATTAAGTAGAAAGAATCTAGTTACTAGTCTATGCAAATTGTTTAAACTTTTTTTCGTCCTAGAGACAGCAAGTTCAAACCCTAGATCCGAAAAATTGTTTTGCAAAATGACGTCGGGTAAGTTTAACAAGGAAAAACAAATCAATTTTGGGTCCACCTAGAGACCCAAGCCACCGTAATATGATATATATATATATATATTGTTGAAAATAGGTGTCCACTATAGTTTAAATACTGTACACATTAGTGAAGTTTTTAAAATTTTATCAACCTCACTCCAGAAAGTAATTTTAGAGCTGCTTTTTTTTTAAATTCTCCAAAAAATCGCATCGAAAAAATTAATGTTTTCCGAAATAATGAGTGTCTTAAATCGAAGATTGATTACTCTGTATAATATATGATCCACTTAGAACACAAGGGGTATAAGTGACATTTTTTTAATTTCGAGAAAATCAAGTTTAAAGTTATTTATATTTAATACAATTATTATAGCATATTGTCATATTACCAGTGTTCTTGTGTTCGAATAACAAAAAAAAAGTTTTAAACACTTGGCAGTATAGATACATATTGTATGCATATGTTATGGACCCTTGTACTTATTTTGGAGACTATTTTAGTGAAATCTATTATTTGTTACTAAATCGCAGCATATGTCGAATAATTTTCTAATATTTCTTTACCACACAATAAAATGGAACATTTTTGGTTCAACCGTGCTCTTAACTCAGATTTTTTAAAAATATCACTATATCCCTTGTGTTCTAGGTGCCTCATTTACTATATTTTACTAAAACATCGCTAAAATGATAACTGAAAGTCTGAAAATGTTCAAAAGAGGTGATTATGTGAATCAGGAACGTTGCTAATATTATGTGTCATACAATTTTACAAAATTTGTTTTTTTTTTTTTTATGAGACATTCATATAACGATAATGATAAACGTTGTTGGAGGGTAGGGATTAATAAAGTGAGTCAGTATAGACATTGCATGAGAAGTAACGGTCGTGCGGGACATTATAACTGCAGTGTTGCAGAAACGTTAGAATAGATAACATATTATATATGCAACACAATTTCGCATTATGCAATATTAAATATTTTTATAAAACATTACTGTCACGTCTAGGGAATAGAATATTGTACAGTGTATTGATTTCGTGAATACATGATATAAATAATATAAAATATATTATATATTCACGATTGCCATGATGACACGTTCTCCACATGGGCGTGGTAGTGCATAATATATAACGCATTATATTGTATGGGATACAATAGTTGAGTTACATACCCAGACCTATTGTCGTATGTTAGTGCGTTGTATTTACATTTGTCAATTTTTGTAATTATTAATTTGTACATTATTGTGGGTTGTATTTAACAGACAGAATATTTTAATAAGAGGCGTATTATAACATCCAGAAGAAGAAGAAGACCAATCAATGGACGACATGTCAGAAATAAAGAAAGAGATTCAACGTGTTCAAGGAGATCTGAAGGCATTATACGAAAAAAAACAACAGTTAGAGCAAGAAAATGAAATCGACCGTATTCCAAGTGATGGCGATCAAAACAGATCGCTTATGGGACTATTTGATCCGCCTCGTAAATGTATAAAACCGGACCAAATCGAGACGATATTATTTGTAAAAATGAGACAGGAATTGGACGAAACGAACACGTACTACAAACTACCCGTTATTCATGTACTTCGCCGTCAGCTAAACTCGTTGGTCAGTGGCGTTTACGACAAAGAACAGAAAATCGAAGATTTTCTATATTGGTACGTGGTCGATAATTCTGTAAAGGATTTCAATTTATTTAAGAACTATTTACTCAACCTGTACGGCAACCGTTTAAGTGTAACGTATACCGATATTGTTTTGAACTTCGAACCATCTAACACCGGGAATACAGTGATATACGATGTAGTGTGCACTGCAATTGAAAAATTTTTCGACAGACCGCATATTATCAGGGCCGACGTGAAAGTGCTCCACAAATTATTTACACCTGGCTATGATGAGTCGATCGTTATCGATGCGCCCACGTCTGATACTCTGAGGGATGTGTATCGTTATGTCAAAGAGTCGTACGATACACGGAACCGTCCGACCCGCCACGCCAACGAATAAATTTAAAATTGAAGTAATAACACACTTGTTAATCAATAAAATCTATATAAATGCTACTTATATTGTTTGTAGGTTATCTAATACATAGGTAAAAAAATTAAAGTTAAAGTGACCATAATTTAGTCGTATTTTCTATGGCCATAAAACTAATACTTATTAAAACTAAACAATATTAAATACCTATTTATTTTATTAATAGTTAAAATCATTATGCACATAATCATATTAACTATATGTTTTAAGCTAAAACACATTTATGGTTTTCAGGTAAAAAATTATAGTTGCTCTGACAAAATAATACGAATAACACATAATATTCCTTTGTTCATCTTTATACCGAATACTGATCAGTTACTTAAGCGCGAGGGGCAGCTTGGTAGGTTGTTTTCATTTGATTCCATACAAGGGTAATTGAAATTCTCGTAAATATTTCAACTAATTCAATTAAACTATAATATAGTTATTAAATACAGGGCCTATTATATTAGCAAGCTAGCTAACTATATTATTTAAAATAGAAACAATATAGGTAAGTATAGGACACTATAGGTACATTTTAATATTATATTATATACTTGATATTTTATTTTTGTTTCATCTAAATTCTATGTAATGTATTTGCAATTTAATAAAATGTATTAATTGTATTAATTAAATTTGTATATGTTTATTTATTTATTCTACATCTAAATGGTCATATAACCTACTACCTATCTTCAGTTAACCATACCTACTAATAAAAAAATTTATGTGAACTATTTTAAAGTGAATTTATTTTAAGATTCATTATAGACGTGAACGAATTACAGTGCTGATTGTAATTCTTTATCGCGTAACGCATTATTCTATTTAAAATTAATTGTTTTCACTACAATTCTCTAGAAATTTAAACGACTATTACTAAGAAACTATTAATCGAGTATGTAAGTACATTAAAATGTTTAAAATAATATATTTTCAAAATTGGTTAATTTTTAACATTTTAAAAAGTGAACAAATAAAATTATCATGTTTCAGTTATAAAGGGATGAAAATAAAAATTGTAATTTTCCTCAAGTAATATGTGTTCCCCTGACACAAAACCTGATAAGTTAACAATGTCATAAGTACTGTTTCTTAGGCAGAACGTAAACTTAATCCTTTGTATGCATTTGAAAACATATTTCAGTCGTAGCTTCAGTTGATATTATTTAGGTACAAAATATTCTTAAAAGCTAATGAATATTTGGCTAAAATATTTTAAAACAAACATCTAAAGCATGTAATCTTGAGTTGAGTGTAATGATTTCAGTAATTATTAATTATTAGCTTTCCACATATTTAACTCAGAGGTGCTAGAAATTGATTAATTGAAGCCATCGAAGGTGAATAAAACTCAACAAGCTTTTAAAGTTCATTCCTGTCTGAATTTTCTAATGATTTTATTGATCCGAGTTAAAAAATACATTTCTTTCCTAAAAATATTTAATTATTTGTGTACAATTTTAATTTCTAAAAAAATATAAAATATATAAATATAATATCAATACTATGAAGATTAAGTTTAGTTAGGAGTACACGATCATTGGTAGAATTCCAATTTTAGGTTCAACAAATTGTACCAACAACGAATGTTCAAAAACGATTTAAAGATTAAATAAAAACATTTTATTAATTAAATTAAATTTGTAATATTTAAAAATAAAAATAAATAAAAACTGTTACCAATGACAACATGATTAATTTTAGTATGTTTTAACCTAATAAAAACCAGTTTTTCCTCAGTGTCTCGAATATTAATGAGGATTTAAAAATATGATGTTTCTAAAGTACCAACTAGAGCCAAAATTCGTTATGTTTTGGTAGGAGAGCTAAATTTCTAGGAGAAATTGTGTACACAGTATAAAAAAAAACATCATTGTAAAACCAACAAATTCCTCGGTTCGCTGAGAAACTAAAATAATTTGGTGACTTTAATATGTCTATTAACCTAATTAAATTAGACGCTGTTATATATTCGGATCAGATGAGATCTAATTGATTTACTATTATTATTACGAATAAACGGCGGTGCTCATAAATATTTATGTTCAAATGTATTTTATTCTTTAATCATAATATTCTAAGGTACAAAGTGGCAACGTCGCACCTATTTTCGTGCTCAATCGTATTGTTTTTCGGGGTTTTTAGGTTTCTATTGTTTAATTGCAAACATGCTTAATCGGGCTATGAAAAAGATCAATCGGGTTCCAGCTGTTTTGGAATCATAGTTACACATTATAATATATATAATTAAAATAAATACAAATAATATAATATTAAAAAAAGGACGGACACAGGTACTTCACATGTGGGTGCAGCCACTTGTAGGTAGGAAGTTGGAAAAGTAGGATAAAGACGGAAATTTAATGTATNTATATATATATGTACGACATGACATACATATGTCATATTGTGATAAAATGATTACAACATTGTGTGTTTCCATGACAACAATGATTGTTTAAAAAAGATTTAAATAATAAAAACTTAATATTAACAAAAATTAAATAAAAACGATTGTCAATGATAACCTTATTTTAGATTCTGAGCTGAACGAGATATGTATTGGTTTTACCGCAATTCGGATTGCGAGTAGCGATTACATTATCGATGGACCGCAACTTTAACGTTCGACATTTTACGTCTGTCACGACCGCAACTCGGACATTCCCAAATCCCAATTTAACTGCATAGGGTAATTTGAGACAAAATACAGCAGGGTTAGATCTTACGCAATCTTATAAGGTTAATAAGTTTGGTTTGCATTTTCATCCCAGTCTTTTTCAGGTTAACCGCTGTCCGCTAGAATTACGCGCGTAATTGTTTTTCTTAATTCGTAACACTTTTTTCATAAAACCCAACCCGTCTTAAATAGCTATTTATATGTACTAATAACCGAAAACGTTTTTGATTCGTCGAACGTTATTTGTAATTTCGGTATCTCGTAATACCTAATCGCTTCACCGTAATATAAGTAATATAATAACACGTTCGGGTTGAAAAATTAAAACTATTTTTTCAAAACTATTAATTAAAATTAAACTACATCTATTATTTTAGGTTTTTTTTTTCAATTCATCACACGAAGTTAAATATTAAAAATATTAAAAAATATAAAAAAAAATACTCGTGTATATTCGTAACGAGGACGACGACGACGGTTTTGTGTGATTTTCATTTCGGGATTCGAGTTCCTATGTATGGCATATCAGCTGTGGTGGTTCAATAACTATGTTACGTGGTTGCAGTGTGATCGTTGAGAGCAAACTTTCGTAATATCTCACCACCGGACGAAAAAAAAAAATCTTTAACAAACGTACATGTACAGATCCTATAATGAAAAGAAAATATAGTTTTTTTTTCGAGTTCAGAGACCGTTTAGAGACCATTTTTGCTGTTTCACAAACTTCTTTCCATCTCTCTTTCTATATATCCAGTGCTTAGTTCGCGGCTAAGATCTGACTATGGTCGGCATTCTTTGTTTCAGGATTCCTTTTGCGACCGTGTAAGATCTAACGACCCGTTGTATTTTGTCTCAAATCACTTCAGTTATATTTTGTCCTATAAAGGCATTATACAAAATATTACCTGTATATAGTATACAATATATCTGCTTGTTATACGTATAGAACCTAGGTAGTATTTATAGCTACCTAATATACATTTTACAATACACGTATTCGTCATTAAATTTATTATTATTATAAATTATAATATTATTACCAGCAACGCCAGTTTCGAAAAATATACAATTTTTCTACAATACGATTAAATTTAATGTATAAAACGGATAATAATACATTTTACAAAACACGTATTCGTCATTAGATTAATTACAATTTTAATATCTGCAACGCCCTTTTTGAAAAAAAAATATTTTTTTCTAGCGGACAGCGGTTAACCTGAAAAAAAACCTGCTGTATGTATGTCTCAAATTACCCTATGCAGTTATATTGGGATTTGGGAATGTCCGAGTTGCGGTCGTGACAGACGTAAAATGTCGAACGTTAAAGTTGCGGTCCATCGATAATGTAATCGCTACTCGCAATCCGAATTGCGGTAAAACCAATACATATCTCGTTCAGCTCAGAATCTAAAATAAGGTTATCATTGACAATCGTTTTTATTTAATTTTTGTTAATATTAAGTTTTTATTATTTAAATCTTTTTTAAACAATCATTGTTGTCATGGAAACACACAATGTTGTAATCATTTTATCACAATATGACATATGTATGTCATGTCGTACATATATATATATATATACGTGTTGACAAAGCAACATTATTAACTGAACTCCGTTCAGAATCGTTTTTTCGTTAGCAATGGTTTATCGTTGCTTTCAGATATACATTAAATTTCCGTCTTTATCCTACTTTTCCAACTTCCCATCTACAAGTGGCTGCACCCACATGTGAAGTACCTGTGTCCGTCCTTTTTTTAATATTATATTATTCGTATTTATTTTAATTATATATATTATAATGTGTAACTATGATTCCAAAACAGCTGGAACCCGATTGATCTTTTTCATAGCCCGATTAAGCATGTTTGCTATTTAACAATAAAAACCTAAAAACCCTGAAGAACAATACGATTGAGCACGAAAATAGGTGCGACGTTGCCACTTTGTACCTTAGAATATTATGATTAAAGAATAAAATACATTTGAACATAAATATTTACAAATAAAAAAACGTCCTAGGATAGCGGGGACGGGTGCAGCAACTGATATAAATAATTTATAATGTACACCTGTGAGCAACGATAAACCATTGCTTACGAAAAAACGATTCTGAGCGGAGTTTAGTTGATAGCGATGCTTTTTCAATAATATGATTGTCATTTTGTAACTATCGTCATGTTCCGGCAAGGAGACGATTTTCTGGAAGACTTTCTATAAACATTTGTATTCCGTTAATATGTGCTGGTGGTGTTGTCATTTTGGTTATTTCTGCATCAGTACAACGAACAATCTGACTGAATTGTTTTAATACAGATGGTCGACTGATGGCGGTTTTCCGTGCGACCGTCTCGAAAATACACAATTCCAAATTTTGGAGCGCGAATAAATCCTGTTTATTTAATATGATACGGCAGCCGGTAGCGGTCTTTGATTCTAATGCGAGTACGTTTTCTTTTTTGTACACACACCGCGATAGCTTGAATATTGCGGTTTCCAGAAATAAGTGAAATTTGTATTTCGCAGTGTCGAGTAAGATTGATAGGATTTCGTCCATCAGTGAAAATATTTGCGTTAGAACATCCGGTGTTTGGTAAACGTATCGTGACGGAGTTATTATCTGTACTTTGACGGGGAACGTGTCTGTCGGGTCGATACCTATATTCACGAACTTACGTTCTGTGAAGCTAAGAGTATAGTTATTGCAGCCGATAAGACCCGTTGGTGGTACCGGTGCGACGTATTCGTACTTTTTAAATGACATATTTAAACACTTGTAAAAATTGATAAACACTTTGTAAAAAAAATTAAATGCTATGATCACTGGACAACGACGGCTCGCATCTACGACTGACGCACGGATAATAATTTGGTCGTTCGCCTAAAAGTACTTTAACGAGATGAAATGCAAGCAAATGTGGGTGGGAGGGGGGGGGGCTAAGAGACCTGTGGCGACCAACTCAAGCAGGTCTTTACAGGCAAGAAACACGTAATGTGCGTGCTGTCGTAATACATATACATTTTTTCGTTCTAGATTCTCGGAACGCATAATACAGTTGAAAATGTAGAGGGTTGAGAGGTCCGTTGTCGCCAACGATTATATTCCGTATAGGTAACAAATTGCGTACGAGTACGAGTAATATTATTTTGTTAAGCTATAATAATAGATGGTGTGTGTGTGTGTATTATGTGACACACAGACGGGGAAGATATATTTCACCAATAAAAATCAATCTTGGCATAAATGCAGTTTAGCTCCCAAGCGATCTTTTGGAAGTTTTTTTTCCAGAATGTGTTTTTGTGTTCTTAATTTGATGGTACTTTCAAAAAAAGTAGCTCAAACTTCATTAGGAAGTTATGGTCGAAAAATTTCAAAATTATCGATTTTTCGCGATTATATTTTTTTCATATTGGTGAGCTATTTGAGTGAAAACGCCATGAGGCTGGTTTTTTGGTAGTAATCGAAAAATTGTTAACTTGGACGCCAAACATAACACATTAAAATGCGTTCATGGACATCTTCTCAAAGTTTCAAGTTATGTTTGAAGTTAATTGCATTGATGGATATGCATGGAGATGTCGAGATTATTCCAAGAATTCACATTGAAAAAAGTAAATTTTAAAACTTTATTAAATATTTTGTTATTTCTAACAATAACTTGACGTTATAATCATTGTATTAATTTTACCATGCTCCTCAGCTCTCCCCAATTAGTTTTTTTTTTTAAAACTATTTTGGTCCCAATAAGTAAAAAAAAATAAAATAGTATTAAATAAAGTATTTTTCCAAAGGAAAAATGTGATGTTTACGTGTCCAAATAAGATACATTTTCATATACCTAGTAACAACATACCTACTTATACGTAGTACCTATCATTTGTACTTTATAGCTATTCAATTTTCCATGTGGGAATACAATTTTAAAAATACTACAACTCGATATGATCGTTCTACCATCCAACCGATGTTTTGTTTAACATGCACCTATATTTTATATTAAGTATATAGATTGACAAGTACTACGCATCGCGTAAACCAAGCACAATACATCGCTCAGTCAGTTGCATTCTATGTATAGGTATAGTAATTGGGTAATATAGGGTACCAATACTGTATTACAGTAGGTATACTGTTGTTCAATGGAACAATCTTGATGATTCGGATTAACTTTTACGGTTTGCTTTGACACATTTTTAAAATAAATAAAAATATTAATAGAAAATTAAATTTCCTTACCGGATCAAACAGTCTTCAAAATGGATCACAATGTCACATTATGTATGGGACTATTGTGAACATTGAACCAAAACTTGTTGGTGTCGTTTGAATTTTCAAAAAGTAAATTAATAATAAACTTTAATGTTGCAATCGGCTTTTTTCTCTGGATTTAATACAAACCAATTACATATCATATCAGTTGGTGCCTTAATGCACCAACTAGATCCAAAATTCAAATGATGCGTAATCAATAAAAAAAACATGTAGTGATCAAGATAGACAAAAAATTGTAAATAAACATAAAAATCATTATAATTTATTCATCAATTAGATTATTAGATTATTCAAATTCAATAAATAATAAGAAAAAACCCAATAAAATGTGAAAGCATTTTTTCATAATAAAATTTAACAAACACAATAAAAATTAATAAATTAATATTAGGAAAAAAGTGAAATATAAGAGTGTAATATTTATATGAAGTATATTTGTATAAAATTGATAAAAAGTAATGAAATGAAAAAACATGTAGTAAAACTAGAACAATTCCTAAAATTAAATGGTAGATTAGATAATAATTTAAATAGGTAGTATCACAGTGTTGGTTCTTCAAGTAATTTTAAATTGAACAATTTATCCACAATGTCACCAATACCTCCATTTATGTATAATTCTCGGTTAAGTTTTTCGCATACTTCTTTTTCTAAAGTACGTATTAAATAATAAATTAAGGAATAACCAATAAATAAATCACCAAGCTAAAATAAACATAACATAAAATTGAATCATATTAATTAAAAATGTTCAATTTAAAAGGATATTGTCAAGAGTTATATTATTTTCATGGCAAGCCAAAACAAAGAGTGCTGCTCTGTAAGTTCGATCACTGTTGATTAAAACTTTCAATACATCATTAAACCTCTTCAATGACAACAACACTAAAATAGCTTCTTCCTAAAACATATCAAACTATAAAAATCTAAAGTAAAAATAAACATTTGACTTCACACATTTATTATCAATAAAAATATTTTATTAGGTAATTAAATTTTTTTTTATATTGTTGACAAATACAGTAAAACCTTCTTTTAATGAAATTATTCAGTACCAACTGATTTTTCTTTATAAAGGAATATCTGTTATATGAAGACTAAAATATACAGGATGTAGATTATACAGAACTATTGTAATTTTCTGTTTTTAAGGAGATTTCCGCCTAGGGAGTCTATTTTAAGGAAGTTTTACTATAATAGAATACATAATCTTTATACTCAAAAGAATAAGTAATGAAAATAATACACCTATTTTTACTTTCTAGTATTATATTGAAATTTATTAAAACCAATGGGATTACCTGATTTCTATTGGATAATAAATTGTCAGCCCAACTTTTTAAAACAGTATCACAGTCATCTTTCGATAATGAACACTTTGCTAACCATACTGCTTGTTCCCATTGATTGTATGATATCAAATAACGGCATGCTTGTGATCCTTTGCCAATCATACACAACAGCTGTATACCTAGTAAAACGTCCTTTCAAATTGTATTTTTACCATTAAATTAGTAATTTGTTTATGGTTTACCTTCATTAATTTTATTTTCAGCAATGAGATTAGCTGCGACTAATTTAATTGTACTTTGATTAGTAGTATTTGTATCAACAGTAGCAATCAAACAAGCCCTATTAATTAAATATTTTATGGATAATTTAATAAAAATAATCTATATATATATATATATATATATATATATATATATAATATTATAAATTTACTTTAATGCGTCTGTATAGTAGTGTGGATCATTGACACCGGTCGCTAAGAGCAAGTCTAATGCTCTTGTTTTCTCACCAAGTAATATAAATTTATCTACAACTCGTCGCATGTGCAAATATTCTCCACTTTTCCACTCATGCAATAAAACTCGTTCCAATTGCATTTTCTAAATATTTAAGATATTTATATGCTTAGCACTAAAATCTAATTAGTAGATATAAAAATTATTAATACTATAAATTTCTAATAAATTATCCTTAGAAATTAACAGCATTATTAAAATCTAATTTAGTTTATTAAATCTGTTTGAGGATCAAAAATATTTTCTAGAGATAAATACATTTATGAAAAACAAGCTTGTTTAATTTATTTGGACTCACTCGATATGTAGCACAGTCACAAACAACATCATAACAAGAATCTAAAGGTGGTACTACACTTGTAGCATAATCATCGCCCATCATAATATAATGGAAAGCTACTGTCCAAAATCGGATTTCATTTTTTAATCCAAGAGATTGGGATACCACTAAAGCTCGTTCAGCTATTTTTGTACATAATTTCAACTCTGTCCATGGTAAAGAACGGCAGGCATTTTTAATAACTTTAAAAGCATAATCATACAACTGCATTAATTTTAACTAATAACTAATAAACATTGATTTATACTACTTACGGGATAATTCATAATTGTTAAAACCAAGTTCAGTGCTATAAACTTCTTTACATGTAGCAGAGAGCCAAAAATAAAACATCTTACATAACTCCAAATCTAAAATTGCAGGTGGGCCCTGTAAATCTAATATAACAGTTTTAATAGTTAACAACTTAAACTTTAGCGTAATATTATATACAATTTGTACAACAATCAATATCTTACCATCAAATTCATAATTATATATTGAAGAGTAGGATTTGGTTAATTTAATATCAAACACTCTAATGGAATGGTCACTAAACATGATTACAGAGTGCTCAGCACTAGCCCAATCAGCATCAATAATTTGTAACTTTTTGTCTGTCTTCATTGTAGAAATTAATTCAATAGATTGTGGTGACTATATGAAACAAAATATAATATTTTATAATTATGAAGCAGCTATATAGCTATAAAAGTAAAATATTCAATTTAATTTTGTAATTTTGAGTGGACAATATAAAATAGATGTGCAGACTGTCAATAACAGACCACTGGAGTAGAGCAGCATGGTTTCTACTTTAATTTTGTGTAATTAGTATAGAAAAATACAAATAGCTGATTTTATATAATCTAATATACTTACACCAAAAACATTAAAAATGTCAATACCATCTGATGATAAACATAAAAATCGGAAATTCCCAGCTCCGGGAGCAAATTTCAACTTGCGAATTTCTAAACGGTTAATAAGTTGTTTTTGTTTGTCTACATGGTTACTTAAATCCCACACAAACAAATTACCGTCACTATCTACTTGAAGTGCAACATTCAACTTACATGTAAGATATATCGGAGCTTTTAACAAAATCTATAGGGACATTTTTAAATTAAATAACAATTTTGGATTTTAACATCTTCATCAAACTTACTCCAGGCTCTATCATAGTACCAGGCTTCAAACAACTATTAGAGTCTATTAAAAACGCATAAAGGTTGCCTGCTATATCAGAGATCAATAAATGTTCTGGGTATTTTGAACCAATTTCATTTTCTAAATAACAAAAATTAATTTTAAAATAATTAAATATATTTTTTTGATATTAACAAATTGAATTAATTTTATTTCTAATATTAAAATAATTATATTTAATATAAATAGATAATAAATACCTTCAATTATAGGAGTAGTTACACTATTTTTTTTTCCTTTTGACATGTTACATTGAACCCATTCCTTATAATATGTAATATATTAAAACTATGTATATTTAATCATAACACTGTTCAAAGATATTTACCAAACAAACAGCTGGTGGAAATCTTTTTGACATTTTACTTAACAATGACATGGATTTTAAATCCCAAATTTCTACCGGCCAATCTTTAATTCCAATTACAAAATATTGTCTAAAAATATAAAATCAAATAAACAGTATGTGTTAGTACATAATTATTATTATAATTAACTTAAGTTATTAAAAGATGTAAAACCAATATTTACTTTAAAGGTGATACTTTAACAAATATTACATGTGGCTCATCTATTTTATTTATACGCACAGGTGTTGATTGTCCACATTGTATATCAGTAACGATAACTTGGCTTTTAGTATTTGATGTATACGAATAAAATGACCAAGAGAATATGTAGCGATGATTGATCCACTCAATGCCTCTAATAGTATGTTCATAAATATTCATATAAATTATAGATGACTTGATTAATTAAAATATTAATAAAAGGCTCACCTAACAGGATGAGAGTGTACATGATACTCTTTTGACATTAAACCAGTAGCTAAATTAAAAATTGCCAGGTTCCCTGAATTCGTACCCACAGCCAAAAGAGGCTTATATTTAGCTCTAGTAGCTGATGTCAGAGGTGGACAATATTTAATAACTGTTAATGTGGATTCAAGACTAGGAAGCATTCCCCGTGAATATAAACGCAATTTTGGTATCAATCCTTGAGCCTATAATAATATATATTTGTATTCATATGATAAATTTAAATATTTGTATTTATTTTAATTACATCATTGAATGATGGAAGTATATTACTCAGTGTAATTTTATGATTATCTCGCCTTCCAAGGTAAAATGAAACATCGTTAGATGCAGTCATCAGTTTCTCAAGTTCAAAAATCATTATTTTACCCGAACTCAATAATATTGCTACAACAATAATAGTATAATAGACAAAAAATTGTATTTTGTATTTTAACATTTATTTGAAGTCTATACAAACCACAGTGTTTTTCAGTTATCGGACAAACTGCCATGCCCAAAACTTTAGAATTTTTGGTTTGTCTAATGATTTCACTTTGTATTCTATGTTCATACCATAAATAGTTATCAGTATGAGTGTCTAAAATATTAGAAACAAAATTTTTTTTATTTTATAGTTTTTTAATACTTAACGTGTATAAGTTAATGTATAATAGATATTTAGATTACCATTGCCAGCTACTGTGACAGGAGAAGTATCCATTGGAGACATCAAATAATTAGCAATAGGTTTACGTCTTAATTTCAATGACAAACTTCCAGTCTCTTGAAGACAAAATATTACATCGCGTTGTTGACAAGAATACATCTGCAAATTTGTATTAATTATTTAAAAAATTAAAAAATAATGTATTTGAAGATATTACCTGACAAAATGGAGAAAATGATTTATCAATACTAATTACTCCAACTGTCATACTTATATGCAAATCAATAATCAATATATCATGTTGATACATCAAAAGTATGTGATTTCGTAGTGAGCGGTGGTATAAAAATTGAATGCACTCAGAAACCATCAATGAAGCATCAATTCTAAATATGTTAAAAATTAAAAATACATGTTTATATTTGTGTATAAAATAAACATACATAGTTATGATTTTTTCTCCCATGATAGATAATTTATTAAGTTTGGCTTACTTAGGTTGACTTTCTCCTAATACTAAACCCTTCATCAGTCTTTTAAATCTTGTTCTAGGCCGAGTGGATTCTTCATTTGAAATAGAATTCTCTCCAGCAGCAGTATTTGATATGTAAAACTTTCGTCCATTGCCACTAAGTACTACTTTTTGTTCAAAATTATCAAAAAATAGTATACAATCTGGACATAAAACTAGAAAAAAAAAGTATGCCTTATTATATAACTAGAAAATGTTTCATTAGTGAAAAACTTACAAGCAATTTTATTTAGATAAAATGGATCAAAAGCAAAACTATTAATTGTATCACAGAATGTTTTTTTCCACAACCGTGTTCCTTTATGTATATCTAATATAGAAAATGTGTAAGGAGAATGTAGAACACCTAATAGCAAATCACTATTGAATGATGATGGTACCCATTCCATTCCTGTTGTTTAATTTAATATTAGATTTAATAGTAGTAATAATTGTATTATAGAAATACTACCAATGATAGGTTTTGCTTGGTCTGAGTCAATCCACGATATACATCGACCTCTGCAAACATCCCATAATGCAATATCACCTGCACAGTCAGCAGACACTAATTCGCAAGATGCACCAGCAACAGAATCAAATGGAACCCATAAGAGCTAAAATATTTTTAACAATAATATTTTAGTAAAATATAAAAATAAAATGTATTTTCTATGTAATATAGTTATTTACCTTTTTAATTAAAGTTTTATGATCAGTGAAGCATTGCACAGGAATAACTTTTACAGTATCGATAATTACAACTAAATTATTAGATCCGTATGCTAATAGTCCATTTTCAGACCTATTTAAAAATAATAAATTATAAGAATAATTTCACACAAACAGGGCAAGTTATGCTTATAGTTGCGCTTATACCTATTATCCATGCTGTTTTATTGATATTCACCCAAATATTTATTTACATTTAGATTAATTTTAATAATTTAATATTTATTTCATAAATCTATTTAATAATAATGTTTTGATCTCTATTTTTAAATTCACTTTATCCACTTTAATAAATATTACAATTTTATTTGATAATTAAAATAACAGTTTATTTTCAATAATATAATACCTATTATATAATGCCAAAATCAAATTATAATTTAGGATTTAAAAACTTATAACTTAAAATGTTTTTTTTTTTTTAATAAAATAAATATTAAAAAAAGTTAAAATGTGATTTTCATCATATAAATTATTACCAATCTATTGCTCCTTTATTTAATAAGTGACATTGATTTGAAAATGTTCTTGGAGCAGTCATATGAAGCCTGTTAGGTTGTTCGTTTCCGATGGAAAGTCTCTTTTCATTGGCCATATCAATTGGAATTGAAAATCTTGAACCGAAATCAATAATCGAATAACGTAAAAGTAATTAATTTAAAAAAGGAATGCGGATAAAATAAAAATTATTAACTAATATTACTTATATGTTATATTTTAATAAATTTGTTATTGTTTATCTTATCGTTTGTTTGATAGGAAGATAATTGTATTGGACTTGATAGTACTATCATAGAATAGATTAAATCTTAATTGATAGATATGAACGATATGATAGTTCCATAAACACACACTACGCTCTATGCACGAACTATATTATACACGTATAGAATCTAATGTTCATGATAAAAAGTGGTTGCCAACTCATCCGGTAGTTTTTTAACCTCAAATAGTGACGTCATGTTGCCGGCTTGTCACTGTTTATGCTTATAGTGGCACAATTTCTGAATTACGTGTTCGTATAGTATAACGTTTGAGCCGAAAAAAAATTCTTAGCCTAATCCAATCGCTGCTAATTATTTAATTACCCATACATTTAAAAAATAAAAATGGGAAATTACCGGTAAAATTTTATACCTGTAGTTAGTGTTCATTCGATTTGTGCCAGTGAAGAGCGATCCATGTAACTTGCCATTGATACCGAAGACTTAATGTCAATATGAAGACGTTGCTGACCAACCCGGCCGGATGGAAAAGCCTCATCACATTTGCCATCCTATTTTTAGCATGGGTATCCGGATTCTCCGCTCGGTTATTCGCTGTTATTCGGTTCGAGAGTATTATACACGAATTTGATCCATGGTGAGTGTCATGGACGTCTGCATTTTAATGGATATGAATATATTCATTGAACACATTTGATACAATATATAAAATATAATTTACATCTCAAAGGTTCAATTACCGTGCAACAGCTTATATGGTTCAACATGGATTTTACAATTTTCTAAACTGGTTTGATGAAAGAGCATGGTACCCTTTGGGAAGGATAGTCGGTGGCACAGTCTATCCAGGACTGATGCTCACTTCTGGTGCCATACACCATGTTTTACATGCATTAAACATTCCGGTTCATATCAGAGATATATGTGTGTTCCTAGCACCAATATTTAGGTAAAAGTTCATTTTAAATACAATTTAATTGTATAATTGTTTAAAGTTTATACTTAACGTTTTGAGAGAGAACTGGTGTTTTGTGTATTAGGTGTTAAGTTTATCTAGTTAATTTTACAACTATTTGTGTACATCTTAAAAATGGTTTTCATTTTATGTTTTACAATACTTATTTTTAAAAACAATTTCAAAGATTTTGTAATAAAAAATTACTATTTTTCAGTGTTTATTTGTAAAAAACAAAACAATAGGTACTTAGCTGAATAAAAGTATGTTATTGTTATATTTAAAATATTACGTATAATTTTGAACAATTTAAAATTATTTTCTTAAGAACCTCTCACTTACTCTTTTACCTATATAATTGGAGAAGTTTAATTTACTGTTCACACTAAATTCCCTGACCAAACTAAAATTCGGAGGGCGTATTTGTAAGTTATCATGTACCTACATGAATATACAATACTAAGTTTTCTATCCGGATACATACTCAACAATATTATTTTTATTTTATGCACATAATAAATATCTACCTACATTCATCAGTAAAGACAATTCTACAATTTTCTGGTTATTTTGGAAATGGTACTAATTAACCTGAGTATAAATAAAATTTAAAATCCAGCATTTGTTTTCAAATACACATTTTTATAGAAAAATATATTTTGAATACAATAAAAAAAAACATTTAATTATAGTTCAATTACTAATGCTCTAATGAAACATAATTTTCCCTTACCAAATTGTAAATAATCTAAGTATTAAATATATGCATACTTTACAACATATAGTTTCAATTGTAAAACTACTAATTTTTTGAACAGTATATTAATAACTTATCAATTTGTTGCTTAATAGTCTAATTAATTATCTATTTGATGTATATACATATATACATATATTAGGTAATTGTAACTATCAATTTAAATATTTTAACATTTAGTTTAGTATAATAAATTAAAATATGTAATTTATAGGTACTGAGTAATCAAATTATCCTGTTTTATAAATTATTATTGCCTATTGATTATTTAAATAAATAATCGTGTTAAATTAAATATTTTTTTTATTTTTTAGTGGTATGACAGCTATATCAACCTATTTTCTTACCAAAGAGCTTTGGTCTCCGGGTGCTGGATTGTTTGCATGTTGTTTCATTGCAATTGTTCCTGGCTATATAAGCCGTTCAGTTGCTGGTAGTTATGATAATGAAGGAATAGCAATATTTGCCCTTCAATTTACATATTATCTTTGGGTAAGTAGTATTTATGTGATCAGAATGTTTTTGATTTTTTTAATTATTCTTGAATAAAGTTAGTATTAGAAATGTTATGCTCATAAATAATCGGTTCTAATTAAACTATAAAATAAAAGAGTAAAAACAAAATTATTAAATAGTTAATACTCGTAAATAAATGTATAAATTAATTAACGCATCACATGATTTTTTGACTTTGTGATTTTACCCAACGATAAATTTTTAATTTGAATTTTTTGCTATTATTATTAACATATTTTATCAGTGATCACACTTTTAAACATTACTTAAGAAATGTACAGAATATATTAAGATAAGAAATTTATAATTACATAATAGTAAATGCCTCTTGACATTTTTGGAAACAATTTTTGTATCCCAAGTAGTGTTGCCCAAACTATATTTTTATGGTGTAGTATAATTTAAAACATAAAATCATTCCCCACCTAAAAAACTTTTACCTATATAAATATATACTTTCCAACCACTACAGCCTACTATCTTGAATTGTTGTTGTTATTTATTTATTATGTAAGCTGTAAGGTTATTAATTGAACAATAATTTAAATTTTTTTCTCGATTTGGTATTAATACAAATTTTTTGAATGATGATCCGAGTACATGGACCATCCATATTAACCATTTACATGGAAAAGAAATTGTATGCTTGTTAAATGTAGTAAATTATACAGCAGAAAGAGTAGTTAAACTTATGGAAAGTTTTCATGGGAGTTTAACCAAAGATGATGAGAAGTTTGAGTTGCTCTTATGCTGTGTTCAAGAACACAGAAGGCTATACCTTGACTTTAAAAAGAAAACATTAAACAAACCGTTCTAATGAATGTATTGTAATATAATGTATAATAACATTTTGAGAAAATAGTACTTTCATATATCAAAGTCTTGTAAATGAAAATAAATAAGAAGAAATATGTAAGAATATAATTTATAGACAATTTTATTTTATTCAAAACATATTAAGTAAAAAATTTAAATTTTTCTATATGTAACTTTGATATTCATAAAAATGTAAAACATATCATTAAATTACGACTGAATTAATTACCCACATTTCAAATTCAAGTTGGCACGTGTTAACCTTGATAGATCGCTCAAAACATTTTTGTAGCTCATTTTTTATGCATAAACACAAATTGTGGGGTGAGACTAAAGAAACATTGAAATTGATAAATATAAAGGAGACCCACTGTAAATATTTTAGTATTTTTAGGGCCCACAAAAAAATATTGTAAAACTAACCATTTTATTAGTAATATATTGTATAACATACACTTCTACTAAGAATATATTACTCGATAGTTAATACATACTTAAAATTGAATATTTTGTTAAAATGTATATAATTTATGTTATATTAAAATATATTACACTTTTTTTAGGTCAAGTCTGTCAAGACTGGCTCCGTTTTTTGGTCAGTTCTTACTGCTCTTTCCTATTTCTACATGGTAAATTTTATACATGTATAATAAATTCCTAATTGTATATTTAAATATTTGAATTATTATTTAGGTTTCAGCATGGGGTGGATATGTGTTCATTATAAATTTGATTCCCCTTCATGTATTTTTGTTACTGATTATGGGTCGTTATTCATATCGTTTGTTCACAAGCTACACTGTTTTTTACATACTTGGTTTAGTTTTGAGCATGCAAATCCCTTTTGTTGGTTTTCAACCAATCAGAACCAGTGAGCATATGGCAGCATCAGGAGTATTTGCATTGGTCATGGCAGCCGGCGCATTTAATTACATACAAACCCGTATCACCAAAGCTGAGTTCAAGTTTATTTTTATATTTGCAACACTAGTCACTTCTGGTATTGTATTATTAGCTGTTGTTGGTCTAACTTGGGCTGGAGTCATTGCACCGTGGAGTGGAAGGTATGACTTATTTTGGAAATTTGAATACTAAATTAAATATGCAAACTATTTAATTATAAATATTATATTATGTAGGTATTTATTAATATGGACTAATAAATAAAGTTTTCACATGAAAAATGTTAACATTTAATCTATTTTATTTTGTTTATTTTTTTTTATTTTTAGATTTTATTCCTTGTGGGATACAACATATGCTAAGATACATATACCTATCATTGCATCTGTGTCTGAGCATCAACCAACCACATGGTTTAGCTTTTTCTTTGATCTCCATATACTTGTATGCGTATTCCCTGCTGGGCTGTGGTATTGTATTCAAGAATATAATGATGAGCGACTTTTTGGTAAGACATTTAATAAATTAATATAGGTAATTAAAATCAATTAATAATATGTCATGTTATGTTATGTTTAGTGGTATTATATGCTCTAAGTGCTGTTTATTTTGCTGGTGTTATGGTCAGATTGATGTTAACTTTAACACCAGCTGTGTGTATTCTTGGAGGTATAGCATTTTCCAAAATATTTGAAAATTATTTAAAAGAAGAAACTCCTCCAGTGATAAATAATAGTACAAAATTAATAGAAGATAAACAGTCTGTTAAGGATAAAACTCCTTCTAAATCCTCACAAGTAAGTAGATTAAAAATTAAAGTACTTAATATTCAGTGGATTCTGCTTAATATGAGCATATTAGGACCAGTTACTTTATACAGTTACCCATTGTAACCAAAATGAGTTTTGATACATATTAGAATTAGGACCTGACTGTTTTGCCCATATTAGACGGATGCCCACATTAAGAGGAATCTATTGTATTAATTTCTGATTATATATAAACATAGTTTTAATAAAAATATCTTTACATAATTAATGAAAACTAATTTATTATTATTTTTGTTATTAATTTGAAAGACATTGTTTTCTATTATAATTTAAAATATCAAAAATATAATTTTTAGTCATTACTAAGTATATCACATTACAATTTCTATTTATTTGTACATTATTATTGTTTTACTGTGAGTTTAATTATTTAAAAATAAGTGTTAATTTCTTTAGGACAAAAAAAACTTTATTATAATTTTGTATTTAAAACTAATAAGTCTTATTTATTTATTTTATTTTAGACTGCTGCTGGAAAGAGCAAAAAGAAACCACCAACAGTTGTTTCAACTAATGGTGACTGTAGTAATGGAGAAGGTGTTGGATCAAACATTAGAAGTATCGTGACTATTTCTATGTTACTCGTACTTATGATGTTTGTTGTCCACTGTACTTGGGTCACTAGTAACGCCTATTCTAGTCCTAGTATTGTACTAGCATCATTCAGTAGTGATGGGTATGATTTTGTGTTTTTTAATAACTTTGATGTATCGACCATTTTATGTTTGATTGAGTTTAACTAATAAGTATTAGTTATTCATATATATGGTGTTTATAAAATTGATCCAAAAAATGAAGAATAGAAAATAGAAAAATATTTTAATGGTTTATTTATTAAGATGAAAAATAATTTAATTTTTTTTTATCAAATGTCAGAATTTTTTTCAACCTTTCAACCTCAATAACTTCATTTATTTTATTATTAACTGTACATTAAACACTCAATGTGAGATAATGTCTATAATTTATTTTCATCCTTTTCTAATTTGTGCTTGATAATTGTCTTACATTTTAATATAATCACTTAGGTAATAAAATGCTGATATCACTTTTTTTCAGTTATTTTCAATTTTTTTTGCGATAAGGACTTGTTAAAATTAACTGTCTACATTTGTGTGTGTTTATTTGGATGTTAATTAAGTAGATATACAAAAACTTGCATGTTTCCCCCTTTAAAAATGTGTATTTTAAAAACTAGGTCAGGTTAAATGTAATATTAATTTTTTTATTTAGATCTCGACAAATATTAGATGATTTCCGGGAAGCTTACTATTGGTTGTCACAGAACACTGACAATGACGCCCGTATCATGTCTTGGTGGGATTATGGCTATCAAATAGCCGGAATGGCAAATCGTACTACGTTAGTTGATAATAATACTTGGAACAATAGTCATATAGCTTTAGTTGGCAAGGCAATGTCATCTACTGAACCTAAAGCATATGAGATTATGACATCACTTGATGTTGATTATGTTCTTGTTATTTTTGGTGGTGTCATTGGATACTCTGGTGATGATATAAACAAATTTTTATGGATGGTCCGAATTGCAGAGGGGGAACACCCTAAAGAAATAAGAGTATGTATATTATCATTATTTTAAATTGTTATTTATTACTCCATGTTCTTATTTATACATTTTTTTTTTAACTAGGAATCCGATTACTTTACTGACCGTGGAGAATTTAGAATTGACAGTGGAGGTTCACAGACTATGCTCAATTGTTTAATGTACAAACTTAGTTACTATAGATTTGGCGATCTAAAGGTAAGGATAAATATTAATATTATACATTAATCTTATTTTATTATTTTTTATTTATTTAAATAAAAACTGTGTTTAATTATTCACAGTTGGACTTTAGAACGCCTGCTGGTTTTGATCGTACACGTAACGCTGTTATAGGTAACCAAAATTTTGACCTCACTTATTTAGAAGAGGCTTACACTACTGAACACTGGTTAGTCAGGATATACAGGGTAAAAAAACCAGATGAGTTTAATAGGCCGCGTATACCAGTTTCTGAAAGGAAAATAAGAAACCCTGGAGCATCAGCTGTGTCGAAAAAGGTAGATATATTATTATTTTTTAATTTATAAATTAAAATATTAAAATCTGATGTGATATATCATAAAGAAAATATTATAAAATGTTGAAAATTATTTGTGTTTCTATTAGTCTGCCCGCAAGAAGAAAGGCACCATTTATGGAAAACCAGTGGTTGTAAAAGGTAAAAAACCGAAATCAACAAGCACGTATACAAGTGCAAGTGGAATGTTATAATATATAAAATAATTTTATGACTCGAAAATGAGCGCCATTATATATTATTGTTTATTGAATGATTTATTTTTGTTTTCATTTACACAAAATTATTATGTGATCTACAATAGAAGCAAATAAAATAAATGTTACTTTTTTAAAAAAAAATTTTTTTATTAGAATGCACTAATTAAATGTTAACAAGTCTATGGTTATATATACAGGGCGTTCCATTTAAGTGGATACACTTGATATCTTGGAAAGTATCTACTTTTCTATTTTTTTTTTTTTTTTTTTTGAAAATTTAAGAAACAATATAAGTCCTCATTTGAAAAACCAAAGAAGGTTTTTCACCCTTCTAAAAATAAGGTGACAAAAAATAATGTAAATATTAAATTTTAATGTAGCTTGCTTTTTAAATTTTCAAAAAAAAATTTAAAAAGTAAACATTTTCCGATATACATCAAACTTACCCACTTAAATACATCAACCTGTATATATATATATATATATATTTATTTATATATAATTACATAGACACTACTTAATTACAAAATATGGTCAGCACTGAATTCTGACTAAATATAATTGTATTTGTTTTAAAAAAAAATTGTATTATTATTATATAATATTATATAGTTGTAAATTACAATTTTATAATTTATATTTAAAAGAATATATTGTATAATAAAAAGGGGAAACACAAATAACTATGTAGAAATTGTTTTTTATTTCTCATTTATTTTTTATTTGTTTTGTACTCATTTCAACTTAAGGGCTTAAGATAAATACCTCAGATTTATTCAGCAGAATAACATCATTATGGGCATGCATCCAGGATATGCTACTGTAGTCTGTAGTAAATTGCAGGAGCCAAAAAATTGAAACTATTGGATTATTTACTATTGATTTAATTCAATATATAATACATTATAGATCTACCACAATTAAACTTTGTGTGATATATATTTGTTGTGTGTTTAACTAACTTGTATACCAGAAATTTACTCAATTTTCAAGTGTAGCATCGTCTTTGAAAGCAAATATTTAATGAGTGTATTAGGTGTTTATCATAACAAATTGAACATCATTGTGAAAAAAAATTTGCTAAATTTAGTAAAGTTGTTACAAACCCTGATTTTTAAGATTACACCGAACTGAATTTCCCTTTAACACTTTCAGACTTGATGTATCGTAAGAAGGACATTCTTTTGTGTTATTTATCACCATATTAAATTGGTTTATGTTATTAAAAGTGCATATTGTACAATGTGCATCCATAGATTATATAGTATACAAAAATCATAAAATTAAAGACAACTCTTATCACACTTAAGTTTTGCCATAAAACACTTGAAAAATGTTGATATGCCATTTTTGATTGTTTTTGACAATAAATCTATAATTTATAGTTGAAAATATATTTTTCCCTTCCATGATAATAGAGTAATTATAAAGTACGAATCAAATTTTTCCGAAAAATTAATACTACCTAATAATATTTTTTTGACTTGGTAAACGCCTGATTACTTTACTGGGGAAATACTACAAACTTGGAAAAAAACCCATTATTAAATATTGATGAACAAAAAATTTAATTAGAGGTCTTCAAGTGTTAAATTAACGAACCGAATCGAGCCTGCATATTTTTATTCCAAACCGAACTTTAAAAATATTTTATCGAACATTAAAAAATTAAAAAGATTAGGTTAGGTTAAGTTCACCTTAACGACCTTTCCCAATTTATGATTATGAGACCCACTAATGAGAAAAATAAAATTTTTCCACCCAGAATCGGCATCGAATGATTTTCAAACCGAGCTATTGGGTATTTGATTTGGTTCGGTTAGAAAATCGAACAGTTCGTCACATCTCTAAAATTTAGGTAATCATTATAAACTATACTCCCCCCCCCCGAATTAAATTAATATATTTAGTATACATACATACATAAATCGCTATTTTGTTTTTTGTTGCTAACGCTATAACTTTAAAACTGATGATTTGGCAGATTAGAGTTAGAAGTGTACCTAATGAGAGATCTATTGGTTTTACTGTTTTTTTTTTATCTGTGAACAACTTTTCTTTCAGAAAACTTGTTTTGAAGTTAAGACTATTGCATATTTTCTAAAAGGTAGTTTTCTCTCGTTGGTGCATTAGGGTGGTCATTTTTTGATTTTCCAAAGGGTTTTCGAAATAATTGAGAAAACTCATAAAGGAAATTATAGATAAAACGGAAAATATTTAAGGCGAGCCGTGGCATTGTTTATATTACGTAAACACGATGTTTTCTACCATAAATATTGTTCCAATAGATAAATATCAAGGGATCTTTTTTGTTGAATTTTCCAGTTTTATTATTTTGATCATATGTATTGTGTATACCTATTGTCGATTTAAGAGCGATGGTGAAGTTAGAATTGAGCGGACTGACTTAGGAAATCATAGCTCTTCTAATATTATACGGTCATACGGATGTTACCTATGTGTGTTAGGTATGTTAAATAACTTAATATTGTCGATTTCATAGTATGTATGTATCGTAGTCTAGTGGTGGTATGTACCTGATGTAGTTATGTCATCCCAAATAATTGCTTGAAAATTTAACAGGAGGTTCATTATGAGTTGTACTTATTTAAAAGTAAGTGTGATGTAGTAAGTTTTTTTTTTCATAATTGCTTTAAGATTAAATTTGTATGTAAATCGAAAATATAATGGCTTTTCAAATCGCGTATCAACGAACTTAGTAAATATTTATTAGTATTAATAGTGTCTAGTATAATAGTGTTTATTATATACGTTTTAAAATATAGAATTTTATTAAATACAATTTTTCTTATTTATCTTTTTGATGATTTATATTATGTCTTTTATCTTTTTCTCTTTTATTAAGTTTATTAAGGTCCATTAATTTTGAAAGTTGTTGCACTTCAATAAATTGAATTGAATATTTGTTTAATAGGGATTTCTTTTTTTTTTTTGAAATATTGCTGTACTTGTAAAAAAAAAAACACGTACTTTTTCACTTTTTCATTTGGACCACCTTTTTTTTCGTTAATAACAAAATTTGAAACAAATATCCTTTTAAAATTGTTCATCCTTTAGAATGTGCCGCTGTAGGCACGTGTCTATAGTGCCTGCATATAGTTATGCCCATGGGACCTGGATATCCTTGAACATCTAAATTTCGGTTCATTACGTTAAAAAGATTGAAAATGACTGATTTAAAAGATATCATTTTAAGAATTATGATATTTTTTAAATTCACATGATATAAAATAATTATTTATACTTTTATTACTTTGTTAATTTCGTTTATTATAAAATTATATTAATTAATTTCAAACTACCTATATCGATTAGTTTATCTGTACAATCATTAAAATTATGAAACGTTCAATAAAGTAGGTACTTACGTCAAAACGATTCGTCACATCCTTCTAAAAGATGCCAACGTTTTCGAATATCGTCGACTTGAATTTTGTTAAATTCGATACAGTCAAAAGTTAATGGTTTTTTATAAAATGTATGTATGTGTGTATGAAAACACTGCTGCAGCTTGTCGCGACCATTAAACGGCGCGAAAACGGATTTCGTTAATTTTAAAACAATACAATTCATAATAATATTTGCATTGTTTCGCGTTTTTGTGTATCTATACTGATGAAATGAATTAATTAAAAGAATAACGACCTTATAGAAAAAAAAAATGTGACCTACAAATTCTGCACAAATATGAACCAATCGACTGAATAATTATACAATTATCGCGCACAGTGGCATTGCGGAGTAATGAGATTTATGAATCACTGGAAAACCTACGGAAAGCTCAATAGCCTTCGTTCGGCTCATTATCAGTACCCGTTCAGCAGGTATAAAATCATCGGCACCATACTCAGTTCAATCACAATACACCACGATGCATTTCAGACTGACGTACGCAGCATTATGGCTCTTGGCTGTATTTATAAATCAAACCGTGAGTACCCATCGTATGTTGTACAGTTTTTAGATTCTAAGCGAGGAACGTATTGGTTTTACTATGATGATATATGTGCAGTGTTTTTTTAAACACTTTTTTTTTTTAAATTTGTAAACCACTTTTCTGCCAGACATTGACCGAAAGACGACAATAATATTTTGGATTTAGTCGGGGTATTGGAGAGATCATTTTTCGATTTTCTAAGCGGTTTTCATAATAATAATTGAGAAAAAACGTAAACGTAAAACGAATATAATAATATTTAAGACGGCGTTAATTATTACGTTATTATTTTAATTTTTTTCGATTTGGTTTTTCTATCAGAAATCTTGTAACGAAATTTATGTGTTGCATGTTTTCTGAAAGAAAATTTTGTTTATTTTATATGCAATATAGTCGATTAGCTTTGTAGTTTTCCTAATAATAGGGCAAAGTACGGAAAAATTAAAAGGAAAATCGGGAAAGTTTACGGGAATTATGGTTCAGAAGTATTCAGAATTATGGTTTCATTATTTTCGATTTTGTTTTGTCTGCAAATGGGTTAAAAAAATAGACCTTAAATTTTTATAGAATACTTATATTGGACTTTTCTAGACGTGATAAAATTTTAAAAATATTCTGGCGAGTTTTGTTGAATAAACATGTTACATTTTCGACTATTTTTAGTGTTTATTCGATTATTGTTTGATCAAGCAGAAACTATTGGAAAATTCAACACAAGGTTCATTTTAAGTTGTACTAATAGTATCAAAAAAACAGAAAAAAAGTTCAGCGTGATGTGTAGTCATTTTGTATTTTATAAGCGTTTTAAGATCAAATTTTGACGAAAATCGTAAAAATAACAACATTTTAAAACTTGTATAACTGAATTTCGCTCAGAATCTTTTTTTTTTATTAACAATGGTTTACCGTTACTCACAAATATGAGTTAAATAACTTTATGTATCTCTCGTCTTCTCAACTTCTCACCTAAAACAGCGGCACGCCCGTCCTCGGTATCAGCTCTTTATTTGCATTAACTACTAAAAGCTATTTATTTTTATATTCGTGTTCATAATTTGTCTGTTATTTGTTTAAATATAGATCTTAATGATTGCGGCGAAAGAAAAACACATTGTGTAGTTTAATTTATGGTTTTAGTAATCGTCTTATTCTAGTTGCTTCATAAAAAATATAGGACTGAGTTTATTTGAGTTGTCGTATTACGTGACTGTAAGGATTGATGTTACGAAAAAAAAAAATAAAAATAAAAAATGATAACATTCCTACATTTTTAATCGTATAAATCAACTTAGTTAACAATAAAACGTTTCAGACATGCCAAGAAAAACCCGGAGGTGCTGCTAGCGGCGCTGCTGGTGCTGGCGCTGCAGGACACCCGTCTGGTGCCGGCACTGGTGGTGGTGCTGGTGCTGGAGGGGCTGGTGGTGCCGGTGCTGCAGGACATGCGCCTGGTGCCGGTGCTGGTGGGGCTGCCGGTGCCGGTGCTGCAGGACATCCACCTGGTGCCGGTGCTGGTGGGGCTGCCGGTGCCGGTGCTGGTGGGGCTGCTGGTGCCGGTGCTGGTGGGGCTGCCGGTGCCGGTGCTGCAGGACGCCCGCCTAGCGCCGGTGCCGGTGCCGGGGTCGGCGCTGCAGGACACGCTGGCGCCGGTATGCCCGTAAATTCCCCGTTCGCCATGAGTGGTATGAACGGGATGCTTCCGTTCCCGTTCTTCCCGCCGTTCGCGTGCGACATTGAATGTTTACCAATACAAATGCCAATACAAGTCGTCCAACAGCAGCAAGTCCAGCCAGTGGTGCCGGTGACGACGAGTAGACCAAGTAATAAACCACGGGTTACATCGAGTGCAGATTTATTAAAAATATAATGTTAAGCGCGATCGCGAAAAGCAACAAGTCGAAACGGCCGGTCTATCCGAGTTGAGCGCCTATCGGATTCCGTGTTTTATACAATTTGTGTAAACATTCGATCGGTTCGATGTTTTTTTTTCATTTTGGATTTCGGTAAACATTTTCGGCAAACCGTTCACACTTTAGATTCGGAGAGTAACGAGAGATCTATTGGTTTTACAATGATGTGTGTGTGTGTGTTTTTTTTTTTTTTAATTTTTTTTTTCCCGCGCCCGCGAGCAACTTTTCGAGAAGAAACTCGCTCCAATTGACAAATGACAAGAGGTCATCCAATGCATCATTATACATAATCATATGCATATGGTACATTGAGGCGGTAATTTTTTGATTTTCCGAGAGTTTGTCATAATATACGGGAAAAACTGGGAAACAAATTATCGGAAAAATTACGGCGCTTGTCGATTTCATTATTTTCCATTTATTTATACGCATTACGTTTTTTTACCGAAAATTCACTAGCTTAAATCAGAAAAATGTCATTACACATAGTGACTGAGGGAATATGTCATTTTTAATTTTCTAAACAATTTTCATAATGATTGGGAAAATCCGTAAATGAAAATATTTCGTTATTTTAAATTTGTATGAGTATTTTCGTAGTAATTTTGCTCCGATGGAATTACGACAAAGGACCTTTTTTTTTTTTTGTTGAATTTTTAATCTTGTTGGTGAGTAAGTAAGTCGTTTTTCAAAACGAAACCGGATAAAAAAAATAACGTAGAAAGAACGGAAAAGTCTACGATAACAACGGTTTCGTTATTTTCAATTTTTATTTTTTGTTAAAATTGATTTGAAAATTGTTTAAAACATTTTTGCGAGTTATTTTGAGTTATTTATAAACATTTTAATTTTGCGAGTTTTTCACGTAATTTTTATTCGGCAGATACAGATTCGGTGTGGACAAAATCGTCAGATTAAACAGCGATGTTTGAAAATTCAACAGGTGGTTTATATCATAAGTGGTACTTTGTGATGGGGAAATCGAGCGCACAATGTAGTGATTTTTTCCTATAATATTTTTAAGATCGAATTTTGACGGAAACCGTAAACGTCACGGTTTTTCAGATCGCGCGTTTAAACGAACCCCCTCTCGGGATCGGTTTTCGCTAACGGACGATTTACCGTGCATTGTTTGTACTGGTCTTTTCGCGCGCGTCGTATTGCATGCACGCGTGTCTACCAGCAGACGGCGGACATCTCGTGGACACACTGGTGTTCTATCGAATTCGCGGGACCGGCGGCCGCGGCCTTCCGTCGATGCGTTTCGGCGATTGATTACAACGGGTGCCCGCGCCCGCCCGACTAATCAGTACGTTATTATTTTCGTCGAAATTCGTGTCGGCCGCCGGAAAGTTTTATCACGGCAATTCGCCAAACGGGAGCCGGACGACGGTTTACAAAACGGTGTTTTGCAAGTGTCATTTCGTACGGACGTTTCTCTCGTCGGGCATCGATCACGCACACCACCACCACCCCCCCCCCCCCGGCGCGCGCGCGCCCGCAGTCATCGCGCGTTCCGCCGACGGACAATCGGAAAACGGCACCTGCACCTGCCCGATCGGAACTTCGATGCGCGCACTTCGATTAAACGGGTACACAATAATAGATTGCGTCTTTACCGATTCCCGGTGGTTACGAATGGCCGCGCGGTTAAGCGTTAGGCCGGTGTGCGCGGCCATTAAAGGACGAAAGGATGATTTTTTTTTGATTTTTCTTACCCGCGTAAAATGCCATCCGAAAAAAATTTTAAACGACCCGGTGCACTGCGTGTAACACGCTGTACACAATTCCACCCGCCTCAACAGCGAATGGTACCTGTAGGCCATCCATTATAACGGTAACGCGAGGTTTCAATTAGGACGGGCATTTTACCGGGAACGTTACGCGTAGTCCCCGTGTGTGACCCGCGGTTTTTAAAAGTAGATTTTCGCAGCGAATCGCGTAGTACGTTCGGTTTCACGTAACAATCATACGTTGATCGAACGAATCGGAAACGGCGCATGTTTTCGGTGTGTCGCTACGAAAAAAATCATGCCACTCCAACTGTACGCCGTTACTCGACTGTTTCCACGTTTACGGTTTCAGCCACTCATCCTCCGCCGACCACAACGCCGCCGCCGCCGCCGCCGCCGCCAACGACACAGCCGCCCAGGCCGGCGCCGCCTCCGGCAGTTCAACCGGTCGTACAGCCGGCCACGTACACTACCTCGCAGATGTACATGATGTATCCCAATTGGTAATATACTCGGCGGTTTTTTCAATACCGTGTTTATCATTGTTGTCGTCGTGGGTCGTGGGCGTTTTTCTTTCAACCCCCCTCCCCCCCACCCAGCCACGGTTGAAAATGTGTACAACACGCGCAATTTCAGCTACGCGTAAACACTAACGTGCGATTTTTTTTACATTTCTACCGGTTAAAGGCCCGCACTTTAATGACGTTCGTGAATCTGTTAATTTAATTTAAAACGCGTTATTACCGACACTCACCAATGATTAAGTATATGGTATGTGGATACTGATTCGAACGATCGAATACCACATAATACTTTATTAATGTCTCGGTTTAACATTAGACCCGGGGTGTATATTTTCGACAATGATTAATGTTATATTAGCTGCACGATTATGACGCATTTCAGGTGTTCGGGTTGGTGTCGATTTTTCTACAAACCGCCCCCGGTGTATTACCAGCCCAACTGTCTTCTGTTTTCGTGGATGGGAATGGGAATGGGCATGCAGTAGTTTTGATTTGTTTCCGACTGCGCGTCCGTTTGTACAGCCATCAACGGATGCAACAATTGCTTTCGTTGACGATATACACCTATTATCTCCACACAGATAATATTATTTATAATACCTATGTATAGTAATTTATTGTACTTAATCAAATTATAATAAAAAAAAAAAAAAAAAGGTTTCAAATAATTTTGTTTTATTATGTTATTTTTAATAAAATCAATTTTCTTTTAATCATTTTTACACATTACTATTCACGAGAACAATCGAATGATATGAATCCTTAATCGTAAGAGCAATTCGTGTCTATATACAAAATAAATAAAATATGTTTGTATATATATATATATCAATAAATATTATTTTACTAGGTAATTATCGATTATTAACACTAACGAGATATTGATTATATAATAATTGTAGTTATTTATATTTATTGTTTTCTTAAAAAAAAAAAAGGACAGACGGTGAGATGTCACGTGGAAATTTTCTTAACTAAAGCAATGAAAATAAATTAACAATATTATTATTGTTTCATAATAATTTAGTCAACACCGAATAGTTTTTTACTTATAAAAAAAATTATCATAAGTAGAATAATTAAAAAATAATAATAATAATAATAATAATAATAATAATAATAATAATAATAATAATAATTATAATAATAATATCGAACAAACAAATTAATATCAGAACGAAGAAAAAAAATAACAATACTTATTATTTTTTTGAAAAATTCAAAAGTTTTGATTTGATTCCACGAACAAAAAAAAAAAAAAAAAAATAAAAATAAAAAATCAACTGCCTAAGGTACAACAACAATAAGCAAGTGAAACTTAATAGAATAGTAAAAAAAAAATGTCGAGTATTTACACAAAACAATTGGTTTTTTTTTTTTTTTTTTACATAATTATTATATTATTATTTTTGGTGCAATTAGGTAGGCTTATTTTAGTTCATTCATTACAATACGGTTCTCGGTCCGTCGTTTGTCGAAATTCTATCTCAACATGGAAAGTCACACTATACTCAATTCGTCGGTATACTGATGACAATCCAATAACGGCGGTCGTCGAACACAATATTTTCCAAGCCTATAACTTATCTAGTGTACGATTTTGTTAAAACTATACGATATTTTATACAAAATAATAATATATTTAAAAATTACAAAATTATAGTAGAATAGGTACTCATTTACACTAATAATAATAATAATAATAATAATAATAAATAAATAAAAGGTTTAGAAACTGAACGGACAGTATTGTTTTACGTCAAACTGAAGATATATACCTATATTTTATTAACAAATTTGCATATCTGACATACACATAATATATACATATAAATATACATCTTCAAAACATAACCTTTCCCGATTTAATTTTTAATTTTTTTTTTTTTTTTTTTTTGATATAGATATTAGTCTCTTATTATCTAGATCTATTAGTTAAACAAAATAAATCGGGAGTTGTTCCGTTTGGTTTCTCAACCCTTTCAATAACACTATAAGTCTTATTTTAACAGGTCTCAAATGGTTCCTATAAATGGTTTACTGTTCAAAATATTACAATCGTAATATTATATTATATAAGATATTATTATTTAATTTTTATATAAGTGAAAAAACTTTTCCAAGACTAGAGACTGTGATAGACTAGAAAAAATTGTTAACATCATGGAACTAATAAGAAGTTGTTGACGCTGCATTTTAAAGATGTGACAGTCTTTCTAGTTGTTTTAAATTTAGATGAAGTTTTGTTTTTTCACACTAATATTAAATTTAAATAAAATGTTAAGTTACAATAAAGAAACTATATATAGGTATAATCACAAAAAGAATAGGACCACTCGAGTGATACAACAAATCAAACAATTTTTGGGATGCGTATTAAAATCTAAAAAATTGCACATTCATTATATTTATATAATATATAATTTTATATTAATATATGTATAATAATTATTTACAAATGAAGTATACAAAACGTTATAAAAAAAATTAACTATGTATTATAATTTATAATTATAATATGTCAATCACGTATATTGTGATAACATTTCGTTGGCCTAATCTCTAAAATTCGTTGTTCCACGATTTCTCTTCTTTAACACTAATCGCTTCTTGTTCGTGTTCGCCATCGGACTCTTGTTTCACGGAACTAGTTTCCGAGGGTGTGGATCTGCCAGACTTGTCTTCATCGTTAATGTCTGAAGGTTCCACACGAGCAGTCTCGGATCTTCTTCTTTCGTTGCAGCCGTCGGCTGCTTGCATTACACAAACACCGTTTATGATTACTTCAGCCTGCTGCTGTTGCTTCTGTTCAGAGTGTAACCAATCTGGGTTGACCCATTGCGGAGCAGCTGGTTTTCGGCGAGAACTCCCGACTACGGGTAAGGCGGGAATTTCCTCTCGGGGCTCAGACTCTTCCGATCGGCTGTCCTCGTCATCAAAGTCGGTGTCTACTTCGTGCTTGACGCTCAAATCCAATCCGGACATTTGTTCATCTACCGTAGCCGAAGATGACGATGTCAACATAGGTATAAAGGAAGAGAGATCAGCGCCGTGTTGCAAGTAGGGATTTCCAGCGTTAAATGGAATCGGCAGGCCACCGAAACCGAGTCGATGGCTTAGAAGAATTCTGAACTGGATCGGATCGAATCCGGGACCAGTTGGTGGTTGCTGTTGCTGAGAATCAGAGTGAGGCGACTGTTGCTTAATACGCATTCTGTGGTTGTGGAACCAGTTTGTTATTGTTCTGGTTGCCAAGTTTAACTCAGAAGCAAGAAACTCTATGGTGCCGACACTTGGATATTGGTCCAGCGCAAACGCCAATTTCAACGCTTCTTTTTGTTCGTCCGAAAACAGAACCTGAAAACCATACCATAAAACGATTAATCATTATTAATTCATCTTATAAATTATAAGAATATTAGTTTGGTTAGGTTATATATATATATATTAATTTTATATAGCTCTTACTCGTTGTTTTTTTGCGGCAGATGGAGGACTACTAGTACCACTATGATAAAAGTCAGATGTATCGTTTGATGACGTGTCACTTCCATTATCTTGTTGGCCAGATCCTCTTCTTCTCTTGTTCATCTCCCGGCGTTCACTTTTAATAGCTTGTAATCTTTCTACGTTGTGTTGATCGGAGAGCCAAAGTTGCATACGTATGAACGGTTCACGGCCTTTTATGCTCAGCATATGCCATGGTTTAGGTTTTGACAGCAGTTCACTAACCGACCCTTGAGAGAGTCCCAATACAGCTTCACCAAAAATCTTTAATAAAAAAAATACGGCTAGTAAAAAAAACTAAACAATTTATCAAATTATTAATTTTTTTTAAATGATGTGAGTTTTGTAAATTGACTGTGTTAGTTGTATAATGTATACAGTACATTTTTTTACCGTTTTAAAATTTGAGTGACCACCTAATTTATATATTTTTGTATTTTTAATTAATATCTTAGGATTGAAATGCTAATCGGGATTTTTACCAAATGACAATGAACGATAAGTGATTAAAATTGTGATTATTAAATATCAACTTTCGTAAACCACTGTAATATGTTTATAATAACGTTTTATAAATAACGTATAATATTGTGTAATATTGTAGAAAAATTCAATGGGTCTAAACTATATATATCAATTTTTAATAGCAATTTACTAATTTCACAATTGTGTACATTTACTAGTAAAATTGTTCGGTAAATTACCAAAATATTTTTTTACAAAAAATTTACATCATTATTAATTGGTTTTATTTAATTATTTACTTTTTGTCCAATATTGTTAGCGAGAAGAGCCTCTTTAATTTTAGTAGTTATAGTTTGTGTGTCGAGATCTTGTGTCAAAGCAGCCATTTCGTAAACTGAAGGTACAACTGGCGGTGGGTGACGTGTTCCAGAGGTTTGAAAAGCTGCTGCCACGTGTTGTAACATCAAGTTTTGTGGAATCCCATTGTTTGGTAGAGGACTTGCTTTGAGTTTATTTTCGCTGACCATCATAGACGCTAACTGATTTCCTGTAGGCATTAATGAAGTTGCAGTAGATGAAGCTGCGTGATGGTGGCCACCCGGGGACTGAAGTTGAATATGATGGTTGCTAGGAGACTGAAGTGAAGACGCCATATCAGAGTCTTCTGACATTGTTGTTGACGTGTTACACATCGAGGAAATTATATGATGATGCGGAGTTTGACGATCCACATCTGCACTAACTTTTAAGAGATCGAGAGGTGACGGAGTCATTTTTCCACCGAAAGTGTGTGTTGATTTTGATAGATTTTGGTTCATAGCTGTAAACAATACATATAATATAAATAAATAGTTTAAGAAAATAATGTATGTAATAATATTATACTAACGACTAGCTCCGCCATATCCTCCAGTTCGCATTAGTTTTTCGGGTGCTATTTTATACTGGGAAGCAACTAATTTATGTACAGCTTTGTCGTCTTCCAAAAACATTTTCATTCTTATAAACGGTTCCCTTCCTTTTTGTGTTAACATGTGCCATGGTTTTGGTCTAGCCAAAAGGTCAGAAACGCTACCTTGCGAAAGACCCAACACTGATTCGCCAAATAATCTTTGGCTGATCGAAAATTGACTAAGTTGTTCTTTCACTTTTCTCACAATTTCTTCGGTGTTCAAATTATTGAACTGATCAAATTGCTGTTGAGTGATTGGTGGCAATACAGCTTTCAATGGTCGCTGTGAAGGAGAGTGGTGATGTGGAGTAGCTGGTTGCGATATTAGCGCATTTGTTATCGAAGCCATTCTTTGTAACGGACTGACAGCAGCCGATTGACCGAAATCTTCAGGAGGTAGAATGTTATTACCTAGTGGTGAGCTAGCTGAACTTCCTACAGAAGATGTACCGCCTAGTTAATAAATTATTACTCATTAGTATGTGTATGTGTATAATAATAATAATAATAATAATAATAATAATAAAATAGCATTCAAAATGTTGAACAACTTACTTTGTTCAGTTTTAGGTCGAACAAGTGAAAATGCACTTCCTGCTTGCTTCATTGCTTCTGAAACGGTTTCTGATTCTTTATCAGAAACTTCTGTTCCGTTTACTTTAACAGCAAAATCTTTTCGCT